CGCCACCAATATTTTTGTGCGTGGAGATGGGCGGTAAATATGAGATTTAGATATTTGGGGATTTCATAAGAATGGATTATTATTATTTAGCTCGTTTGTTAACTTGGTAAAGTCTAGAATTAGAGTGTGTTTATCGTATCGTATTGTATAACAATTAGTTGGATTAGATTGGATAGAATAAGAGATGTGGAATAACGAGTATTTGTTATGATTATTTTGATATCATATCATTCAAGTAAATTGACATCATCATCTAACTAACTCACCAACTCACTAACTCACCAAAATAATATCGCAATAAATGTATTGACTATACTATACCTATATACCAAGATCTTAATTCTTTCTCTACTGAGATATTGTATCACTAAAATCCTGTAAACAAAAGGGGAAGAAAATCCATATATTACGGGTGTAATACAGCAGTGTCAGTATCACAACGCCTCCAACGCCTCGAACGCCTAGAATTGCGCCTTGGTACTACCCTACCATCTATCCCATCTAGTATTCGATGAGAAGTCCTTGTTTTGGAAGGATATGAATGAATGAATGGATGTGAGGAGCCGAGCTGTTTGTTAGTTCTTTTTTTCTGTGTTGTACAGTATTTTTGCATTGGGGAAAAGAAATGAAAAGAAAAGGTTCTAGATTCTGTTGATGTTTTACTTGTGATCTATCTATCTCATCTCATTTGCATACATCTGTACAATGCAATAGATAAGCCTGAGATTTAGATGTAGATTTCAGATCTTCCCAATCCAGTATCTCCCATCTCCTATCTATCTCCTATCATATCATTCCAGCCTTTCGAAATCCATATCTATATCCATAAACACAAAAAAAACTAACACTTTCATTTCGGTACATTCCCCAAAAGAATCGCAAAAGAAGAGATGGCGTGGCTTTTTTCTCTTCAGGACCTAATCTAATTAGAGTACTGTACCTATGTATGCGATCGGGCATATTGCTTGTCTGGGTTATGACAGGTGCATGTACAGGGGAGGAGGTGGAGAGTGAAAATGCAGAGTTGGTTCGGGAATTGGAAAGAGATCTGGATTTAGAATTGATGGGTGAGGTGGGTAAGGGGGTTTTGAACAACTTGAATGCACATATTGATTGGCGAGAATTGAATTGAATGAAGGGGTATTGAAATGAAATAAGATGGAAGGAGATATAGTACAGTGTCTCTACTTGAGTACAAATAAATCACAAATATACACACATCTACTTGTATCTCATCCAACAATCAATCTTATCAAGAATTTCGAGCTTCCACCAACACAATAATCGGTGAGTATTGACTCTCCACGCCTTTGCCTCACTCCAAATTCAATATTGGGCTTGCTTGTCCTCGTCTTGCATATACCGGTATGGTTACTCCAATCTCTATGCTGTATACCATGGCTTGATATCAATGAGTCGCTTTACCTGCTTGCGGTTCCAACAAGGCTTAATGCCAATGAACAACTTCTATATGTTCTCACTGGTGGAATGAATGCCACATGGATTAATGGATTATATATGCGTGTCCCTTAATATATAAATATCATAATTGGATGACTTAGATGAATCAAGGCATATTAACGGGATATTTGATTTAAAGCCCTTGATGTAGGTCACCCGTAGATACTAGGTATGTAGATAATGTGCTTGGTGACTAGACCATGGTCTATTTTAAAAAGGGAAATCGAGTCTTTTGTCTATATCGAATCATATCAAATCGAATCAATCAATCTATTTGGACTGCGCCCGGTGCGAAGTGGATGGGTTGTACTGATGGATATATGGAAGTGAGGAAGTAAGGGAAAGGAAAAAGAGATCAAATATCATATCCATTCGAGCACCCCCCAACAGTATACTATAACCATTTTCTCCGGATTTTCCTTCCTATCTTCATTATTATCAACGGCTTCAACAACACTGACTGGTTGGTATCTGAGGATATTTGTTTGCTTTCCAACTATTGTCATTCTTTATTTTTACTTTTGCTATTACTTTTCAAGATATCTTTTGGATTCCGAGGTCTTCATCTCTATAGTAATTCCCTTTTTTGTTTATATAATACCTTCGAATACGAAATGATACGATAATTCACTCGATATATATAGACAACAATCAGACAATCAAGCAAGGAAACAAATCGAAAAACACCAGATGAAAATATCTACCTACCTATTTTTAAACCTTCAACCTTCAAACAATCGCGGTCGGGCTCGGGACGAAAACATTCGGGACGGGAAGGATATTAAAGGAACATTGTTGATTTGTTCTATCGTTCCAGATCAATTAATACGATACGACTCTCTAAATGAGAATTCAATAATTGGAAACCTCCTCTCCTCTTCGACAATCATATCAGTTACCAGTTGTCAATTATAAACTCGAAAAAGTGATGCTGGATTTCTAAAACAAGTTATGGATGAGATTGTGATATCCAGATGGCGATCTTTACTATCTTCGCTGTCTTTACCTTGCTGGTTCATTTCTTCGCAACATTTGATGTCGCACGATTCAGATTCAGATTCAGATACAGATTCAACGGCTTCAACTATTCCTATCGCAATCCCAATCCCAATCCCTACAATCCATCTAGCACCCCATTCAATTTCCAATTTCAATTTCAATTCCATATCCCAAGCTCCTTTATTCACAACATCGACATCTTCTTCTCCCTCATATTCTTCTTCATATTATTCTTCATCTCAAAAATATAAAACCTTTACATTTACATTTACACCTCCCAATATAATAACCCTCATAACCCTCCTCTCCTCCCTCTTCATAACAACATGTTCATGTTCATGTTCAACGGAATTTCATTACATCGAAGAACAAATGGTGGATGTGAATGTAAGAGATGATGCATATCATACATATGTCCCCGAGCTCTTCGCATCCACTCTTGCACGTCTAGCTCGATCAGGTACGATTTTGGTTGATCAGCGTCCGGATCCCTTGCTTCAAGTCCAACGCGCTTCTATGCTTGCACTTGCTCCTCCTTTTATGTCGAGGGATGTTGTTTTGGTTGATGTTGATGTTGATGTTGATGATGAAGAGGTTAAGGATGGGAATGTTTTCATCAATGATTTGAATCAGGAATTACGATTACAATTACAATCACAATCACAACTAGAAGGATCCGAATCCGAATCAAATTTCAATCCCCGAAAAAGAAATCCAGAAGAAATAATAACCTCGACCGCAACCATTCTACCACCCATTTCCACCCCTTCAACCTCCACCTCTCCAACCTCCACCTCCGCCTCTCAATCCTCCACCTCAACATCAACACTGGCGTCATCAGACACAAGTAGTGGACTGGCGTCCGCTGCTACGGGCACCACAGCCAATCTACCCACGCCGTTCGATAGTGGATTTACGAGTAATATCACGGCGTCATGTTCGAGTTTTATGATGAGTTTTTTGGCCAATGAGACTTTTAAGGCGTGTTTGCCTTTTTCGCTGTTGTTGCAGGTATGTTGTTTTATGTGATTTTATATTGTTTTATGTGGTGTGCTGTGGTGATTTCTTTTGTCGCGGGGAACTGGGTGTATTTATATTTATAATTATATTATATTTACATCTGCGCCCATCCATCCTCTCCTCATCTCATCTCATCTTACCCCCCCTCTCCCCCTCCCCCCAAAACTCATCTAACACACAAACTAACCCCTCCTCCCTCCTCCCCATAGAACTCCAACTCCTTCTTCCAAGCCACCAAATCCCTCGTCCGCATAACCCAAACTCTCTCCGCCTCCTGTTCAGCCTCCCCCCTCACCTGCAACAACCTCATGACCACCCTCGCCGCCAATATCTCCACCCCCAGCACCTGCGCCCCGGACCTACTCGCCCTCAACCCCCTCGTTACACAAGCTCGCCTCGGTCTCCTCGCCTACTCCACCCTCTACACCGCCTCCTGTCTACAAGACCCTTCATCTGGCGCATACTGCTACGCGCAAGCCGTGACCAACGCTTCGTCCCCCACCGATTCATATATTTACTATCTACCGCTCAATGTCAGTTTACCGGATACTGCGCAGCCGTCGTGTAACACGTGTTTGAGGAATACAATGAAGGTGTTTGAGCAGGCGGGGAGTGTGAGGTCGAGTGCGGTGGCGGGGGATTATGTGGAGGCTGCGGAGAGGGTTAATGGATTTTGTGGAGAGGGCTTCGTAAATGCGAGTTTACCGGTTGCGACGGTTTTGGAGGGGGGAGGGGGGAGGTTGGGGGTGGGGTTGGAAGGGTTCGGGGGATCGGGGAGTACGGGAGGGATGGCGGGGTTGATAATGGTCTGGGTGGTGATTTGGGGTTTGTTCATATGAGCGGATTTGGATCGGCGAATAGAAGTCACGAAAAGATCAGGCCAGGCTAGACCCCTCAGCTGTATATGTGTACACCCCACCCCAACCTACACCACACCATACTCCCAAGGAGCTCGCTCACCTCACTCACCTCACATCAACACTCGTTATTCAATCTAATCGAGGGTGAGTGAGTGAGGATGAGACACCCAGCAAATCCAGCATACCAGCATACCAGCACCCAGCACAGCGTGAATAAAATCTATACCCAAAATCGAAAGCGGAGTCGGAGTTGTTATTCTTGCAATTGGGAATCGGGATATGGAATTGGGATCTTGGAATTTGGGAATTCGGAAATCGGAAATGGAATGGGTAATCGCAATCGGAATTTGGGAACAGGGAAACAGAATCCGGAGTTTGATCAGGAATTAGGATTGGACTTGAGAATCGGAGTTGGATTCGGAACTGAGATCAAAACTGAGATCGGAGCGTACTGTACTGTACGTATCGGATAGGATATGATGAGATTCATAAGATATAGGAGGGTTACTCAAATTTAATTTATTTATTTCGTGTATATATATAGTATGTATGTATCTATGTATAGAAATGAAGTTTGATGTGGGATTTGAGATGGAATGGAACATGTATATATTTACAACTACAATTTCACCAATAACAAAAGCGTTGTACAAGTAGTGAGTAGTGGATTGTAAATGCTAATAATAATGTTCTATACTCGGTACCATATAATGATAGCTCATGAAAACCATACCGGACCATACCATGCCATCCCTCTATCTCTACCATCTCTCTTTATCTATACCATCTACCCTTTAGATATACAACCCCCCACATCTCTCCCTCCTTTCCTCTACCCTACCCAACTCTACCCTACTTCCCCCCCGAAAAACTAACCACCGCCCACTTCCCACTCCATCCCCACTTCCTCTGCCCACTCTCCCCACCGCCTCCCTCTTCCCTCCTCAATTTCTCATCCAAGCCCTGCTCCAACCCAACCACTACATCCGCCTTACACGTTCTCAACGCCAACACATTAACACCCGATCCTGGACCTAACGGACCAATCGCTTTTATAAATGGTGTTGTCGGATCCCATGTCGCATCACCTGTTAATTTTCTATAGTTCAAATCGCCTTTGAAAATAACTAACTCGCTTTCCTTAAGATCTTCATGTAGTCTAGGTGCTGTACCGGGTAATCTCCAATAACTGCCTCCTTCGGTCCAGAATCTATTGGCTCGTAAGGTTAATTGTCCTTCCGCGTGGAATTCGCTCCAAGTGTTAAATAAGAAATCTAATTCTTCTTCTTCCTTTTTGGAAAGGGGTTCGGGAGTTTTGCCTTCTCTTTGTTCGTCTTCGGAAGGAGTGGAATAGAAGGATTGTGCATTATTTAATGCATTTAATAAATCCGAGAAATCTTTTGGTACGACATCTGATACGAACCATGGGATGGATTTGGAGTGTAGGACGATATTTGTAGCAAGGCCTGCGCTGAGTAAAAATCCGGCGAGAATCAAATCGACATAAAGTTCGAATCCAGCATTATCGAGCACGATATCGACCTGTCGATTTCTTCCTTCTTTCTTGGCAGCCTTGAGAACATCATAAGCTTTCTCCAAATCATTTATAAGGATATTTTTCTCCGAATTCTTTCGAGCTTCGGAACCTTGTAATTTTTGGATATCTTCGTAGGTGAGAGATGTAAGGAGTGAGAGATCGGTTGCATTTCCCCATAAACAAATCTCGCACATTTCCATGAAGAGTATTTTTTCCGCTTCTTCATCATGGGTTTTGTTGTTGGTCATTTGATTTATGAGTTCGTGGTAGCGATTTGCGAGTTCCAGAACGGCGGGACGGGAGGAGCGAAAGGTTGACATCTTTTGACGCGCAAATACATCGTGGGACTTCCATTCTTTGGACAAGGAGAATGAGGTTGCTATGCGTCTGTAAATGAAATGTTAGCTTGGTCTAAATTGGAGGAAAGGCGAACGGCGAGGGATAAAATATTGTACCTGTAGAGATAACATTCTGCATATAACCATGGAATATTAAACCATGATGGATAATTTAATTGCTCCAATTCTTTATTATAACCCTCAATATCTGGTTGTCCATCATCGAGAAGAGGACTGAAATCCAGGTCAGCGGAGAAATATTTCCAGAGACAGATTTCCGCACGTTAACTTCCTATCATGTTGAAGTTCGTATTTGAGCTTTGCGAGGGTTTCGACTATGCGTTTTCCTTCTTCATGTTTGTTACCTGTTGCTGCAGATACTGCTTTGTGAACATCATCGATTGCACCAGTCTGTTAAGAGTCACCGTTAGAAAAGATCTGATTGTAGTGAAAGGAAATAGTCTTCGAGCGCAGCGAGCTATGGGGGTTTAGGGGCTTGCCCCCCATATTGAAACATTCAACTAATTGAAATGACGCTCCGCTGGTCCTCCGGGTGCCACTGCCGTGGAGGCAGACTATTCAGAAGATGGAAGAGCTTACTAGAATAACAGGCCAACGATCCCTTGCAGAGATGTATGCGAATGAAGTTTTATCATTTGTGAAGTAGAGGGCTGGGAGTTGAGTTAGGAATGCATAAAGTAGATCTTAAAGAGGTGAACTTACGGGTCTTGGTATCGTATTCCATTTTGATCAAGATAGGTAGTATGGTTCTGCGATTTATAGAATTGTTGAGACCCGAGTTTTATATATCTTTCCCATTGTCAACAAACAGGTCGAGGTATGGCGGGGTTTGATGATGGTGGGGCATTATCTTGGCATACACGTGATGGATTTAATGGTTATCAGACAACCTTTAAATTCTTCTCTAATTATACCAAAAGTTAGATTCGGAATATCCATTTCTTAATCAGTAAGGGGCAAACAATCGATAGAACCTACCACAGTAACGTCAGTAAGATGTTTATCTTTGATTGACCAGGAGATCCCTTACTGTATTGAGTCCAAATTTCTAAAAGGTTATACGGTATACTCGAGTATATAATCTTTCAAATCAAATTATACCAGTCATTGTACATGTATCTACCATCTTCATCATCGCACTATCTCACCTAACAATCTAACTCATCATTAACCCAACCAAGCCTGCCCTCCTCAACTCTCCCTCCAAAATATCTAATACCCATACCCAATACCTAAACCCAATGCAATAGCACCAAAGTCCCTATTCCTCCTCTCAAATATATTAATATCCACCAATCATATCAATCATATCAATCATGTCAGCTCTACTGTATCAACTATACTCATACTGTATACCGACCGCGTTCTTTTCACCGTGACATGATTAGGAGAGAAGTTCCAACTGATGAGATTTCAAGTTACAGGATGTACTTGAATGATCTTACTAGAAGTTATTTAATTTTTGAATAATTATTGAAATTATTTTCATTTTATTTGATTTCGTTTCAGTATTAATGTGTTATGTTGTATTTGTACTCGAGTTACTTGTAAATATTATACACTTCATGTACGAATTATAGATAGACTCGACCCACGCCAACCTTTCCTTCATACCTTTCGTATCTTTTATTCTATTTCATTTCATTTCATTTAACGTATTATCATACCACCCATCCCATCCATCCAAACATATCCATATCCATATCCACACATCAATCCCAGATAACCCCCCAACTCCGACCCCTCAACCCATCTACCCATCTACCCCTCAACCCCTCTAAAATCCCCCAACCCCAATAACCATCGCCTCAGCACCTCACCTATCACCTCCCCCCTTCCAACCTCCCAGCCTTCTCACAACTAAGTTTCTTGAGTAACTCCCCCACCTTCGGCAATTTAACCGGTTTCGTCATGAAATCATCGAAGCCACTATTCACCGCCTCATCCCTCGCCTTTTGACTGCCTAAGCCCGTCATCGCAACTATATACGCTTTCTCCTTTTCCCTGCCCCTTTCCCATACACCACCCCCCGTACTCTCCTCCTTTCTCTCCTCCTTCCTCTCCATCACCCCATCCGCGTTCCCTTCACCCTCACCCCACACAGCCGTCTCATCCATATTCACATTCACATCCATCCCCATCCCTCCCCCCCTTTCCCCATCCCCTTCCCACCCCCTAATCAACCTCGTAGCCTCAAACCCATCCATATTCGGCATTGAAATATCCATAAAAATAACATCAAACCCACATCCAACCCCATCTTTCTCCGCCCTAACCGCCGCCACCGCTTCCACCCCATCCGTAGCGATGACAATCGTATCTGTTTTGCGTTTTTGCAAATACCGATGAATAAGCTGAAGATTAAGTACGTTGTCGTCGACGGCGAGGATATGGAGGGGTGTATTCTCGGGTAAGGGTTTAGAGGCTTGAGATAGGGATGGGGATAGCGGTGGCGAAAATTGGGTTAAAGAAGTATGGTTGGAGATTTGAGGTTTCGATGCCGATTTTAAGGTGGTGGTTGGAGGTGCTTGGATTTGTAGCTGTTGTAGCTTTTTGAGAGATAGAGCGAACTCTTCGCGGGCTTTTAGATCGGCTGATGTGAGGTTGACTTCATTTATAGTTGGGTCTTGCAATGGTAAGAAGCTATACTCTCCTGTTTCGTTACCTACACGTTCCTGTGGTGAACCGAGGGGAGTTTGTGTAGTGGCATCCCTGTGACGAGGATCGCAGCTCGTTTGATCCAGGAGAGCGAGGATTGATCGAGCTAGTCTGTAAGGTCCTATGGGTTGAGATATATGGGCTATGAAATGCTGATCATCTTTCCTATTTATCTTGGGATAGCTCATTGCGTCGTGAATTACCAATGTTCTCTGACACCTGCAGCTTTCCGGCAAGTAAGATGTCTCGTTGATGAGAAGTAGATCTTCGGTCTTTGGACTTCCGTCTGACTTGCGGATATCAAACCCATACCACTCTGAGCAATATTTTTGAATACAGTCCCACACATCATTTTGCGAGTTTGTGATCTTTCCATGATCGAGAGATATTACTTTCCCAGTCGCTTTATCACGAAGTGATCTTATGGTCTTTTCAGCAGAAATTCTGACGTCGGTGGTATCAACAGTATTTCCATTCATCATATCATCGGGGGAAGGAGGTTCTGATTTCTCTATTGGTATAAGAACTTCGACATCGGTTCCTATGCCTACCTCACTGCGGACGAGAATAGTTCCACCTAATTGTTTTACGATACTCCAGCTTTGGTTTTGTTAGCTCATGCACATCGAGTAGATGGAAAAACTTACACAATAGAAAGACCCAAGCCCACACCAGGAGTAAAATTATTTTCCTGGGCAAACGGATGGTAGAGTTTACGTTCCATGTATTCGGTTGACATTCCTCTACCCGAATCTTTGATACGCAAGCACAAGAAATCTCCTGTATGGTTTGATACTGAAGCCGGAATGTCTAAAATCGTTTTTTGCTGTTGTAATCGCAACTGTACTTGAATATATCCCTCGTCTGTGTATTTTTGTGAATTGCCAAATATATTCATTAGAATACGTTGAATTGCACCTGTAAAATATGTTAGTAATATATCATAATAGCTAAAGTTCCAATACATACCAGCATGAACTTTGTAAGTCCAATCCCGCATTTCGAAGTCTAGAATAATTTGTAAAGGTGTTGAAGTTCCCTTTCCCACGACACCGTCTTTCTTGTTTGGTGAACCATTTGAAAGTGCCAAATTATACATCGGTGCAACACTTCTAAAGTGGTTAGCAGCGATCATACCATTAATTGTATCCTCGCATAGCAAAGCTACATTGGTTACTTGATGAAGCTCGCTCGAGAAGGATCCTAATATGTTGTTAATATATGAGAGGCTCGGCCAGGCAATACATAAAACGGACCTTGTAAAGAACCTTCTCTCTTCTCGAAGGAATTGATTTTGCTGTAGTCTAGAACGTGATTGATTGTATCCTATGATGCCACTGTAAATTTCTTGTGGAGATAATGGTAGGTCAGTGAAGAGTGGCTGAGATTAAAATCTACACTTACCAGAAGAGTTCCACTACAATTTTGAATTGTCGAGACAAATTCTGTTTGCGAGGTATCGAGATTCGATTCTCGTAAGAAGTCCGCAGAAGCTAGTATTCCGTGGAGCGGGGAGCGAAATTCATCTAGAATATCAGCCCAAGTCATGGCATAATCAACGACAAAATATGCTCACGTGAAATGCTACTAATAAAATCAGATTTCATTTTGTTTGAAATAAGTGCATCCAAACGACTGATCTCCACCATAACCGAATTTGTGAATGCGGATAGGTAAGATATCTCATTATTTACTGTGAAGACAGGTACAGCTGATTGACTCCATACGAAGGAGGCCGAATACCATCTCGCTAAGGTGGATCAATTAGCCGAGAACAAAAGGGGGCTTGCAGTATCATGACGTATCAGAATTTGACGTACCTCCTGCAGAATCCCAAAGAGGAAGGAATATGATTTGTCTTGCTTTATGGAATACTTTAGCAAGCATATTTGCTTCAGCTTCTTGCTTCGTAGCATCAAAAGAACCGGACGTTCGAGGCCTTTCGTTGGGGCTAGCTCCATTCGAATGCGTGTGTTTCCGATCATTAACTTGCTCTAAGCTTGAGAAATAGCCATTGTCATCAATGTACCTGTGGTAGAGATTAGCTGGTTATCGAAGCGAAAGATAATGTATCTTGCGAATCGCAAAACATTAGCATACCAGACATTGCCCTTGGGGTAAGAATTAATCAGTGATTGAAGGGTTTTACCATCCAGAACATGAGCTTCTGAATCCCAGGTTGCAATTTTTGCTGTCGACATAGAAAGAATCTTTGCTGCTTTATGTCTACCCGTCGAAGTTCGTATTGTACCCTGGGATAGCCTTCGTTGGTAGTCTTCATACTTTTGTCGTTCTTCGTTATGTACGACTGATTTCCTCGACTCGACCTCTTTCACCTCCGTACCTAAATCAGTGCTTGCGTCGAAGTAAGCATCCATGTTTCCCACTTCGGTGTGGCCAGCAGTCGTGTCTAAGAAAACAACACCTCCAACGTTGAGTTCAAGATATTCCCGAAGAATCTCGGCAGCATGGTCTAAAGTGATTCGTATTTGGTCAAGTACGGATTCAGAAGATTGCTGTACTTGATTTGACGAATTAGAATGTTCACTCCGACAACCTTCTCCTAGGGCCTCATCGTCGGTTACGTGAATGGATCCGTTACTCATATCTGCAGCTCCCTCCTCTGAGGCGTATGAGTCATCGGAAGTACTAGTATAACGAGAAGATCTTTCTAGAAATGTAGCAATTCCTTTTGACATAAGCGCAACTCGATGTCTTTCAACAGCCTCTCGTTGCGTTTCCATGTACTTCATAATATTATTCGCTTGATGATATAGAACTAAATGTTATATTAGTATTGATCACGCATCTTTCTCGCTCAACTTGTCGAGATATGGGATTGAAACGTACATTTTCTTCTCTCCAGGTTCAATCCTGTGATAGGGCGGTCACCAAAAACACACAAAACCCCAATGTTTATACCGTTTTTAGTGGTAATTGGAGCTCCAGCGTACCAAACATATGAAGCCATAGATCCATCAACTATGGGTAAACTAGCAAATCTTGGATCGTTCTTTAAGTCGTCGATAATAAAACAGGGATAGGTATCTTCTTCGTCAGCACTGATGGCCAAAGTGTTCTGAAGTCTAAGTCAACATATGTAACTCTAGAGAATGTTTTAAAGTTTGCCTCACCTCACAAAGTCCACCAGGCGATGGCACCTGAAAACACCCAAACCATGAATCGTTAACGATTTCATCTTCGGTTGAAGATCTATCGCGTCGTGCTCCAGCAATAAAGTATTGAGTAGAACCATCTATTATGCTATTGTATATTAGTCTCACGAAAGTCTAATTAACAAACTCGAATTTGCCATACCTGATCATAGAATGAACCCCGCCTAAACGCCATATAGCAACCTCGGCATAAGAGTCGAGGGCTCCATCAGAATTAAGTCGACCATTTAGAGTATCCTCGGAAGAGTGTGGATTTATATCAGCTTCACAAGGATCATAGAATCTGAGAAGAAAGAAGTAAAGAAGTTAGTATGAGTAAGTAAGAGTAAGTAATAAGTCATGAAAAATGAATTGATTTCGCACGTGAGACATGGCCGAATGTGGCTTGGATTAGCATCAAAGGAAGAGTGAGAGAGATACCAAAAAATATTGGAAAACGCAATTTGGAAAATAATGGAAATGATATATAAGTACTATATATCAGTTTAGACTTACTTCCTCAATTCTAGTGCACGCTGTGAAGCATACATATCTTTGGCCTTTTGTGTTGATATTGGGACTTTTCCACCTGCTTCAATGATTCCAGCATTGGAACAAACGTTGAAGTTCATGGATTCCATAATGACACCGGATGAGTATTAGTGTGAAAGGATACCGGTATATCAAAAGACTTTTCATTCCTAAGAAAAAAGAAAAACGGTACTCCCACACCAATATAATGAGATTCGAGGATTGAATTGGGGGGAGAAGGGTATAGGCAGTTGAAATAAGATTAATTGGAAAATTAAAATTAGAAATCAAGGATGGGATCGTTAAATAAACCTCAAACCTTAAGCCTCAAGATATCGCGTTGGCGGCATTAGATCGAATGAGGTTAAAATTCCAACTTTGGCTGTGGTTCCTTCCTTGTATACGTCATTAGCGCATGGATAAACAAGTTACTGTAATACTGGAATTAGCAAGCAAAAGTTTGAAGTTTATCTTACTAATATGACCAAGAAGATAATACTCGAGTAGAGAAATTAGAATAGTGAATAACAATCTATGAATTACAATGGTCAAACTGATTAACATACTCAATTGGTGAAACAGTTCAAAATTCATCTCGGATAGATGATAGTGGGTGCGGCGCGGACCTCTCGAATGGCTAGACCTCGGTATGACAAGGCTGAATCACGACGACAGGTAGTATATCCCCAATTAACATTTTGATCATTGGAGAATTTGGTTAAACAGCATAACATTCTTTCATACATCACCGACATGTTGAAAAGATTTCACAACAATAATGCAAAATTAATTGAGAACGAGGCGTTGATGATGTATATCGGCTGGACTCGGTTGGCGGCTTGCAGCTGGTCGTTCGTATTTTGGATGTTGAGAGGAGGCCATCATGGAGGAAATCTTTGGAGTTGGAAAATGGTCTCAATCAAAAGTAGAAGTCCCCATATCATGTTTAAATCTTAAATTGCTGGACGAAGAACGGACATAGTCATCCCAAGTTATTCCGAAACCGCCCGGTACTTTCAATCATCAATCAATCTTGATCCCTTCGCTCGAAAATTCAGAAAATCACTGCTTCATACCCACTAGAGTCTTAATTATGACCCTGACTCCTCACAATACACACGTTATTTTCAATCAAACCTACATCGTCAAATGTCTCTCGTGATTTCTGCCGTTCATCTGAAGATATTTCCCATCACCCCCCTTACCAATATGATACAAGCGACCCCCTAAATAGTTGTTTTCTCCGATTTCAACTGAGGTGATGTGAAAGGTTGTATAGGTGGAAACGACAAAGAATACTATCCATAAATTGACCATCGAACACTTGCCCCATAACCTTTCAAAATGTAGGACGCTTGTCCTCGCAACAAATCATACAAATATTGGCCACTGTATTGCCACTGCATGGCCAGTGTATGACCAATAATTTGCATCCCCATAACTGAAATAGAAACGTTATCGCCAGGCATGAATTGTGCGGATTTCTTGTTGAAGATGAGGTGATCGGTTTTAAGGATAGAATTTAACCCATATGTACATCGACCTTCCATCCATTTATTCTCTAGTGATGTCCTTCGCCATGACCTCCTTCTGCATGTCCATGATGGTCGTCCGCCAAAAAGAAATGTTCGAATCCGCAATATGCCGTAAATGCTACTGTCGCGATACCCAAGCCTGGGAAAGAATTTGAGAATCGATTCCATCTCGAGTATTGTCCTTGGTATCTCCAAGCCTCACTAATTGAACAAATTAGTATGGCGAGTCCGAGTAATCTATGATGCGCTTCCTAGCTCACTTTCTCGCCCATGGGTCACCCGCATTTTTGCCAGCAGCGGCAGCTAATGCTTTTGGGTCGAAACCAGTAAGGTTTGCACGTTGTGCAGCTCTAAGTATTCTATTGAAAATATTTAGCCATTGATAATTCGAAACTAATCACCTCCTCCTGCTTATTCACTTATTACATACCTTGTGTAATGCATGGTGAGAAATAGATAACTCCTTCACTTGATGCCGTATTGTGACAGAGTTAAACAGGGGGGTATTGGATAATTGATTGTCGAGCTTCATGAAAGGTGGGTACAGTCGGGATGCGGCTAATTAAGCGCCGTAGCCAATTGTTCATGCCCAACTCAAAGCAGCCAGTTTGAACTTAAGATACAACAAGACTTGGAGTTGTGACTTTTTGCATTTTCAATAGGAACAATAATTTAAAAAGTGACAAATATTTGATTTTCTTGTCCGACACTGTTGCCCTCGACTACGAATAACAAACCTCCATCCTCCTTGCGCAATTTGCGTCCATGCAAACCATCAACCCACCTTCTATAACCAACATACATACTCGACGAAAACAAAATGCCTCCGCGAATGCAGGGCTATGGGGCTGCCCCGAATAATATGGCATCTCACTATCAACAATATCCACCGCACACACAATCACATACAGCAGGACTTCCTCCGCCGGGCTCAATCGGAAATCAATTTATGAGTGCGAATTCGATGAGCAATGCCTTTGCGAATGGAGCTAGTATGGGTATACCAGGAGGTTTCTCTGCGCCTGGCCTACCTCTACAAGGTGGTGGATTAGCAAGTCAAGCTGCACAAATGAGCTTTGCTGCGGCGCCTTTACAACAACAGGGGCACAACGGCATGGCAGATTCAGGGACGCGGGGTATGCGTGATAAGGGCAGAATACGAGAGGTATGGAAGGGAAATCTTCACGAGGAGATGGCGATTCTGCGGCAGCTAGTGGATAAATACCCTTATATTTCTATGGTAAGATATCCGCTTGGTGATAGTTGACGCCAGAGTTAACATTGCTAGGATGCGAAATTTCCTGGAATCGTTGCTCGGCCCATGGGATCTTTTAATGGCAAGGGGGATTATCACTATCAGTGCTTACGATGCAATGTAGATTTACTGAAACTTATACAACTGGGCATAACATTATTCTCGGAGGATGGGGAGTCACCACCTGCGACCCCTTTCTCGGACTCGGGATTAGATCGGAACTCAGCAGGACGAAAGTATGGCGGCAACGGCGTGTTACAGATACCTTGTACATGGCAGTTCAACTTCAAATTTTCTCTCTCGGAAGACATGTACTCGGAAAAGAATATTGATGAAAGAAAGACTGCCGGTACGGATTTCAGCAGATTAAAGGAAGAAGGCATCGACCCATTCGAGTTCGGCGCCGTGTTGATTAGTTCTGGACTTGTATGTGATGAGGAGAAACGTTGGATCTCAGGGCACGCCGGCTACGATTTTGGATATCTTACAAAAATCATGCTTCAAAAGGCTTTACCGGATGACGAAAGGGAATTCGATATGCTTATGAAAAAGTTCTTTCCAAGTGTATACGATATCAAATATCTCATGGCACAAGGAAGCATTATGAACAAATCAGGTCAACTATCACACGTCGACGTCGTCACCGCAGAACTCCTTCAACGATGCGATCCCCGCCCCAACATCGAAGTCATGATCGATGTCCTCAAAGTAAAACGCCTCGGTACCCCGCACCAAGCTGGCTCCGACTCTCTAGTCAACGGTCGAGTATTCTTCAAACTCCGCGAGCGTCTCTTCGAGGGTGAAATCGCGGATGAACATCTCGGTCGAGTCTTCGGTATCAACCTCCAAGAAGCCAATTCCTCTGCGATCCAACAACAAACCACCCCACAACATTACAATCAATACCAAGAAAACACCACCCCGAATCAAAATGGTTCCGGATCCTCTTTCGCAAACGGCACACCCAGTACTCCAAATAATGGAAACGCAAACCTAGCATCCACGCCTGCGCATAATAATAATGGGGGAAATAGTGGTCTAGGTCCGCTCACCCCGGGTAATGGTGGAGGTGGAGGTTCTTTTGGACATTTCCAATATGCAAATAAGCAGTAAAGTAAATTTAAAAAAAAAACCCACCAGTTTGACTTCTATTTTAATCACTCTCCATCCTCAGTGCTCACTTGCTGTTTACTGTTTATTGAGAGAAAGCGAGGATTTCCTACCAAAAAAATTAAAGAGAAGAATTACATTCCTTGGTCAGGTCGGCGTGGGAAGGAATGGGAAGGGAGTTTCTGGGATGTGTACCTAGGGCTGCGGGGCGCTTTCTTTGGCTTTTGTTATTGTTGTGGCCTACTTGTGTGTTTGTTTGTTTGTTTAGTTTTCATGCAATGAATGATTGCAATGAATAAATAAATGGTATGGTATGGTCTGGTCTGGTTGTACTCCTACTCCTACTCCTGAGATTTGATATGATGAGCTGTGATTTGATGAGCTGTGATATAATGGATTGGGCTCACTCAGCGCTATGATTACCTATTTATTACCTATTGGCTATGTAATGTGATGTAATGTGATATGATGTGTATACGTTTGACTTTGATGAAGGAGAGGAGAAGGAGAGGAGAGGAAAGAATATTTGTAAATTATGATGAGTTTGAGGGTTGTTTATCTTTGACTTTTTGGGCTGTGTGTGGTGTGAGTAAGTGGGTGCGTGAAGGAGTGAGTGAATGGGTGGTTGTTTGTGTGATGTGTGATGTGTATTGTTTGATGTGTATGCATTCGTGTGCATTTGTGATGTAGTTTGCTTGGGTATCAATTGTTAATTTGGGTTGTGTGACTAATTATGTGCGACAACGTCTATTTTTTTAACCACCTCTATCTACCATGCCAACTATCGACCTATCCCCTCTTCCCCCTTCCTCTCCCTCTCCCACCACTTTTTCCATTCCTCCCCTTCTTCCCACCACCCCCCTTTGCCCCCTCAATCCCCACAACATCCCTCTCACTCAAATTCAACGTCGCCCCCCTCATTCTCCCCACCTTAGGCCCCGCATCAAAAGTCCCTCCCGTCCCACTCCTCTCCTTCCTTCTCTCTACTCTCCCCATCGCCCCTCCTCCTCTCCCCCCACCAAACCCAGCACTACCACCCCTTCCCCCTCCCTTCGTCTCCAGCACAATCCCATTCTCCTTCGCCTCTCTCCTCCTCGTTTCCTCCCTCTCTTCCGCTTTCTTCACTATCCCCTTCCGCATATTCATCGGCATGCTTTCTTGTGTATGTATACTTGTTTTCCCCCCCAAAGCCTGCACGCGCATATCTAGGGCTTTTAGTCGATTTTTTCCTTGTAAAGAATGGGTAGCGTGTGAATTCGTATCAGAAGATGATGCAGAGGAGGTAAGTAGATGCGATTCATCGAGGAGACGTTGCAGCGCGAGATCGTGTTTGAGATTTAGAGATTCGGTTGCGCCGGGGTCGTCTGCAGATCCTGGTGCAAGCTCGGGGAGTTTGGATATTGATGGTGAGGGGAGAGATTTGGGGACTTTGGAGGACTTCATGGGGAGTGTGAGTTAGACTTTTGGAAGAGCAAATATAGTACATGTAGTGTAATAGGGTAGAGATCAGAATGTATGTACCATAAAAGCCCTCAATTCCCCCTTGCTCATCTCCGCGATCCTAGAATCAAATTTCTTTAGATGTTCGACTACTTGTACACCGTTTTCTTCCTCTTCCCCTTCGTCTCCATCTCTGGCGTAATTTTCAGATAGGCCATCCCAATCCTCATCGTCTTCGTTTTCCTCTTCGACTATTTGAGGTTTGGGTTTAGACTTTTGAATAGAGACGGGAAGAGGTTTAAATTGTGCTTCGAAATGACGACGGAATATTTCTTGAGGGTCAAGTGCTTCTGTGTTGTCTTCTTCCTCCTCTTCGTCTTCCTCTTCGTCTTCTGGGGAGTTATCTGAAGCTTCTTCTGAAACGGGTTTTGGTATTGCCGGAGTAATCTTGGATACTCTAAGAAGCTTCGAGCTGGTAGAAGTAGTGGCGGATGTGCGCTTTCGTTTTCCGAGGGCGGCAGGCATATTGAATGTAGTTTGTTTGGGGGTTTGTGATTTTCGCAAAATGGAGAGTTGAAGCTTCCCCAGAAAATAAATGAATGTTCAAGATGGGAAAAATTTAGAGACCGTTGCCGGGATTCTGCCGGGATGTGGAAATCCTCTTTTGATGAAGAGTAAACACGAATTTAGTTACACAGCATAGATTCTCAACACACTTCACCATTATTTGATCTTTCTTTTTTTCCTTCTATTAGAAGTCCTCGACTGGGAAACTTTCTCTCACTCGATTTCTGTACTTGGAAATATCAGCTTGGGAACATTTTCAAAATGACAAAATTTCGACCTTGTATAGACTTGCATTCGGGTCAGGTGAAGCAGATTGTAGGTGGTACATTAACAACTGCTTCATCTGATTTGAAGACCAACTATGTATCCAAACTACCAGCTAGTCATTTTGCAAAACTCTACAAGGAGAATGGCCTCACTGGTGCCCATGTTATTATGCTTGGACCTGGGAATGAAGAGGCTGCGAAGGAGGCTTTAGGAGAGTGGAAGAATGGTCTTCAGGCTGGAGGTGGTATTACGGATGAGAATGCTAAGCAGTGGATTGATTGGGGTGCTGAGAGGGTATGTTTCTATCACGTTGCTTGCGGATAACGGGTTGAAGGTTGATTGGAATAGTAGGTCATTATCACTTCTTTCCTATTTCCTAATGGGAAGTTCTCCCAAGAACGACTAGATTCCGTATTGGAAGCTCTTGGTGGCGACAAGGAGAAACTTGTCATTGATCTGAGTTGTCGAAGGAGAGATAATACTTGGTTTGTGGCTATGAACAAATGGCAAACTATCACAGATATGGAGGTGAATGAGGGTGAGTATTTCGTTTATTTCCTTCTCTTCGTCATTGAAAACTTATGTATCCTCTAGCATCTATCAAACTCTTAGAGCCATATTGCTCTGAGTTCCTAATCCACGCAGCGGATAATGAAGGCTTGCAAAAAGGTATCGATGAAAAGCTTGTCGAGAAATTGGCACAATGGTGCAGTATTCCAGTCACTTATGCAGGTGGCGGGAGAAATCTTCAAGATCTTGATAATGTCAAGAGACTTAGTGATGGAAAGGTTGACCTTACGATTGGAAGCGCTATGGATATTTTTGGAGGTTCCGGGGTCACATTTGATGAATGTGTAAAATGGAATCAGAAGCAAGTTGCTTCATAGAGATGCATAAATGCAAATGGGGTGTCCCGATATCTCTCTGCTATTGTGCCTCGAGTGTAAGCTGCATACAGTCACCCATCTTTTTGCATGCTCTTTCGCTTTTCCTTCCCAACTACGTGAATCCAAGACTTTGTGATCTAATACCGGTACCTCGTTTGACCCGTTACATCGCATTACATGTATCTTTTACTGATTCTCTCCGTACATAAACGATCAAAAAAACATCCCGCCTAATCGATCTAATCCATTCAACCGCGTTGCTCACATCTAATTTTTTGGAAGAACTTTCTTGCTGCATGAAGCTTGTGGGAATCACACCGCGATTCTTCAGGCCTCAGGAGTGAGGCTCGGAAATAGCAGTGATTCGTTTAACCCCGGCAATCCCACTATCATCGACTTTTGGATAAGGTTATTCGCCCGCTCGCTCCAGCGGTTGAGCCATCTTCCTTCATTCAAACGTCTCTTTTCATCAAAATCGCCAAGTTCTAGAATTCGCAGGTATAGTATGGCAAAATGAGGCTCGATGATCCGATTCAGGTCGAGGCCGGGGAAAGATGCGTTAGTAGTACTTAGTACCTTTCATATGCATCAATGGCGTATGCCAAACGATCTGTTGGACCAGCGGTTGCGAAAGAACTGGACCATCATACCCACCGCCTCATTTTTATCCACGAAATGAGCTGAACCACGTGGCATCAGTAGAGTAGATACACTTAAAACTCTTCTTAGAGGAGTGAAGTGTCTCTTTATCGCCCAATCCTCCCCGAGGCTCCCTCACAATGGCTCACATTGCTTGTTGCTTTGTTGTCGGGGTAGGCTTGGTGGCCAAGTTTTTGCTTACGACTTGTACCGGTCTCTTTCGTACCTGCATTATTTTTATACATGTACTGTGGGTTCCGCTGATTTATTCTTCTCTTCATAACACAGCTCAATTATTCTGCGATTTGCATTTCAAATAACTACCTTTAGTCTCTTCAAGTCATTTATTTGCTTCTTGAAGAATCTTTTTCTTTTTTCTTCTGATTTCTACACCGTTTTCTCTATACATAAATTTTCTGTCAATTCTCACACCAGCAAAGGAATTACTGAAGCTTTGTGGTGGACCTTGCTCGCATTTCTTTTATTTCAGCACCCGTTATTTCAACCTTCGTACAAAAACATCACGACATTCAATACATGCATCAATCTACCATGTCAGGATCCGGGTATTTCAACGTTGACAAACCCACAATTTCAGGTCCCGAACATGACCTCATGGAGGATTCTGGAGTTGTCTTCGAAGATGAAGATAATTTTCCAGAAGAAACCCCAGGAGAACGCCTCGGAGCTATATTTGAAGATGAAGATAGCACTCAAGACGATACCTTGGAAGAACGACTCGCGTTGAAAAAATTGAGTCTCAAGAAATGTGCTGAAGATATGGTTTCCGAGCATTCGGAAGCTGTAGCTCTTGCTGCATTGGCAAAGAGAATAGAGTCAGGACTAAAGGAGGTCAACAATAAGTTACTGGAGAAGAATGAGATTGTTCAATACTTCATTAAGAGGAACGGAGAATTGTCAACCGAGATTCGGACTGAAGAGACCAACATCAAGTTCTTTCACTTGGAGTCATCACTGAGTATGAAGACACTGGAATGCGAGCAACTGCATGAGGAAAATCAGAAATTGTCGGAGAAATTCAAACTCTACGAAGAAGCCGTGAACCACAAAGGAAAAATCGACGTCGGCGCCTTACTAGTCGAGAACTCCGAACTAAAATGCAAACTCGAATCATCGTCCACCCACCCCGATTCCGACTACGGTGCACCTCCACACGAAGAACTTCAAAGCGAAGCCACCTTCGTCAATCCCGAACAGCACATCTCAGACTGGAAAGAAAACCCCAAGATCCAAGAACTCATCGCCGAAGCTGTCCGCTCTGCCCTCAACCAACAGCGAAAATCCATGAAACATCTGTTTTTCGTCGGCCAACGCGTGCGCAATCGATTTCTCGAAAGAAATTCCGCGCGCGACCCCCAATCCAAAGAACGCAACGCCATCTACGAACTCAGCAATTCGAGCGTCTATAACGGACGTCCCATTACCGACGCTACCCTCTTTTCTCACGTACCGGGTATTGCGTTTGAGAAGCGGACTGATGAGCAGACATTTAAGGACTTGTATTGGGCGAGCTGGCATACTGTGCTTCGTCTGCAGGACTGTGCTGAATTTATCGAAATGTTGCGCTGGCATTCGTCTATTAAGGCTTGGCGTAAGGCGGACTATGCGGATACGGAGTTCTTTCGGACTTGGATCAAGAATGTTGATACGTCGTTTGAAGATATGGATTTAGAGGGCGTGCGTGCGTATTGTGGGAATGTTACGCGGAAACAGTTGAAAGCGTGTTATTTGGATGAGAAGAGGAGGAATTCGAAGATGAGGAGGGCGACGGGTTTGAGGGCGGGTAGTGGCATTGCTAATGGGATTGGGAATGGGAATGCTAATGGTAAGTCGGATTATCTTCCTTGCGATTTTGATTGTGGATGTGGAGAACAAGGGCAGCTTCCGCTTGAAGCGGTGGTTGTGGAGGAGAAGAACAAATATGTGTCGCGATTGCCGTTTGGTAGGCGAGATACTGTATTGTAGATTCTTTTGTCTTATATCTTATATCTTATATTATATGCTGAATATGCGACAAGAAACGGGTGTGTTTTGGGAATTGGGTTGGGGTTTAGGATGGGGGTTGGGATGGGGAAAGAGGGGGGTTATGGTGGGTGTGTTGAGGTGGGGAATATTGATGTTGGCTGTCCTTTGTCAACTCATGCTCGGGATCTTGTGGTGGGTGGAGCACAGTGATTTGATGGGGAGAGGGGACTTGGTGGATCTTAAGCTCGAGCTCAATCTGGAGTGCTTCGGGTTAGGAACGTGGAACTGGAAAATGGAGGATTTATTGGTGTGTGTGAGAATGGGATTGATGTTGGGGTGGATCGTGGGCGAGTGTGCGGTGCTTACTGCGGATCGTCGGGGCTGGAATTGGCATATTCCACGGACTAGGGATTTTCGGAGTTTGTGCTTTGGGTATTGAAGAATCTGAAGTGAAGTGAAAGGGCGAGGAGATGAGAAAATGATAAAAGAGTTTGCTGGTTTGCTGGTTTGGAGGGAAGATTGGGTTTTGTTTGGAATGATAATTTGAAATACGGAAATGATATGGATATGGATGGATATGGATGGTTATGGATGGATGAATGGATGGGTCTGGATATGGATATGGATATGATGATTATGATAACGAATTTACTTGGATATACGAAATACACGTCAGATCAGGAGGATAGACACACGATGATCTGTCAGGTCGAGCAGATGGACAGATACACCTGCATATCACCTGCATACGAATTTCCTTTACAAAGCAACAAAAATACCCATTGGTTTAGGAGTTTTTCTTTTCCTCTTTCCTTTTCTTATTTTTTTTCTTTCCCCTTTGTATATAATTTGGTACTCGGGGAAGAGGAAGATGAAGATGAAGATGAAATGAGATGCGATGAGTTTGGAATGTGTTCTAGAGGTACTTAGTCTAGGTAGATGATTAGATAGATAGATCGTTTGCGATGGTGATTATGAAGAGAAAATTAGGGGAATCTTTGTGTCTGAGTTTGAACTTGAATTTTGAGACGTGTGTGTGAAAGTGTGAGAGTGTGTGAGAGTGGGTTGTGGGGTTGAGAAGATGGTGGTGGTTGTGTTGTGTGGTGTGGATTGAGTGCTGCGGAATTAAGTGATGCGGGAATGAGTGTTTGGCTTTGTTGGGATATATACTGTACAGTGATTGTGCAGATAACAAACTTTTGGTTCCAACAGGCTTGTCATTGGAAGGACCTTGGAGATTAGATTAGAGGAGCAATATAAATGAGAATGAGAATGAGAGTGAGTATGAGTATGAGTATGAGAATAGAGGTATGAGAATAGAGGTTTGATGATGCGGAGCTGAAGTGGAGAAAGCGTAGAAGGTACGTTGGAGTGAAGTGAAGTGCTATTGCTCTCACGTGCTGTACACTCCCGTTTTACACTTAGTCTATAAGTGAAGGTATGGGTGTGAGCAAGAATCAAGAGACGGTTGAGGTGTATCCATATGTCAAGATACTCATTCTCTAACAAGTTCAAGTGTCACTGCTGTGTGATGATCACTGGATCAGCATAGATGATCAAGTGCTCTGGTGTCGATGAAGACGAAAGTCCCTCGTTTATTAAACCCATCTCATCATTGGGATAATCGTGGCGAATGTTTCTCTGTAGTTGAAGAAGTCTTACTTTACTCTCTCCAGCGATTTCAAGTACCACTGGAGTATGATCCCCTGGTGTGAGGAGAGGTGAATCAGGTGACTGAGAGTTGTAATTCTAGTGGAAACTATACGAAGACCCCTCATTTGTTTATACTCAGGTTTTCATTGATATATATGCAGTGAATATTCAATGTTTTTTGTTGTCGACGGTCCTTGTTTTTTACGTCTGAATTCACGAGACGACAACCCATACCCCGCATTTTCGAATCTCAAGCTTCACCTCACACCTCACACCTCTGCAAGTAAAATTTGACATCTCATTTGGCTTAGTGTATTCTCATTTTCGGGTTGATGGTAGCCTTGCGAGGATATTTGTTTTTCGAATCCAGTCTTATCCTGATCTTTATTCCATCACTTCATCACTTCATCACTTCATCACTTCATTAACGAGTATAGTGTATCAGAAAACAAGGCAATATGCCGTGGGACTCTCACCCTTCCGACAGCGAGTGGAGTTTGCCTTCAGATGATTATCAAGATTCAGGTATAGATTCCAACGATAATGGCTGGGGTAATCAAGATGGATTTGTTTCACCTCAAAATTGTCGCCAATTTCCAGATCCAGAGTCTGCCATCAAAACTCAACTGGTGGCCAAGCAAGCCGAACTCCTCAACTTGTCCAAAGAAGTCAAGGCAAAAGAAACAAATGTTTACGACCGCACTGGAATTTTCGAAAACGCAAAGTATAAGATGCATAAAGCAGGCACTCAATTGGCGGAGGATGCAGCAGCGTTGGTGGTTGCGGAAAACAAATATGATCTACTTGTGGAGGACATTCGTTCGCAGACTGAATACTTGGAAGCAACTCGGTCAGCCAAGTTTCGTGAACAGGGACAACGAACATGGGAGCAGTGCCTGATCGAGGAAAACAGGACGCTGAAGCAGAAAGTCGAGTCTGTCCAGCAAGTCAAGGGGCTCTTGGAGGATCATTGTGCTTACTATATCAATAAGATCGATCTATTGGACAAGGATATTGACAACCTTACGCTCAAGAATGAGGATCTGGACAGGCGACACCGCCAAGATCTTTTGCGCTGGCAAGATTATAACTGGGAAGCAGATCCGAGAGTGAAGGAACATGTCGCTGCTGCTGTAAAAGAAGCTGTGAAAGAGGCTGTGAAGAAATTTTTGAGTTGTAGGGACGTAGATTTTGGCGTCGTTGGTCCAGATATCCGGGCGAGCTTCATTGAAAGTCACCGGGTGCGTGATTCTTCAACTTCTACCTGTACTCGAGCATTTGTTCCAGATGGATCTAAGCCATCTCATGGTTTCGATGTTCTCTCCGACGCGACTTTATATGTGGACTTTAAGGTACCAGGTTTTCGGACAGACAGCGACAAATTCACTCGGATCTATGGTATTAATTGGCATTCTGCCTTAAGGCTAGGGCTTTGTCCCATGTTTGAAGATTTGGTAAACAAATATGCTTTAGCAAGAAGTTACTGTCCTCAAACATTTCAAGCCACATCCTTTTTCAAGACCTGGCTGAGCATGGGCATCTCGTTTGATGACATGAGCTTAGAGGAGGTTCAGGCATGGGTCAAAAACACTCGACGTGACATGTTCAAGACGACCATGAATCTGAATCTTGCCCTCGCCGAAATGGACCGACTCTACAATGGCGGGCGTTATCGTCAATCCCATGACACGGTGGCGACCAGAGATGAATCGGAAAACATTATCATACAGCAGGTTTGAAAAATAGGGAGTTTTGTACCACAGTGCAGGCACTCCCACAGCAAGCTGGACTTGCGATCCGACGTCGTTGCTTAGAATGGAGGCTGAATCCGCATATACGAGATAATTACATCATTGAGAAGGGGGATGCAGTTGCACACTATGCAGACGCTCTACTTGATGCTATTGTGTTCGTGCCTGAACTGCTTGATAGCAAGTACAAACCAGCTGAAGATGCCAAAGCATACATAGCCATGTATCACCGCTCTCCCATCGAAGTGATCTCAATAGCTAGCCATCAATCTTCCAGCTCGTTAATCAAGGTTATCAATTGGTTTGCTCGCATTCAGCAATGGCACACTTCTCAAGATTTTTGGGCCACGAAATTTTATATGGCATATCATAAGTTCGGATTATGTGAATCGAGAGGTGATAAGCGAGACTGGCATAATTGGAAGCCTCCGCGTGAGTCGTCGGATTGGGATCATACTCTTCAAACGCTAGAAAGCTTGTACTTGGAAGAGGAGAAGGAGAATAAGAGAAAACATCGACGACCGGAATCACCCCATTTTCCTAAACGTGACCAACTTCGTTTCGAAGTGGGGAATATTTCGAGCAAGGAGAACCATAGCCCAAGGGTTCCAATTATTAAGAAGTGTCAAACGGGAGAGGTTTTGGACTTGAAAAATGATGAAGTGTAGATAGAATCTAGCGACGAGGATTCGGTTAAAGAAAATAATGATGTTCGGAATGATGAGGTTCTGGACTTGCAAAATAGTGAAGTGGAGATACAATCCAGCGATGAGGATTTGGTTCAAGAAAATCATGATGTTCGGAATGATACTAATCCAATAAGCTCCTCGACCGCTAAATCATTTCACGATAAATCTTCTTGTGATTCGGCAGTTAGAGTTAACAATGATGTCGAAGGACCGTCAAATCTTGAACTACATTCTCCTGAAAAAAGTTGGAACACGCCTGGCGATGATTGGGGATCATGGGCGGAGTCGAATTCACCTGATGATTATTGGGTTACTATTTCACAACTACGTAAAACAAAACATGTATCAATGGCGCCATTCTGGGTCGCGTATGACAAGTATGAACCGGCTACTGGAACGCGTTGGTAGGTATTAAATGGAACAGTGGTGGGATGAATTTTTACAGGTTATTTCCGCTTGCTTTGCCTTGCTCGGGGACATGGACATATATGCGTATGCGTATTTAGATTATATCACATGTATGAATTGAAGTGCTTGATACATACATATGACTTATGACGATTCGCAAACTATGAATTGAAGGTTATGTGGGCTCTTCAATGTGTGTATAGCATGTGATATGGTTGTTTTGTGAGTTTGGTTGGTTTGGTGAGTAATGGTATATGTATATGCTCCCGCATGCCTTGTGATCTAGAGGAATGGGTTGTGATGTACAAACGGTTCGGTGGTATAATTTGCTAGGTAGGTATCCATCGATCTATGAAACTGTGAAGCTATGAAGCTATAGAACTACTGTATACTCTCTCTCTACTCTCTCCCTTTCACTCTTATCTTCTCATCCTCTTATACTAACATCCTCTCATCCTCTCATCCCCTCACCCCCTCACCCTCACACTTAATTCACAATTCACAATTCAAACCCAAATAATGTTGATTCCACTCACTCCACAAAATAATACATTATAAAATCATAGTCCATAATCATAATCCATAACCAGGACCAGAACCAGAATCCACTCGCTCACTCACTCAGCACACTAGGTATGCATATATTATATCGCTCGAGTACATATCCAGCCAACTGTATCATCAAGATGATATTTTGCCATGTCTATAAATTCACTTTCCACATGATTCACTTCTAAATCTGTGGGGGAGGGGAGGGGAAGATCGATCTAATGAATAATGGCGGATCGGGCTTTTGAGTTTAGTTTCGGTTTTGCTCGTGGATATGGATCTGCTTGCTATTGATCTTTGGTGTGTTATTGCAAGATTTACCGAACTTACTTTCTTGTACAATACAGTATCGTTCCACTCACAATCTCAAATGGTCTCCTCACTTCCTCAATTAAATCAAATCACACTTACGTAGTACGTACAATATCACAACTTACAAGATGGAGGAAGATAAAGCTTTGAAGCCTATCAAGGTATGATTTCTTGATGTCGATTTGGTGTTGAAGGGACAGGGGAACTGACTTACTCATTACTCTGCTTGCTAGGCTCTGATAGCCGATTTGAAGAGGCAATTGGGTGAGAAAGATGAGCTTTTGAGAAGTGCTAGGCAAACGATTGGGGAGCTTCGTAAGATTATCTCCATGAGGGAACAGGTTATTGGTGATCGGGATGAGAGGATTGTGTCCATTCAAAAACTCCAAGAATGGCATCAAACTATCAATCAACATGAATGGGAAGGCAAAGGAAATCTTGAACTACACTGGCAAGAAAGTTACAGACGACTATACTCGGCTTACATAAATCAAGGTAAAGAGCTTAAGATATTCAAACAGGCGGTCGCTGGTGAGGATGGTGGAGGTCAAGTCGATTTTCTCCGGAAAATGGTTTCAGACCATGCCAAAATTGTGGAAGGCAAGGATCAAATCATTGCGCAGAAAAATCATATCATAGCCAAGAAAGATTTCTTGCTTTTGAGTGCGGACCCGAAGGTCTTTCCGTGTTTTGAGAATGTAGAAGTGGGTGGTTTGCGTCGGTTTAGCTATAGCGCAGATCGAGTCTTTGCAGGTAAGTCTTGAATCGACTAATTGTGGAATTGCTTTGACTCACATACTTTACTATAGAGATAGAATTCGAGTCCAAAGTCAAGGAGGTGCAAGTGGATGTCGTTGGACGGACGATCAATGGTCATGTTATCAAATTATTGGTTGATCAGATAGTACGAATTCATGAAGACTACACGACTGTCAACGCTACATGTCATGATCAGATGAAGATGGAATTAACCAAGAAACCAATATACGAGATAGGTCTCAGGGCTCGGGCTCGCGAGATGGAATATGCTTTTGCGGCCAGAACTTGCTCCATTCCTAGAGAAAGGATTACACACTCGGGAAACCTTGTCCCGCCTGAAATCGCACTCAAATATGGGGATATCTGGAACAATTCTTCATATTTCGTCAAAGTTATACAGCTCCTGGAATTTTTCCGTGACTTGAAGATATGGAATCGGGAGGGTATCGTGGGCTGTAGGTATGCTGCTCTCAGAAACCGTGTCGCAGGATTGATTCATAGAGTCTATCCTCTAGAAGAATTTCACAATGGCGAGGAATTTGATGCGGACGAAGCAGCCACCAAGGAATTCGACGAATTGTGGGAGGTCTGTCGTGAACTACGCGATGGCCACAAAGCATATCGTAAGGAGCTGATTTCTTCCAGAAGAAATTCAAGAGAGGATTCGAGAGAAATAGATCGTGAGAGCTTGATCCTTTCCAAAACAGACTCACGGGGAAAACTTGAAAAGTTTCGTGAGAACTTTCCTCTCTTTCGAAGAGGTTCTAAGGAATAGTGAGAGTATGGATATTTGCAGTGGAAAAATAAGCAGGTATGCTGAGGGTGCGATGATATACGGCCTCCGTTTGTTGTAGAGGAGTAGTGATATTTCCACTCGAGTACATTGGTATTCAATTTACCATGTATTCTTGCATGTTCTAAATAGCTTCTCTTCAGTCTTGTCTAGTAAATCCAAGAATAATTCTCCAAATAATTATGAACCTCCCTCAGTTTCAAACAGGACAATCCACGAGACCGAGATAAAGGATATCAAACATTCATTCATTCATTATTCCACTTCACCACTAGATCGTGTAGATCTGTTTACAGACTCTTAGGATATTAATCTATTAATTATTTTCCATCTTCCTTATATCGCTGGCCGTACCACCTTCGATATGTCGCATCGACAATATTGCGCATATACGCACATTGAGAGTGCAAAGATTGAGGAAGGAGTGGACTTTATAAACTTATTAAGGTATGCATTCGAGAGACCTTCACTTACTAAAGCTAATATGTATCATCACAAAGTATATCTACCAGCTCAAGAACTCAACTCGCAGAACAGAAGACGAAAATACAGTCACTGAGGAATTTATACATCGTGTGTGCGAGATTATCGGTGAGAAAATATTGTGATTGAAAACCTCAAGGCGGTTATGGAGGGCCGGAAGTGAATGATCGCTAGCTAGTATAGATATTATCATCACAGATGATGAGAGTACGCCAATATATACATGCGACGGAGATAAAAGGATCAGTCTAAATACAGCCGTATTCGGTAATGGAATCTTTGGAACGGAAGTATTCATACCATCTTCGATCTTGAGGTGTATGGCATTAAGACTAAAACTGCGATCTGGGACCGGAACTAATCTAAGTTCCAAAGGATGCTCAGGAATATCCAATTTGGAGAACTTTTCAGTAGACTTCATTGATGTGCATTGCACCGATATATATCAAATATTCTCATCCACATATTTCCCAAGCGCCTGTTTGCTTTTGGCCTTGTCTAATCGCGATAGTCACCTGGTACAGTAGCTCAAAAGTGCTTGTGCGCCTGATCCGACATCACCATCGCACAGTTTTCCCCCACCATTGCAGACTCAGGTGAATATGCTGTCGCAGCCTTTTTTATCATAGAATAAATTTATCCTATCGAAATCCTCCAGGTTACACGTCTCAATAAGTTTCTTTTGCGCACAATGTGTCGAGTCACGTCCCTGAATTTTACCCCACATACATTTCTTTATCCCCTATTTTCTCGCTTAATCGCGATACATAGCGTTTATGAAGTATAAACGGTAGGTGATACCATATGGAAAACTATGAGATCTCTGTGCTATTGTAAGTTTATTGTTTCAAGACTGTATACTATAGGCTAAGCCTTGCCAATGGATTTTCGTGTGCCTCGCCATGAATATCTTGTTGGACTGCTTTGTTAATCCACTGTCTTCAGCATCCTCGATACCCATGTACTTACCTCGGACTTCAATCAACCTCCATTATATTACCTAAACCAAATTATTCCTGTCCACCTAACCATCAAAGAAAATTGCAAGCTTAGCGACAATCCAGGCTGCAGCCACTAGTGAAGCAAATGTGTTAATTTCGGGGATATCTAAATTCGGGTAGTCACGGTTGTATAGTCAGTGAATGTCATTTGCGATGAATACTTCAAAAGGATGATACTCGAGAAAGATCTATACTAGGCATCTGTAAAACCTTTGTGTGTTCGACTATCAGGAAGATACTCCTGTACGATAACACAACCAAATATCCAAATCTACATTATGAGCCTGTCATATCGTCATCTTTCTAGTCATTGTCTAACGTGATCAACTTCTTGCTTAGAATACAACTTACTACTCTATATCCTGATACATCTATTTCTTAAAGTAACAAGATGTTAGACTCACCATCAGAAGCCGTTCTAGGAGAAGTTGTGATAGCGAGCGCCTCGTTCGAGCCAGGTTCGAATCCCCAGCCTGCGATAGATGAAATTATTCGCGGACTAAAGATATTAATGAACCGAAAGAAGGTTTTACCTACAAAAGAGAGGCATATCCCTAAGAGCATCGAGCTACCTAAGAATCGCCACTAGGCCAAGTCATCTGAAATTTAGATCTACCACGAAACCTCTCTTCTTCTCGAAAGATAGAGATCAAGAAGGATGGATAACCTGACCGGAATACCAAACGGAGCAACAGAGACTAGCTTGTCTTCAATCCTACTATCCTTGATTTCGACTGCCTGTCAAAGAAACATGTTATCACTGCAACATTTGAGAAATATCTTGAAGTTACCTTCTTATCCTATCATTCAGGTCCAAGAAAGGAGTATTACTGCAACATTCAAAGTATCTTGATATGACGTTCTCATTTTATCATTCAAAGCATTTTACTGACATCTGAGAGGTTTATTCCGAGTGGTTCTTGAAGCTAGGATTATTTTAAGTGGTATTAACTAGGTTTGATTGTTTCCGAGAGTGAGCAAAGTATAGACAAATAAATTCCATTATTATCAGACACACTGTAGAACTTAGAGCAATGACTTTTATTATTTAGATAGTTGACCCGGTAAACGAAGACACAAGGGACGAAATAGACCAAAACCCGATTTCTGGGTACAAACAACTATTAAAGGATATTCAGGCTGTCTGAAAAACTGTCATATATATACTTTTAATACCCTAATGTATAGGCTAGACCTTAATGGTTGCCATTCAGAACGCCTCTTTCTCATGCAAGTTGCTAACAGTTGTTGCTGCATTCCACGTGATACAGATGCTCTGGTAGATACTGCCTAATTCCGTCTTATTGTCTCCCACAAGAAGCTTCTGCACAGATTCAGCAGCTGCGCTCGTGTCTACCAGAACTGCCTTCAACAACTTTTGAAATCCCTCTTCAAATCCACGAGTAGGAGTTCCAACGTCGTTTCTATAGCGATAGACTTCGTATCGCATATCGAGAAGTTTCTTGAATGCGTCGCTTGTTTCAAGCGCAATCACTGTTTCGGGAGTTATTCCATAATATTCCTTGAACCATCCCGAGCAGTTGTTGCTAGTTGACATGATTCGGTAAGCGTCTGCGAGACACCTGTAAATATATCAGTAACTAAATCGTGACGTTCTTGGATAGACTGGAATAACTTACGTTCCTCCATGCGCAACCCTATTCCCCTGCTCAATAATGCGGCTATCACGTTGCCGAGGAGGTTTGCTCCATTCTCTTTTCCTATTCATAATGTTTTCAGCTACTTCGCTGTACACCTCAAGCGCATGGTCTAGATCTTTGATTTTTAAACTACTCCTCAAGAGTTTGTTCTCCAAAGCTCGACTTTCTTCCTTAAGAGTAATAATTGTACCACGATGCTCTGTCGTCATTTTGTTCATATCTTCCTTCAGGACGCGTAGATCATTCTCAAGTCTTCGCTTTTTGATTTCAGCCTCGTTCTTTCTAGATACCTGCAGCGATAGATCTTTGACGCTGGCGGCTAGAATTTTCACATGAGTGCTGCATTCGGCGTTGTCTCTGTAGACTAGATACCTGCCGTTTCAGGTCCTCAATCTCCTGCGCAAGTTCACGTTCCTGAGCCAATACCCTCGAGCTATTACGCTGTAACTTAGAAAATACAGCGCGAAGAAGCTTAGTGTCTCTGCGTATTGACAAATTCTCCATAATAAGTCCATTGCGCTCATATCGATGGCCCGATCGAAGTTTGGTGATTACCTGTCTAGATCGAAAATATAAAGTCTGCCAGTCCATAGTATCATCTTTCGCATCGAATTCCTCTGGGCCCTCGATTAAAAGGGTATCCACTGCCATGGCAATATCGTTCATGCTTTCAAGGCTAGCAAGTCGAGACATGTTAGGCAGAAGTCTGCGCAGAGATTTGTTGGACCTGCGAATGAAGGTGACTTTTCTTTGCTCGGCTATCTCTCCTTCAGAAACAAACGAGCAGTATATAATTATGGATGTATGGCGAGGAGATCTTTCGACTTATTGGGTTTAAGTGTTGATAACTTTCCGAGGATGATGACGTTGAAAATTCAGAGGAGGAAATGAGCTTCTGATTGTAGATGTGGATGACTTTATAACAGAACAACATCCTGTATTACCTCATTCTAACCGTCTTAAATATACAATAACTCGTATGGAAGCCGTATGAGTGGGTTTTGATCCAGCAAAAAGCTCGGTCAGTACGGCTGTTGGCACAACAAGTATGGATACGGTAGGCTCGATCCAAGAACCGATCCGAACTTTGTCGTATGATAACAGCTATGTAAACTTACAGTACTTCAACATGTAAGGAACTCTGCGGTCGTGCTTTTCGTGAGCTTCTTACTCTTCAAATGTTTATATTAGTACCCGGGACGTTCCGTGATAACCTTGACAAGTGAATTGAGAATTTCCCTGGGGCTTATTGAAGGGAAAGTGTTTCTTTTAATGATTGGGCCTTATCCAGCGGCATAATGCACTCTTCTACTTATATAATTCTGCTCGTTCATCTGTGAGAAATTCGAAATTCGTAGTTTCTTCCATCCGATAGTCCTAGTTATTAATTATTGGCGGGTGCTAGACTCTCAAATAACATAACAGTGATACAAATTCTAGCTTTTATTTCAAGTTATCAAAATTCAAGCGTATTCATTTTTATAATTAGTATCATAAATTTGAGCACATTATCGTGTACTACCTTTAAAGTTGTGGAGATTGTTTAGAGTGAATTTCGAATATTCAAGTGCAAGACCTCCTTATATGGAATTAGGGTTGGGCCATTTATAATTGCTTAAAGAATAATAATCTAGCTACTATTTTTACAATATTATTTTTTAGTGGTTTTTTCCATACGAATGTGGGTTAAATAGAGTATATATACTTTATAACCAGACAAATCGTAAAATAATAATATTAATTTTAGAAATCTATTACTAATACCAGGATCTAAATATATTATATGAGATAACTAAGACTATTCAAATAATAAAGCATATAATAACGAAGCTATGCTATTATTATGCTTTTTTATAATCTAGCTACGCTTTAGATAAAGCGCCCAACTCTAGTCTGAGTATATTCAATCTGTTTTCATCCGGTTCCTACCACCAACCTCTGATCTGCCATGAAAGGAGATAGAAGCACAAGATTTTTTGACTCTACTGTATAACATCATGCCACGGTTGACTCCGCCACCTAGAAAATCTCGCTTAATACTGTGTTGGACATATTCAGTGAATTACACTGGTTTCATCTAAGAAACCCGTACTGTACTGTTAATATCATTTAGCTTGCGAATATAAAAGACATCGCTTCAGCCTTTCCAATGAATCTTTGAAAAGAGTTTTTATAACGCATCCGTAACATATTTTGACCACATTCAAGAAAAGATTCTCGCATCTGCACAACAGCCCACAAAAAATCTACAGCACTTACTCCAAGTCTTGCAAGTTCTAAGATGTCGGACCCACAAATACCGGGTAATGCCAAGTGTACATCTCAAAATGACATTCCAAAGTCGTCCATCGAAACGTCGGGGACAATACTGGTGGATAGACTCAAACAGTCCAATCTCAAATTGACCACAGAGAACAGATTGATTCGCACTGTGATCAAGGAATTGGAAATAGCCAATATGAAAGCTGGAGTTGAAAAGAAGTTGACTAAAAACAGGATTGGCATATTCGAAACGATAGATGCCGAGGATTATATAAACTACTCTGACGCTCAAAAGCAAATGATAGACACTTGGTTACCGCTCATCACCAAAATGGTTGAAATGAAGAGGAGCTTCGATGTCAAGGGCGCAGAGAAAGAACGAGAGGTAAGGCGTATCCACTAAGAATGCTCAATCGTGAAAATGTTGACGGTCTCGAATAGTCATATGAAGCTGCAATCGAATCATGGCAGAGTCTATTCACCAGACGAGACGATATTGAGATAATGATGTGCATTAGGGTGGTAAGCCAGCGAATCTCGAAAGACAGTGGCATATCAGCAGCCACGATAACTAAACTCAATTCAGAGGTCACTAGGCTTAAGTCTGAGATCAATGAGCTCAAGTCCGATATTATCGGACACAAGAAAAGGTTGAAGGTGCAAAATAAGGTCGTTTCAGGCCTGCAGAAAAGGGAAAAGGTCTCCGAAGCTGAAATGAAGAGTAACTATGAGAAGATGTTGAAGCAGCAAAGCAACATTTTGAATGAAAAGGAAAAGACCTCAGTAGCTGAGATAAAGAGCAGCTACGAGAAGAAGTTGAAGGAGCAGACTGAAAATATCGCCAGTATCGAACAAAGGGAGAAGACTTCGGCAGCTGAGATGAAGAATAGGTACGAGAAAGAGTTAAAGGTGAAGAATAACTTTATCGCCAGTTTGTCAGCAAAACAAAAGATCTCAGCAGCCGAGATGAAGAGTGGATATGAGACGAAGTTAAAGGAACAGAGTAGCACTATCACTGACCTTGAAGAGGAAAGAGCTACTTTAAAAACCGAGATGAAGGTATTACGTCGGGAACTCAATGCTCACAGGGAGGTTTCTATCAGTATCCTAGGCCGAAAGAGAGAATTAATGAAACCTTTTGAGAGTCGGAACGACCATGTGATTGAAACAGGAAATCTTTCAGCACATCATGGAACGTAAGTCAATACTACGCAAATGGCTTTTTGATCTTTTGCTAATATATCTCCAGCTGTCTGGCCGACGTTTTTCGAATCAAGTCCAACACCGATGTTGACGATTCTCCATGGTTCAAGGAACATTACGGCGTAGCTGTAGATACAGTTGAAAAGTTTGGAGGAAGCGCAGCATTTGCAAAGCTTGTGAATATGCGATACGACATGCACAGCAGCAATGCAGAGGACCGGGCTATTGCTTCAGAGTTTGAGAGCGGATTTCAGGACATACTGGCTGGAATCTTGAAAAGTGATCTGGAAGCAGTACCAGAGTCAATTGATGGCTTCCTTCTGAAGAATAAAAAGGCAAAAGAAACGTTTCAGAGGCTATGCAGCATTTGGGATACTACAAGAGCATCGCAGAGAAAACGCTTTCAAGAGAGTAGAGATCCGTAAGTACCATAATATAAATATCCGATGGTATACTGACTGGTTTTAGGAAGAGGAGATCAATTTTGGGAGGAAGTATGAGATCTAGTGCTTCAGTTTGGACGGGAGAAACGCAAAGGAGGAGCAAACTTGACAAAATCGAGGAATATGGCAAAGACATTCTTGCCTCTGCGAAGGATGCTATGCTCTGGACTAAACATTGAGATCTAACAGTATCAGTTATGACCCTAGGCCAATTTTGTCGAGAACATAAATAACAAGAATTTATTTGTACTTTACCACCAGCTTTACACATACTTATACATCGAATCATTCCTATCATTACACTATCAGCCCTCATTGATTTTATTATTTCTATTGCCACCGCTTTTTTTTTACACGTTCTATTGACGGTTAGGAAGATATGACTTGAAGGGTTGTGTCCATTGCTCCGACAAATGAGTGGCAGTAGAGACACAACGAAGACTTAGCTACTACATACAAAGAATAAATTCTCTCTTCGATACACTCACATCTTATTTACCAAGAAATACAATACGCACTGTATATATGAATTAGATAAGTTTATACCCTTCAGTGAGTAACAAGAGAGGTTTTGATATCAAAAGTCTTTATCTTTGGTCATTCTCTTCTAAGGTCCCACTGGCAATCTTAAACCTTTCTATTTCAGCGTTTATACGCGGGTTTCACTCAAAGTTTTCTACTTCTGCCATATCGTGTTCCTTATATATGGAAATTTCAATCTAACTCTCTTCTAATAGTGGAACCTCGCCTGAAAAGAGGACTCATCCAATACGGACCAGATCTATTCGCTTCAATGCTAGGTCTACATAAAGGAGCTATACCCGCCTGAGATGCGAGTAATTTTCAAATGCACATAAGCTATACTAGATTGAACTAGATGGCATCAACAGAGCACATTCACCAATTAATTATCCGGTTTGAAGAGGATATTCCAATGCATTGGAGTGGTGCTTGGTTGCTCATGCCTCGTATAAACATTAGTGATACTTCGCATGATTTTTTATTCATCTCGAACAACGTGACACAGCAGAAAAATAAGCAATTAGCTGTGAGCGTACAACATTTTGCTCATGTCGCAACCTGCTTTCGTTTGATGTGGTTTTCTATACATTCATTCTTGTTTGTATCATATTCGTTGTATATTTAATAGTGTATGATCAAATACATCTGAATACGTAGAAGTATATGGTGTAAGTAACTTGATTTGAGTAGGTTTATTTGTCTCGAGAAAGATTGGCCAAACGTAGACAGTGTGTAGACAAACAGAGTATTATAATAAAAACCACACGCCAATTCTTCTAAGGCCACATATTGAAGATATAATCTTACCGAGCTTCACTATGAATTTCAAGCCGTTAAATTGTAATCTTCCGTTTCAATTTTGACCTCCCAGGTGATACATAAACATTTTTGATTTCGCGATGATAATCCTGACTAACTGGAGTACATTTGATTCTACAAGCATAATAATGCGAAATTCACAATATAAATAGGCAGCACGCGTAGTATAGTATGGTAGACTTTCAATCTGTGTATTGAGATCTCTGAAAAGAACCAATTACTCGTCTAATTCAGGAGCCATACCTAGAGTAATTTTCTCCATTCTATAATAGCACTACATCGAGATCAGCTAATTACCATTAAGAGATATACGATTGAGAAGACCCATCAACAGCTGCGATTGAACTAGTTTTGTTGGAAGTGCAGTCTAGGCTCACATAAGGTCACGTGACATTGTCTATATGCACGTGCCTCATGCACTTATACATATATCCAATCCCATTAGAATACCTCTAAGGACACACATACAATATTACTATTGTTATACCTATTATGATCTTAGTGATATTCCAACAAGTTTATTAGTTCTCGTACTTGTGTATTCTCTCTCACTTATAATATATTGAGTCCTTTTCCTTCAATCATCGAATGTCACGATGTTTTCAAGTTGTCTCAAGGTAATGATACTACCGAACGTGCAAGCTCTAGTTTTGCCATTGACTCCAAATATATTTATTCAGAACTTGCCGGAGGTCACCATCGTAGAGAGTCCAACAATGGGGCTTACCCATATACAAGCCATATATATCCAAGCCATGAGGCAAACCCGAGATCCAGCGACTTACGGGAGAACTGCGACAGTGACACAATCATTTACGCTCGTCTAAATGTACCTCAGAACGTCTAAAAGTAACTGCAACAATCTCGAAATTGATTCGACGTCCAAAACAATGATATAAATCGCCTCAAACAAAATCACAGGAGTTCGAAGTCAGGTTTAAGACTAAAAAGTAACGCCGTCGGGTAACGCGAAAAAGAAATACAGAGCTCCCGAGATATCTACAAGACTACCGAGTCTCTGTTACTCAGAACGCTCTGTAGATTAGCCACTAAATATGAAGTAAAGTGTACAGATTACGATGAACAGATAGCGAACTCCAGCTTGGGGCAGGAGAAGAGCAAGCTGGACACGAAGTACAAGAACAAAAGCACAGATAATTCATAAACTGAGGCTAGGTTCAACAAAATGAATAAGCTAGTTCTGATAATTGATACCCAGGGTGTATCCCAGGTTTGCGTTAGCATTTTCTGAAGATTAAACCTCTTCCCGCAGCAGGACCGCTGCACAACAATCAGACTCCAGAGCAATTTGCATGGGAAATAGAGCAGATAGAATTATTGGACGAAATATTGGATTACAATGACAATTGCGCTATAGCTACAAAGAACTAGTGTATTCTTGTATATTTTATATAAGCATACATTTGACCAAAGTATTGTAAGAATCAGTAAGATTAGTGAGAGAGGTACAGTATGAACATGCAGTCCAGTCAAGAAGTGGCAAACAGTATATGCCCACCAAAGTTATATGAACATATTATACCTTTCAAGGGTCAAATTGTAGCGACTTTGGCCAAGAGGCTAGAGGAGCTAGACCAGTTCACAACGAGTGGAAGGTTATACTGAAAACACGGAGTAGACGCAGCTTACTTCGATCAGAAAGACGGTTTCGAGGAGAAGCAAAACAAGATGTCGTCTAATTATACTAGACTATCGCTAAATCATAACAAGAATCGTCCGAGAATCGAATAGCCAAACAGACTCACAGAAGATTAAACGCATTGGGATATCAATCTCTTCCTTTAACATATATTTCAAAGTGATGTAAATCAGATATGCATCATCATTTTGGTACCGCGAGTATTTATAAGACATGACTTTTATTTGTGAGTGAACTGACCGTACGAATCGATACATTGAGTAACGTCGCTAATTTTTAATATATGGCTTCACAGTACTAGTACAGCGACTTATATAATTGGAATCTGTCCCTTCGGCCAATGAGAGGAAAAGAACAGGTACCCGGTTAATTCAGGAGCCGTATTGAAATGTATCTATTTGCCGTAGTAATGCCTTCAAATTAATACATAAGAGATCTTTTCTGGACAGTTTCAGTCAACCATCCTCTACAAAACAACTACTTGATTATCCACTTCGCAACATCTTGAATATTTTGGAATATCATATTTATTTTCAAATTGCCTTCCTTTATCACCAATCTTTTAGACAAACTAAAGATGCCTAAAAGTAATAAGAATGCCAAGCGTGCCAATACTGGCAATACTGGGAACAGCAATATTTCCTCGACAAGCAAACCAGAAGCACCTGTCAAGGAGAACCCAACAGAGCTACTCCAGAAACTCACAAGCTACATCGAGGGAGAAAAGACAGAGGCAACAGCCCTGAAGAACGAGATCCAGCTTCTCAAAGTCGAACTCCAGGAATCGCAAGACGATGCACGCGCATCAAAATTGAGCGTACAAGATCTCGAGCAAGAGGTAAAACAGCTCCGAGATGAGTCTGAAGCAAGATTGGAAGCTTCACATCGACTTGAGCGACAACTCGAAGAGGAACGCCTCAGCTCCCGAAAGGCGTCGACAAGTCTGGAGCAACAAGTACAGCGTCTTGAAGAGAATCTAGAGTTGTTAAGGGAGAAGCATGAGCGAGAGATATCGGCACTTAACAAGGAATGCAGTGCATTAAAAGAGGCAGTCCAAGATGTCAATAGGGAAAGGGAAATCCCCGAGACAGCAACCACTCCCCAGATGACCTAACATCTCAGTTGGAACAGGATATTCTGGCAGATACATACAAGGCTGAATGCGGTAACTGCAATCTACTTTTAGACCGAGTATTTGAATTGGAAGAGGGGCAAGATCCATTTGAAAACTTCGGTGATAGTATTATCGGCGATGTTCATCACCAATCTGATGTCGCCGCTGGGCATGGGTACCTGCAATTACTTTTACTCCACAGCAGAACGAGAGAATGAAGATCTGAATGAACTCTCTGCTGAAAATTACTGATGCCAAACTCAAGAGTGAAGAGGTTAGTCTTTCAACCTTGTGGAAATATTTCGTAAACCACGTACTGATAGAACATGCAGGATTATATGGATGCTGTCGAAGAGTGGCACAATTCATACTCACGTCAAGATAACCTTGAGGTGGCTCTTGTTTTGCATTGGATTGGTAGAATAACGAGGTCACAACAGATCCACGCGATCTCGGCTCTCCGTGGGGAAATGGATAGAATATCCTCGTCGTCCAATGAAACGATTGCTGGTCTCAAAACCGAGCTATCCAAGCAGAAGATCAAGATACTTGGGGATCAGGAAAAGATAATGGCATCCCACAACGTGGCAATGGCTGGCTTAAAAGCACAAGCTGAGATCAAGAGTATGGAAGAGGGCAAAAGGCTGGAAGAACTCAAAATGGCCAAAGAAAATGAGATCAGGGCCTTGAAAGAAGGGTATGAGACCCAGATTATGGAACTCGAGAAGAAGAACCGACCATTTTGTGAGATCGGTGAGAGTGTTGTAGCTCGCGAACGCGAAAAGAACAAACCTCACAGTGAACGCAATGAGGAGACCATAGATCGGGGAAATCTCGCTGCCCATGGGGGAAAGTAAGTTTTCTTCCATCTATCCCAGGCTCATTCGTGTAGAAAGTCAACTAATAATTCTGCGTTTGTAGCTGCCTCGCTATGACGCGATACATGAGCTTGAATCCAAATGATGGAGACGACAATTGGTTTCAAAACTACTATGGTATTAGCCTCGAAGCCTTTACTAGGCACCAGGATATTCCCACGATGCGCCAAATTGTTGATATGCGATATGGGATGAAAAAGTTCAAGGCTGTCCCACTTCCTACGACCGACTTCGAAAAGAACTTTCAAAGGGTCTTGCAGAAGGTTGACGAATGGGAAAAGCAGCATGAACAGACCAAGGGCGAACCAACCGAGTCTCTTGAGATATTTTTGGCCGAAGATGAAGACACAGCGAACATCTTCACTTCGATGCGAGAGGAATACGATAGCGCAGCCGAGAAGGACAAGAAGCGTAGGCAGTTGGAATAGTAAGTCAGAGTACCAGACAAATTCACGCACGAGATACTAACTGAGTATAGGAGGAAGATGTCAGGTAACTCTGGGTAGACCATGACCGATCCGAATGGTGTATCAAAGATGTTGTTAGGATGAAGATAAATTATATAGATGCAGACTATAGAATCAATTATTTTGGATTCGAAGCTTATCGCGAATCTATCCGCGATTTTGATGTGAATTTCTTGACTTGAATGTGAATCACACCTAACCTTATATGCTTACTTAGCCTCAAGTTAAACAGGTGGCTGGACACAAAGATTAATAACAATCAAGATACGTAAGATTACTTTTTAGGAAAAGAATGATAGCCTAAATCACATCCAATTTGAAATCGCGCATCAAAAAGGTAGTAGCTGAAATACTCAACTTTGGTATTCGCCTCATTATACTCCATGCTAACTGCGTATAGAGAGAGGAAGCCAGTCTGATTGAACTCAGACTCATCTCTGGTTTGAATACTCGACGGTATCAAAATACTAGTCACTACGCATTGGATAGCACTGAGGCTGATATTTATGCGCTGTAAATGAATTTTGAATCTTAGGGAAGAACGATGTCCTAGCATCTCAAGTCCGAGCCATATATTAAGGAATATACTGCCAACACAGATTAGGTCGCTTGGGGATCTTCTGTAGCGATGGAGAAATTTCAGAGGGGAAACTTCAAGATGTAATGGAGAAGAGTGATATTCAACACCTTAAGAAATGAAACATGATCTTGCAGCTACAAATGAGAAAATGAAAAAACGAGGAATTGGCATGTCAAAAGGAGTGGTTCGTGCCAGCCAAAGTAAACTCCTGACTTGGTAGAATCTTACATAGTATACTAACTATTCACTCAGAAGAAAACAGCAGGTTTTTAGGTCGGGGTTTAAAAGACAAAAGCTGACTAATAAATTGGCATGAACTTTATGCCCTACCCAAAAGGCATCGGGTGAAGTGAAGTGATAAATCACATTGGATGTGGCTGTTTTGAATTGTAGCAGTGTCTGAATTCAGATGATTAGTTCTGTGCTGATGTATACGAGCACAGATCAATGAAGGGAACAAAAGATTTACGCTGCCAATCTGCAGTATGTTCAAAGAGTGACATAAATTTGATAAGTAAGTTACGATATGGTTGATTAGTGAAATAAGTACTATCAATAGATGTTGAAGTTGTGGTATTGACTATTTCTGGCAAAATTACCGAGATGAGGTTAGGGGTTAGGGGTGAGGATGAGGATGAGGATGAGGATGTGCTAATGGCTATGGAGGTATCGTTTAACGTTATCGATGCTGTGGATTATACTAATCTCATGTAGGATTGATGGATGTAATGTAATGGCAGAACTTTGCCAAAAGGTAATTTGTGCATTTGAGTTCTGGGGAACTGGATATCACATTAATTATTCTTGAAGCTGTGTTGGAACTAGAAGAGGATGAAGACATTGAAACCCACTAACATTCTAACCTTTCATACTCATTCACCTTCGGCGAATAGAACAGTAGTTCTTATTTTCATTGCCACACTAGTAGACTCGGGGCGTTTCCTAACACTACGAGTATCACTTTTCGAATCCCTCCTGTCTGCACCCTTTTTCATATTTCCTTCATCACCTTCATATTACCAACTCTTACCAGCCTACATGTGACTTTCAAAACAAGTCCTTACATCTCTAATGTCTTCTTCTCCAAGTTTGATACCTTATGCATTATGGAAATTACATGAGAAATGATTACAGCATCGACTTCGATAGTAATGCAGTGCTGAACTTGAGTAGGTTCTCATCCGACAATATTCGAGGCCGTCAAAATGTCTCTAGCTAACTCGCATATTGGAAGCGAGGTTATATAATCCAAAGTCTCTCTCGGATGGTATGAGAAAAAAAGAATGGGAAGCACATTATGAAAATTTCAACCAAATCAAAATATACTAGATCGATCAAAATTCACTCTACTTAATTTTTTTACCCGATCAATACCATCTTATTTTGTCGTTTTCACTTCTTGTCTCTCACTGAAAACTTTATTGATTCACCTTTTGAGGTTGATCCCGATCTTTTATTATTAAAAGCTCGACTAATTCGATGGGTAAGTTGTTCCGCTCTCAGAACATCTACTTGATATCTACAGTTATATTTTATCAGCATCTCTAACATGTACCTCCAGTAACTCAATTGCACATCAATATCTAAACATCCAACTGTCCAATCTTCCAACCTCCAAACCTCCTATAACACTCACCATGAACGCCCCCGCTCTCCCCGCTCCCGGTCTCCCTAACGGACCCTGCATAGGATGTAGCACCATAACCGATCGACTGATCGCCTCCGACCGAGTCTTCCACAACCTCCACAACGAAAAGATGCGCGACAAAGATCATAAACTTCGGCAAGCCGAAAGAAAAGTCCGCGATCTAGAGGCCCAAGTCGAAACCATGAAACAAGAAGCCAGTCTCATGAAACCATTCCTCAAAATAGGCGCGCAAATACGAACTCACAAGATCTCAACCGAGAAGACAAAGATGGGTGCGACGACCAATATCAAGATCGCGGGATCGGGGGAAGAGTTACTTAATGTTGGGAATGCCATCGCAGACGCACTTTTATACCACGATATCGCTGGGAAATACAAACGTACGGATGTCGAAGCTTATAAGCGTATGTACGCCGGCTTTCACCCCGATTATATCGTAGCCAGTAAACACTGCACTCGCTTTCTTGATGTACTCAGTTGGCGTCGTACTATGGCTTTCTTTTACGAGCAGCCGTACTATGAGAAAGAAAAGTTTCAGTATACAATTTGTGCGCGCCAGAGCTTGAGAATGAAGCTTAAGTTAAGAGAGTGGTCGGGAGAGGAGTTTGAGAGGTACTTCAGATCTGATGAGGAAGGAGAAAACGCATATCAAGATATGAAGGACGAATATGAGACCGAACTGGAGAAGTATCGAGATTTTGCAGGAAAGGACGGCAAGAAAGGTTTCGGAGGTATCGTCGCGAAGCTTTGGTCGAAGTGAGGTATTTGATGGAATTCATGGGGTATAAACGCATGGAGTTGGAAATATACATCAAAGAGAGGAATTGTGTCATAATCCTTGGGTAATGAGTAGCATGGAGTTCGCGTTGAGTGAGGGCTGTATTTCCAGACCCAAAATGGATTTCTCGTCGCCTTTTCGTTGTTCTCATGTCAAATGACTGACAAGCAAGATTCTAGATCTGATATTGTGGTGGCCATATCTCTGGGCATTTAGACCCATCGACTTGGTTGAAAGGTAATAGACACTACGTTATCTACCACTTAAAGGCAATGATTTGGCTTCTCCGAACGTCATCCTTCTTAGTGTGTTCTAGCCCGTGGATTAGCAGCTTGGAAATGGTGATTTCGAAATTTTAACTTTCGTGTCGCGAACAAAGCGTCGACAAGTACTCGTAATTGATAGTGATCGTGGTTGTTCGAGATCGTTCTCCATCACCAAATTGATGCATGCCAGGATACCAATCTTACCTTGATCAGCCTAACCATGTATAGAGGAACAACACTCGCTGAAATATCCCAGCTACCTACAGCCAAGAATTGACAAGCAAGTTGCTCAAATGCTTGGCCCGGGCTTGCCAATATCCACGATAAAGTCTGGCGTGGAAAGCTTCATGCATGGCATCGGTGTCTCCGTGGGGTTTTTCGAAGAAAGCAAAACATACATTTCGCTAGAGACAGACCCGAAAAGACGAAATCGGTCAGTCTTTTTTCCCTCAGATGTGTTCATTTGGAATAAAATAACATGTTATAAGTCGATGATGATTGCAATAGGGTAGAAATAAAGTTTATGCCAAGCATCTGAGACAACACGGGGCACCACGGGGTGCGGGGAAGTCTGTCATGGTGTCTGACTTGGCCAATGGCATAGCCTCAAATATGGGTCTATCTCTCGATTTGTATCAATGCCCGAAGTAGTGCCTGCACAATAGACGAGGAATGGGCTGACTAATAAAACTAGTGTTTATAGATGGCTCGAGCCGAGTTTCTCGAGGCGAAACCCAATCATTCGAATCTACATCCTCGTTCAGGTGTCTAATTCTATGTATGGACACAATAAGTCTTGGAGAGGTAACTAAATATGGCATAGCCAGGTCTTGGAATATGTGCTATATATTTCAAGGTAGTCCCTGGAAGATCTACTTAGTCTAGATTGGCTGGTGCAAGGAAGGAGCATCTATGTGACTAGAAAGGCCAAGGATTATTTCCCCATAGAATCAAATCTTGGGGAAATGCTGAAATGTTGATAAATAGGATATCAATCATCCTCTTTTTTGAAGATCAGGCAGTTCGACAAGTCTCGTCTGACTGGCACTTCCGGCTTTTCTCCTCCTTCAATTAAATTAATTCCTCGTTCTAATTACTTTCACAATCAAACATCTCACTTCCCTTCCACATAGAATCCTCAAATACATCCCCACATCAACATGTTTGGGAAGAAAACAGAGCCCGAAGTTCAAGATGTACTGGACCAACGCGAACCTCCCAACAACGAAGTAATGGCCAACCGCACTGTTGGTAATACCAGATTAAGCGGTGCTGCAACATTAACCGTCAGACAATCAATCTACCCCATCACCCTCGTCACGATCCTATTTTTTCTCTGGGGCTTCGCATATGGATTATTAGACGTGCTGAACGCCAAATTTCAAACCGCTCTTAACATCACTGCAGCCAAAGCAGGAGGTCTCCAAGGAGCTTATTTCGGAGCATATTTTATCGGTCCCCTAACATACTCCGGATGGATCGTACGCAAATTCGGCTACCGCTGGACATTTATCGTCGGCCTATGTATCTACGGCGTCGGAGCATTAATGTTCTGGCCCTCGGCCGTCTACCGCTCCTTCCCCGGTTTCTGCGGAAGTTTATTCATCGTCGGATCTGGACTCAGCACGCTCGAAACCTCCGCCAATCCATTCATCGCCACATGCGGACCTCCGCGACTTTCCGAGTTCCGTCTCGAACTCTCGCAGGCGTTTCAGGCTGTAGGATCGGTCGTGGCTCCTCTTCTTGCCTCGCGAGTCTTTTTCAAAGAGGGTGATGGGGAAGATTTGTCCAAAGTTCAATGGACATACCTCGGCATCGCTGCATTTGTCTTCCTCCTCGCCGTTGTGTTTTTCTTCAGCAAATTGCCTGAAATCACTGATGCGGATATGGCAGTGCAAGGCGAACATTCTGCGGGCCTGACGGGATTCGAAGATAAGCCTATGAGAAGACAGTATAAATTGTTCTTTGGTGTTGTCGCTCAATTCTGTTACGTGGGTGCTCAAGTGGGTGTCGCGGCCAATTTCATCAAGTATGCCGAGGAAAGCGCTAAGATCTCAACTGCGGCTGCTACGGATCGATTTGCCATTGCTCAAGGACTTTTTGCGATTGGCAGATTTGCAGCGGCGGGTCTGATGATGGTTGTTAAGCCACGTTTGGTACTCATGCTTTTCATGACTGCTATTATGATTTTTATCTCTATCGCTATTGGAGTCAAGGGCGAGGGGGGTGTTGCTATGTTATCTCTCGTTCTGTAAGTTCCCTCTAAATCTCCCCGTCATACGAAATCTGTTGACTAACATACCCCCAGATTCTTCGAATCCTGCATCTTCCCCACCATTTTCACGCTCTCGATCCGCGGTCTGGGCCGCCACACCAAACGCGGTTCCTCCTGGATCGTCGCCGCCATCTCAGGCGGAGCACTCTTCCCTTCCCTCACCGGTCTCCTCGCCGATAAAAAAGGATACCATATTTCCATGACCGTTCCACTCATCGGATTCTTCGTCGCCTTTGCATTCCCCATCTACCTCAACACTGTTTGTGCCAAGGAATTAGATGGATTCCGAGAAACGAAAATTGGATATGAGGGTGCGGATTTAGCAGCCGAGAAGAGACCGGATAGTATTATCTGGGAAGAAAAAGGGACGACGGGGGCAGATGCTCAGCATTTGGAATTGGAGAATAGTAATGAGGGGAGTAGAAGGAGAAATGGGGGGCATGCTTTGTAAATGAGATGTCTAGATGATGGATTGTTATTGTCTGATAGTCCAAGCTTGGATGGTTTAGGTAAGTACGAGTACTGCTTGCATAGATAGCTTGGAAATTTTGTTTTTATACGAGTACACAAAATCTGCCTAGATTCTAGATAGTTTTAGAATTACTTGTGGAGTTTATACTTGAATCAAAGTTGATATATCAATCTTTTGGGCTACGATGCAAATGTGCTGTGTAAGTACCTGTGAGTATATTAGATCGAAATCTGGGGGCTCGCTAAATATATGTTTCATACCATGCGTTCAGGTCAAAGTTGGCTTTCGTTTCTCTTTACTGTAATTGAGTAAGCGATATTAATAGGATAAAATGAGAAAAATGATATTAATACCAACTCGAAGATATCCAAATTCACCCCTTTCTATCTCCAGTGGAAAACTATTCAACTATACCATGCATATCCAACCTTATATCTGTTACGCCTTCCATCTACCTATCCATTTACCAAAGTCATTTGACTACAGCCACTCGTACATCAGATCAGAGTGACATCACACCCAGCTAAATATACCTACTCGAGTATATTCATACAATCCATTCGCATAGTACCAACCAACAAGTAGACCGACTTACCATCCATCAAGCATATCATATGCCGATACCATACCATACCATACCATCCCTGCACCTATACTCCACAAAGTAATTAAGAATATCTTCTCACATACTTAAGTACAGGAATAAGTCCAACAAGGATGAAATCTATATCGTACTCGAGTATCGCCACCAGTACACCCAGTTTAATAACATGTTTCCAAAAAGAAATCACGATTTTTGACCTCTTTCAACTTTTCATCTTAATTGCAAAATAATTTTTTCAATAAATGAATTATTTCAATATTCAAAAATGATTGAAATAATTCTAATAATCAATCATTCAATTATATCGAAGAGATTTTTTATATTGAAGCTATTTTGATAAAGATATTATAGATTGAAATTCGAAAAATTCGATTTGAGATTAAGATTGAGATGAAAAGTTGCGAAAAGTTAATTTTCTTCTGGAAATACGTTATTAAACTGGGTGTATACAAACTAAACGACGCCACTAGATGAGGAATCAAATTTAGTTGAGCTAGCCCGAACTGCTTACTTACTTATCGATATCATCATACCGTATTTATGATTCAAAATCCAGACAAATATCAGTACTTAATCGAGTGATTCGAATACACATTTGTTTCTCAATGTGCCATTATTATACACGAAGAATTTGTTCGTTTAATTTGCCCCCTCCAGGATTTTAGAGCCCTACACATGAAATCTGCATCTGCGCAGAAAGAAACTTAACCTGGCTTAGCTTAACTTAATTTATCTTTGGAGGATAATAATCAAACATTCATTTAATGAGATTGTAGAGAAAAGACCAAAGATAAGTTGTAAACAGATCAACTGTATCTTATTATCTATCTGATATAATAAATACTAATTATGATTCCCTCACTCACTCACTCACTCCTCCATCGATGTGGTTTCCTGAGAAATATACCCCATGAAAAATCCATATCCATCTAATTCTCATTCATACATGTGTGCTCAAGTGGTAGCCGCCCAAGATTCCAAGATTCCAACTCCTCTTATACACCCAGAAACGCCTGTCTCATGCCCTATCCATATCCTGCCTTTTGAATAAATTGCTGTGCTGTTCACCGTAGTGACATGAAATTGGTCCTAACTCCCGCTTGAACCACCATGAGGACCCTTACCTACATCTAGAAGTAGTTTTGGTTTGATGAATCCTTCATCTAATTGTTTGAACCATGCCGCATGATCTTCAGCAGTGCCATGTAACAGCTGACTGATTGCGCCCGATGCAGTAATATGTGGTGCTTCCGGACGACTCGAAATACCTGAAGTAGGATAAGGTGTTCCCATGTCACTACTGTCTTGAGGTGGTGGTGATGGTCTCCTTTTCGGTGGTCGATTGGCTGGTGGTGGAAGATCAGATGAATCGCTATCAAAGCCTTCATCACTTGTACTACCCGTTCTACCAAGAAGATCTTGCTCAATCTCGTTCTCTTTTCTCCCATTTGCATTTGAATTCTTCCGGCTCATGCTTGATGGCCTAGCGTCTGGGCTAGCGTTCCCGCTTGCGTAGCTTCCACGTTCTGGTCCTCTACGATGTCCTAGGCCATCAAGTGGCATTGCTCCATTGCTTTGTCTTGGATCGTTGCCAATTCCTGATCCGGCGTGCTTATAATAGTTTCCTCCCGAAATAGCTTCAATATCGAACTCATCATCACTATCGATTTCCTCGACTACTCCAGTACGAATGCCAAGGATTTCCAACATGCGCGCTGTAGTCCCACCGAAAATAATAACCGTAAGCACCACAACCACGAGGACGGTCGCTTTCAAAGCCCATGAATTCTCGCCAGTCATTCCAGCTGCCAATGCGACACCTACAGCTCCACGTAATCCGGCCCAGAACAACATTGCTTGATAATTGTAGGGTAACTCGTCTGCAACCTCCAGTCCTCTTTTCTTTGCGCGATATCTGAGGAACCAATTGATGAGTCTCGAGAGTGGAAAAACGGCTGCATATCGAGCTACGCAAATACCAATGACCGTAACTATAATGAAGAGCGGCTTAAATTGTAGATTCTTTTCCGTGAATAAAGACAATCCGAGGTAAATGAAAATGAAATTCTCCGATAATTGCGCAAGAACTTGGAACAGGTATTTAGTAGTAAGTTGTGTTCGGCGAGACATGTTGTAGTATGCATAATGCTTTAGTGTGATCCCACAAAACAAAAGTGTGACGATTCCTGTATTCAATCAGTAATTGCACTTGGGATGAAGGAGTTATTGGAGTACTGACCAGACATGTGAAGGCCATTCGAGAAGAAATAGCTAGCATAGGCAATCAATACAATTAGACAGCTTTCAATCTTTGGAAACCTCCTGACGTATGTGTACTTCAATACCAAAGCTGTAACAATTCCTATGATGATTCCAATGATCAAACTTCCAAAGAAAACTGCCAAGAAAATGCCTACACCTTCAAACAAGCTGAGGAAGCCCAAAGTTCCTGCATTACCACCCTCTTTGTATCTTTGTGCTGTCTCGAACAAGACGATTGCGATAGCATCATTGAGAATGGATTCACCGAAGATGATTGTATAAAGTTTGGGATCGACCTTGTAGGTGTTGAAGATCGCTAGAATTGTGACAGGATCGGTGGCAGAAAGTGTTGCTCCAACAGATATGGCATCGACGAATGTCATGCTCACCCCATCGAGGGGTATTCTTGTATATAACCACAATACCCCTCCTAGCACAATTGCTGATATGAAGGTTCCCGCAAAAGCAAACGTAAGAATGGTCCCTATATTGCGGAAGAAATTCGCTTGATGCAATTCGTATCCGGATGCTAATATGATCGGTGGTAGGAGAAGATTGAAGAATATCTGATCATCGAAGCTCACAAGGCTTTGTATGGAATTTCCGGCGCTGACTCGAAGGATCAAACCAATGGTCATACCTAGCTAGTTAGTATCTGGGCTACAAACAGCTGGATCAACACAATTTACCAGCAAAAATCGAAATAGAAGTTTCGTGAACAGCTTCAACTTTCTTGATCTGAAGCATGTAACTTGTGAAAAGAGCTGCAATCAATAGCATAATCAAAATGAAGAGAGCCCATGATGAGAATATTTCCTTCTGCGATGAATCGGGTGCTATGACATCAGTCAGTTGGGGATCTCGAAATTCTATAGATATATGCCATACCATCAGGATCTTCTTCCTCAGATTGTCTTTCTATGAAGGTATACCCATTAGCTGATGCGCACACAAAGTTGCATGTTACTGAAGTCACAAACATACTCAGAAGCTCGAAGACTGAGCCGGCGATGGCCACAGACATGATGAAAGATAGTAGTAGTTGGTTGTTACTATATCTGAAAGTTTATCAAAGTAATGTTGTAGATTTGCGAAAGACTGTACAGTCGCTCAAAGACGAGCAGCGAAGAGTAAAAGAACGACGCATGTATATCTTTTGGATGAAATTATGAAATTGGAGAGGGGTTGTTCTAAATGTGATGATGGGGTGGTGGGTGGTGGGTGGTGAGTTGTGGAGATTGGGTGAGCTAGGTAATAATTTAAGTTGGTATCGTATCTCTCTCTGGCCAGATTGTCATTGTTACAGTACAATTATCTTCAAAGTTACTGTAAATGGTGCAGAATAAGATTTTTTTTTTTAATTGTATATCAATCACAAAGAGAAATATGATCCATTATATTTTTTTATACCAAAACCTCCCTTATGATTTCTTCGAGAGAATATTTTGACTCTATTCTATCAATGTATATGCCCATTGCCTACTACATATCTAGAGCCTGTTAAACCCTGCGATTTCTCCATCTTCATCCATTCCCACAGCCAAAATTTTCTCGTCTTTCCCATTGGTTCTAGTCATTTCAGCCTTACTCTAGCTTAGTTTTAGTGGCGAGGCTGTCGCATCAGTCAGCTTTTAACTCATCTTACATAATTACTCGTAGATCAACTTGCCAGTTCTCTCACAGTGTCTGTCACCTAATCATAATCATTCTTTGACCCGTCTCACCCTTCCTTTACATGCCGCCTACCTAGTACCTAGGTTTTTCATCTATCAGCCTTGCAGCCTTGCAACCTCGCTGTTCTGACACTTAGGAGAATATAATTCGTTCAACTTACATCTCGAATTGGCTGTGCTGCATCGTATTGACTTCGCACATGTACAGATCTCAAATGTTCCGACGCACCTCATACCCCATTTGACTGTGCGCATTGATCCACCAGACCACCCCAGCAGACAGGCGATTCCGCGTGTACAGCAGCCCACTCCAGCCTCGTGATGCCCAGAAGCCATAGGAACGAACCGTTTCCGAGAATCCATCCATATTGACAAAGCGCATTACCTCTTCATTAATAATCTTTGAAACCCTTTAATCCGTAGTTCTGACAGATCGCCATCTCCGGCAAACAAATCTTCTACGAAAGTGCAAACAACTGAAAGGGGGACTTTGGATATCTTTGAACGGAATATTCAGCTTCGGTTGCCTTCCCAACAACAAAGAACATGGCTCAAGATCAAACTCGTCGGTCCCAAGAGGAGAGCCGTGAAGAAATACAAAGTGCCGATTCGGATAGGGCGAATGATACTCAAATGAAGGGTTTAATGGAGGATCCCAAACCTGCAAACGAGCAGTCACCGCTTTTGTCTCCGTCCGAATCAGAAGAAGAGGAGGAAGAAGGGCTCATCAATGGCAGCAACATATTAAATGATGATTCTGATACTTATTCGGAAACAAAGGGAATATGGTACATGATACTTTTGACACTCAGTATAGGTGGTTTACAAGTGGCATGGGGAGTGGAACTATCCAATGGAACTCCATATCTTTTATCATTAGGTCTGAGCAAGTCGTTGATGGCTCTAGTATGGATTGCAGGGCCAATGTCAGGAGCTTTGGTACAACCATATATCGGTATTTTGAGTGATAGATGTCGGTCCCCATGGGGTAAAAGACGTCCTTTTATGGCTATAGGTACAGCCGCCACCGTCGTTTCTTTGGTTTCTTTAGCCTGGGTAAGAGAGATAGTAGGTGGGTTTCTAGGACTGTTCGGTGCAGATAAAGAATCACAAGGTGTAAAGGTTTCGATTATTGTTGCTGCTGTCCTCCTAATTTACATTCTAGATTTTGCTATAGCTACAGGTTTGTGCCCGTTTATCAATCCGAAAAAAAATACTGACCTCCTTTAGTGCAAGCCGCCATTAGAGCTTTCATTCTTGATTGTGCCCCTAGTCACCAGCAAGGTATATTTTCATGCGAAATTCCCAATTTAGTCTTCAAATGGACTAATAGCAATCACTAGAAACTGCGAATTCCTTTGCTAGCCGCACCATAGGCGTTGGTAATATCGTTGCTTACCTCGCCGGTTATATTGACCTACCCAAGTACCTTTGGTTCTTTGGAAATACCGAATTCAAAATACTCTCTCTGGTGGCCTGCGTCACTCTTTCTACGGGTGTCACCATAAGTAGTGCCACGATCAAAGAACGTGATCCACGTAACGATCCGATTCCACTCAAAGCAAAATCTGGACTCCTAGCATTTTTCAAGCAGGTTTTCACATCCATCAGACGTTTACCTCCTTTGACTCGCCAAGTTTGTGAAGTGGAGTTCTTTGCTTGGATCGGCTTTTTCCCTCAACTCTTTTATTCAAGCTCCTATGTTGGCGATATTTATGTCCAGCCATATCTGAGAGAGAATCCCAATATGACTCCATCAGAAATTGATGAGCTTTATGAAAAGGCAACCCGTGTTGGGACCTTTGCCCTATTGATGTACGCCATTACCTCATTGTCGGTCAACGTCATCTTACCATTTTTCATTACCCCATCTTACGATGTTCCTTCGTCGTCCGCATCTATATATTCTCACAAGAGTTACACAACACGATTTTCACGATTTATCGATAACCTCGCCATTCCCGGTCTTACCCTCCGTCGCGCATGGCTCATTAGCCACCTTCTATTCGCAGCATGCATGTTTTCCACACTTATCGTACGATCGATTACAGGAGCCACTGTTTTGATAGCTTTAGTTGGTGTATCTTGGGCTATGACATTGTGGGCTCCATTCGCCATCATCAGCGCTGAAGTTAGTAAGCGTGATGCTGTACGTAGATCACGACAACAATCGATGGTTGGCGAGGATGATTTAGACGAAGATCAAGCTGGTAAGAATCCAATTATATCATCACCATTACCCCATATTTCCTTGTTGTCAACACTAACACCACTCTCAGGTATCATTCTAGGCATCCATAACATGTCCGTCGCAGCCCCCCAAATTATCGCCACACTCGCCAGCAGCATCATCTTCAAATTCATGCAAAAGCCACGCGGAACACCCGGAGATAGAAGTTTTGCCGTAGTTATGGCTTCAGGGGGTATTTGCACCCTAATTGCTGCATATCTTACTAGTAGAATCAAAGATGAGATTGAGATTCCTGGGGATGTTATTAGGATCAGAAGAGGGAGTAGTGCGACAAGACTTAGTAGAAGGAGTACGGAGACACCGCTTATTATGGCAAGTGGGTGAAGGATCGAGGGATGTGGGGTGAATTTTGAGTCTTTAGGAAAGACAAGATGCAATTCACATCTATCTGTGGGAAATTTTTGGTTTGAAGGCGGGATGGAATCTAGGAGTCGAAGCGATTTGCGGGATGGGATGGGAAGGGAACGGGATATTTGGGGAATGATGGATGACATAGAATGGAAATGATTTGATTTGTAATGTACAGTTAGTTGATATACCAAATTTTCGAAATGTAAATAAATTTATTGATACCTATTGCAATGCATTGCATGGCATGGGATTGCATGGTACAGTAAGCCCAAATTTCAGAGCGGCCTAATGTCTAGAGTCTAGAGTTTGGTTTTGTTTTGGAGATATGGTGAGGAGTTGTAAATTGTCAGATGCAAAAGAAAGAAAGAAAGGGTAGGATCTCCTCACATCTTCACACCCTCACATCCTCACAAGAATTAAAAATTAGAATTAGGAATTAGGAATTAAAAATTAAAAACTCCAGGAACTTCAATCCAATCCCATCCCCCCACCTGTTCCTGTATTTGGTGTTCGGACTGGAAGTTCTGGGGGAGCTGGGGGATATGTATGTATTTATAATTAGAATCAGAATATGAATATGAATATGAATATGAATTAGAATATGAAAACTTAGTTCTTGTATCTATTTACACGTATAAACACACATCTAGATACACACACGAATACCCTCTTCCTCATATCCTCATATCCGAACTCCGAACTCCGAACTCCGAACCCTATCTATGGAATTTTGAGTTTTTTTGTTTGGCGGGAATAGCGATACTGCTACTGTAGCTACTTGTATCTCACTCAGCACCTGAGATATGTACTGCGAGGCTGGAATGTCTTCGTACTCGGTATCAATATTAGTATCCTCATATGCTTGTAATTCCACCATACCAAACCTATGCATAGGATCATCAGAAACACCAAATACTACACCCAACCTTTCGCACTGCGCTGCGCTGCGTGCACAAGACAGAATGATAGTAAGACTACATTTCTAACGTCTAGACCAGGAACCTGGATTCTGGAATGGAATCACATCGGAAAATAAAATAGACTCTAGAGCGCAGTCCATCACATCAGCGCGTGGGAGAAATGCTATGGCTATGCTATGCTACGCTTGCGAGTGATATTCGTTGGGGACATGATGTTTACTCTGTATATCCATTAATTCCGAATTCCGAGTTCCTCCCTCCCGCGAACGAATCTTATTACTTATCACCTATGGCCCAGTAACAACTCGCTGGGTTTTTTTTATGATGGCACTCACTCAGGATGGAAGTTCTGTATTTTTGCTTCTAGCACAAGTACAAGTATAAGGTGATGTACGGTAACTTCACAGACAGATAGACACTTTGAGATTATGTTAACTTGGATCGAATCTGTTTCTTCTGATCGATGACGATGAATTGGAATGGGAATTATTGGCTGCACTATATTACACTACAGGGTGAAGGTTATTCCAGCGCTCGCAATACTTCCCTAAATAGCAACACATTTTGATTTTGGGGTAGCGTGTACGCACGAGAAGCTTGATAACTTCAAATCTCAAATTTCAAATTTCAAACTACCTTTGACGAATCAATCATCAATCAAGAATAATGCCATACGTAAGTATATATTCGCGCCGATTTACAAGAAATAGAAGAAGTTCAGCTTGCAGGTCCACGCCGAACATTTAATCAACGAGATCAGCGAGCTCTCTCGGGAGCTGAAACGAGCGTTGAATATTTACTAATGGAGTATATGTTTATATGTTGTTGTACAGACACACAGCTATCCGGTGCCCAGGAACGAAGTGTGATTTTCGAGGCGGTGGATCGAGGGATTGCGTTGCAGCCGATTGAGCTGATGAGGGAGGATTGTCGGGAGCGTTGTGGGTGGGGCTAGCTTGGGAGATGGACCGTGTCGTGGATCTGAGCGCAGTCGAGCACGTTTAAGTGATGTTGAGTGCTGAGCTAGTTGGAGAAGGTGTTGCTGTAGTGGTGCGAAATTATAAATCTAATTCGGATTGTGTACTTAAATTTAAATAACGTAGATTAGATCAGTAATGTAGAATATCACTATGAATTTCAAAACATCACGACTCTCCTATGCAGACTTCTACACTTGTACGAGTACATGCAGGTAGAAAGAAGTATTTGTGGGTAAGTGCAATGAGTTAGCATTGGATCGTCCTAAGGTTTTGAAAAGCAAGACAGAATAAAGCATTGATGATTTTCCAGATCCTCAGACTATTCGAAGCAATAAGCATAAATTTCTGCAAGCTTTGCATGTACTGGACTACCAGCTAAGTCGAAACAGTCTTTGATTATATGAAGGCTACATGCTATTATCTCCCATGAACCTAGCATGAAAACGCCTCAACTCCAATCTCGCAAATTAAACATTCAACGGCTTCTTTCCTTTGGCCTCAATCTCCTTCAACAAAGCCACCAAATCGACCTCATTATTCTCCATCTCCAAACCCCGTCCCACCCACTCCCTCGCCTCCTCCAACCTCCCCATCTCCATCAAACACCTTCCCCTCCTCCACCAAGCCTTAGAATTCCCTACCCTCTTCGCCTCCACACTACTCTCCGCATCCATAGCCCCCTCGACCCAATTCTGTAACGCCATATGCGCCTGCGCTCTATTCGCATACAGACCTGCTACCTCATCTCTCACCAACCCAGCAGGTTCCCATAGCGGTCTCTTCAATGCCATTTGCAACCCGAGTGTATACATTTGAATCGCATCTCCATGTTTGCCCTTGCGAAATTCGCCGTTGCCGGATTCGCGCAGTTTGGTGATGTTGGCGGAGAGTTTGGGATTGACGGGGACGGGTGGAGGTGGGATGGGAGAATCGATTTTGAGGAGGGCTCGGTGCAGGTCGTTGAGTGTTTCTAGTTCTTCTTTGAGGGCGCGTGAGTTGGAGGAGGCAGATATGAGTTTGGATTGTGGATCGATTTGTAATGGTAAGAGGGTGAAAGTCTCGGTTTCCTCCATTTTGGCGATCAAAATGTTTTGATTTGAGATTATCTTTATTGGTGATCGCAAGTTGCTGTTTGAAGAAGTGACTTTGTGAGTTTTCGTAATTGGTGATGGTGGTTCACGATGGATTCAAAAGCTGTCCTTTCTGTGGGTAGAATACAATCAGCCTCGCTTACCTAATCACCCCCCTTACTCGACGATTACTCACCTTCCCCTCACCAAGTTTTCAGACTATGGCCCCCTCAAGTTCGAATAGCGGCATCACCTGCACCAACGAGGAACATGATGCCCAGATGATTTTGTAAGCCAAGAAAGTTCGGGTACTAGTGTACAGCATTCTCTTGATAATCTATCTCATCTGATTACCGTTTGATCGATCCCCTTGGCCCAGGTGACCCTGCAAGAACGAAAACCATGTCTCAATCCGGTGTTATGGTTAAAAGTTGATCGTATTGCATATTGATTCACTCAATAATGTTCAAGTGAATCGAATTCTCACTGAGTTGGGCGTTCCGGATAATGTATACAGTGCACTACATACTTTGGATATCTGCTAATAGTATATTCCAGAAATATTCACTTGGAATAGTTCCTGGGCCAAAGTCCTGCCTTATCCACGACTCGAGTGGCTCTACAAATATCATACCTGTAGAGATCATCAGAGCATCGCAGCCTACTATTTCAGAACCTCCATACATCGCAAAATACCCATTGGTGCACGGCGAAGTCACACTCATCAAATCTGGAGTCAAGGTCAGTCCAAGTCTGATCATACTCTTCGTACTCAATTGATCATATCGACTGATCTGGGTATGGTTGGGAGTCTACTGGCGGAAGCGGGCTGTATTCTTCCCAGTTATATGGAGTGTTGTCTTTTTGATATAGGTTCTTAAAGTAGCTTGCAAAGTAGTAGTCAAGGTTGAAGCTCCTGACGTCATTTGTATTGTTGTAACTCAAGGCCGTCTGGTCATAGGTACCAAGAGTGTCCAGGGTGTTGTAGTAGGTACAAAGTGTGTTCGGATTGTTGCCAGCATTTAGCGCCTTAGGATATTCTTTTCTAATGTTAGAATCAATGACTTGAAGTACAAGATATCAAGACTGACCTGACCCACTCCCAAGTAACGAAAAAGAGCAAGCCGGATAGAAAGTACAGTTTGTGCTGTCACCGGGACCTGGCATAGCAATTGCAGGAAATGACGTTGAAACATTCTGCATCAATTGTTCTCGGCTTATGCCCTCCACAGCGGGATCCGACACACCACTGATAAAATAATTTAGACCTTGCTGATTTCCATTTGTAGGATATGATTCTATCTCGGCGCGGACCTCACGGACCTCCAAGTCAAATCGTACAGATTCTAGTGACGTTGATTTGATCTGACGAGTGCCATTCTCGGGATTTTGCTGTTGGTTGATGGTAGCAGCTTCCTGACTTGAGTTTGAAGTTTGTAAACCAGGCCCAAAGTTTTTCCCAGTAACGGCAGTAGATTCCTGCGAACCGTGATATTGGCCTTGCTCTTGAGATAAGCTGTCACACAGAGCGGCAGCAAGAAGCAATTCTCCAATGCGCCCATCCGTCGTCTCACGAATAGTTGTACGTCTGTCCAGGGGAGGTGTGAGCTGGGCATCGTTTGACATATGTCTCTCTGCATCTTCAGATCCTCTACCCCGTGGTAGGCCCGAGTGATCTTGTATTATCGTCAGCATTATTGAGCCTCCACGTTTTCGCTTTTTAGACGGGGTCACACTGTCAATTTGACCTGCTAGGTATTGTGTAACTATCTGCATCAACGGTGTGTTGCTCGAAAAGAAATCGGTTTTGGTGCAACCATTAGCCTGAAGGCCATCAATTATAACGTTCGCAGCGACTTGGTTCTGGATTTGCCTTTCTTTGGCAAAATCTTTGCTCGAGAAACCTGCGCATTGCCGTTGCTCATGTCGTCGGATTTCTCTATAATGGAGGACATCTCTTACGTCTTGTTTGATTAATTTCTTTTCCCACCTGAACAACGAAATGATTAGCCATATGGAGAGATAATAGGCTGATGGTAACTCACATCGCCGACATATCAGGTCCAATTTCGAGAAGAGTTCTAGGACCTTCCGCCTCAATTAGTTCGCAGTAGCGCTTCGTTCTAGCGTAATCATCTTTCACTTCATAAATAGGAGTATTGGACATGCCGGCAAATATCTTGAAAGCATTTGAAAGTCGATTTTGACCCGATGTCAACTTGGTGGTGGTTGGCCAGCTTGCGATATGGTCTACAAAGTGAGCTAATAAAAGCAGGCTAAAGCGTGAAGCGCAGTCATATTCGGAAGTGCCAGTCTTTATCCTACGACGACCTTGTTGTAGATTGAGAGCCTGCTCGGCAATTCCCTTTGCTGGCTTTCCAAATATCCCCTCCTTATATGTCCACAACTTTTCGTAAGTCTCCTTAGGAAGCGGGGTTCGAAAACCGTTAATTGTTTTGAATAACCGGTTGACTTGGATCTTAATATCGCTGGGAATATCTCGCGGCAGCTTGGAAGGTAGAACATTAGAAGTGACCTGCCCTAAGATGAAAGTTAATGGCTTCGATAGTGGACTTGACAATGGTAGCAGTGATCGCGGCTTCGATGGTGGTTCTGATGATTGCGGCTCTTATGATACCGGCTTCGATGGTGGTTCTGATGAATGTGGCTCCGATGATACCGGCTCTGATGATACCGGCTTCGATGGTGGTTCTGATGGTGGCTCTGATGACGAGTCTGATGGTGGTGTTGATGATAGTATTGATGGTTGCTTCTCCAATGTTGGCTCTGGTGATCGCGGCTCCAATGCTAGTGGTTTTGACAATTGTACCGAACATGTTGGAACCCATCTGTCGTCGATCAAGTCAAGGGGAGTATGTGCTGAGTATAAATCTAGGAGACTAGCTCTTTCAGTTTGTGGAATAAGACACCAGAGCTCTTGCACAGTTCCTCGTGCGACGAACTCTCCAAAGGCAATTTTCAACCCCTGAAAAGTCAGCGGTATTTCAGGTAATGACAAGGTAGCATGATGATTTACCTGTGACTGGATGAAGTCTTTTGGCGAATGTTCATTAAGAGCACTCAGGAGACGCTGTTCCGTTTGAATTTTCGGATCAAGATTTATTTTTGTCGCCATGCTGAAATTTGATTGACTTAAATTGTTGTCTGAAGAACGACGCTCACGATGTTCACGATGCAGAGTTTCCGAGCTGGGTGGACTTGAGAACTTATTGAAACTTACCTACGTGGACAAGGGTTCGTCCCAATGGGGTACAGGTGTGATTCAACCCCCTGTCGGCGCACCTGTCGCAAGTGAGTTGAATCACACCTGTTCCATTGGATCCGTCCATGCGAGCTAATCATTCTTCCTCTTTCTCGTTATTCATGTCGATCTTCACTTGCTTTTTCTCAATTATAAGAGTAATTCGTCAGATTTCCGGTTCGGTCGGCATCTCGCGATTGACGGAATATGGGCTTTTACATCGAATCTCCTGATGTGTACAAGTGGTATTGTGTACAGTGGTATTGTGTACAGTGGTATTGCCAGGGGATAACAAGCCATTCAAATTCTTTGCATGCAGTATCATCTGTTTACGATCCGTCGACAGGATATTGCTTCTGCTCGACGCGACCCATTTGATTAACAAAATTGTAGACTTTCTCATTGTTGCTTGAGGATTCAATTCAATGTATAAGTACTCGAGTAGTAGGCCTCGTCTTCACTGACTCTTTTTCATTACTTTCGTACAGTACTGCAAAAGTCACCTGCAGAACGGCAAATTGCAATATCACCCACCACTCCTCTGCCTGCAAAGCACAGATCATTACCAGGGCACCCACATGCATTTCACTCGCAGGGGCAACCCATGGCGGCCTGCTCAATCGATGCTGACCAGGCGATATTGATCCCTGGCCATTCTCTCGTCGGTCCGTCTAGTTGGTGGAAGGAGGCAGCTAAAGAAGTTCTCGAAACCTCATCCGACTTCGACCTTGTTATACGCACCGTCAAATTCATTCCTCTTCCAGACCCGCAATTGGCTGCAGCCTTACTTTCCAAACGACATGAGACTTGGATAAAGCACCTTTTTCCAGGTGGAGCTATCGAAGGTCCGCTTCAATCATTCGATGTCGAGCAGCTCGTGGCTTCCATCAAGGGGGACCGTCCTCGCCTTCAAGGTGGAATGGAGACTGGTTTATTTCATCATTGATTTCTTCAGATATTCAAATAACTGCAGAGAAACTCGATAATCAAATGCAGTGGGAATTCTGTAGGATCAAATTCTCAGAATGGATAGCATGGATCTGTGGCGTTGAGTCTGTCAATGTTTCACACTTGCTCGACACACTGTTCAACTTCCGCAATGCCCTTGCTGAACACGCTCGACAACACGAAGATTTTTTGGAGAAGTTGGTATTACTCGAGAGGGCAAGTTATTTTCCTTGGGCAATGCCGCAATAGTCAAGCGTTACTAACATAGTGTAGGGGTTTCCCTCTCAACAGCCTCTACCGCGGTGGATTCTATCGACAGCGATAAAGTACGATGTCTCGTCCGAGCCCTCTGACGCCCTTGTGTCATTCTTCAAGCCGATCGCGCAACAGTTTGAAGAGCCCAGCCAACAATTCAAAGAGCGGTACTCAAGCATTTCCGCCCTTGGTCAAAAGCTCGCAATCTTACATGCACGTTTCACATCGAAGGTCGTTTGCCATACCGACCCAGATTGGTCTGCACCTTTCTCGACCAACTTCTCCCTCTGGGAAAGAATTCAAAAAAAGAGTCCACAGGAATTGGCCGAGTGAATTACAGCATCTGTTAAATGTATCTTCTCCCAAGTTTCGTACCACAGCCCCGTTGTGGGCGACGGATGCACGAAAGATCTTGCGAGGACATCGTCGGACTTCGCAGATGAAGTGTTTGCATACTTGAGTGCAGATAAGAATTTGACAAGTTACATCATGGATCTTGCAGAGCTATGTTAGCATTCCCTTGCAGCATATATCGCTAAACCCAAACAGCATTTTCTTCTCCTACGAAATGTATTTTCCGCTGCGGCCATAGGCTTGGCCTTGCAGAGATGGAAGTATCAACCCCAGCAGTCTTCGTGGGTTTGGGATACTATCAATCCAAAGGACAACTTTTCTGGCTGCAAAAAATATGCGAGAAAAACCCGCGGCTGCCTTCCCTTTCTTTTTACAGAGATTGTAGAGGTGCAACGGGCAAATGAAGACCGAGCAGATAAAATAATCGCTGTCCTGGCAATGATTGCGATGCACCTCAATAGTGATTGTGGGAAGTATGAACCGCGATTGACAAGTACAACGGGAGAAGTAGAGAGTAAGCCTTGGTACAGCTATTTCTGGCGAATCATTTCAAGTGCCCCTTGTATTAGTCGTATTTAAATGTTTATCTTACAAAACTATGTATTGTTGATTTGTTCTGTATTTCAAAACGCCTGAAAGGCAACGGTGCGCAAGACGGCACGCATTTAATTGACTCCCCAACTCAACAGCCTTTTGACTCTGATGAACTCAATGATGACGGCACCAAGAAAAGTGTCGATTTCGAGGAGCACAAAGAAGCCGCCAATCGTGACGATTAGAGTGTAGCTTTGTATCACGAAAGGAAGGAGTCTGTTGATGAAGAAAATGATCCTTTCTTAGAAAGCAGTAGGCCGTAGGTCCTCATCACTTCCATATTAATTTCCGACACAATCTAGCGCCTCTACCATTTTGCTTGCTTGCTTGCTCCTCATGAGAAAGAACGGAACTCAAGATGAAGTACCGGTATGGTCGAGGATTTAATAAACTATTATTACCAGGTAAGTTTGATGGTTTGTTCTGTCGCTTGCGAATAAATAACAAAGCAGAAGCTTTTGCAACCGAAATGAGCGAGCTGCAAATTTAGCTGGAGGCGTGGATGGCCAGCCTGTCTCGGCATGGTATGATTGTAAGACTAAAGAAAAGGCTTTTAGGGAGAGGGGGTGAAAAACGTTTTACGCAAGATTGTGTACTCTACTCATAGAACGGTTGTTGAATATTTTCGAAGTTAAATTCAGCTGTATTGGACGTAAAGAAAAAAAAGAGAAAAGACAACAGAAAGGAAACGGCAAAGGCAAAGGATAAGTATTTTTATTTCCTTTAAATATAGGTATCAAGAGGTCAGTCACATACAAGAACCCCAACTACGGGTTAGCATAGTAGCTTTAGTACCATATCTAGCTAGTAGACATTTAATTGATTAATCAAATTGAGATAGTCCGAGGAAAACAAAACACGACTACCGACTACTGACCTCAGGATTATATACCCGTATCACCTATCACCTATCAATATAAGGAGCCAATAATATTGATGAGCGCAAAGATTGAAGATAGATTGAAAGGACTAATGGATAGATATCAATATGAAGCGCAGATCAGTATACCATGGACAGGGTAGTCTAGTCTGATACTTCTCCATATAACATTAAAACTTACTCTAGAGTCTAGAGTGATTTACAATATATTTATCTTGAATTGTTGCATACCTAGGTACCTAATACTGAGTAGTATCTAAAGAGTATCCAAATTGACATAATCAATCCTAAGGAACCAAGAGATGTTCAAGCGCAAACTAGTATTCTTTTTATATACCTAGGGCTAGAGTGAATCCGAGTAGTGCACTCAGGAGTCAGCACTGATGCTCGAATTGTTGCATATCTGAAGAGTATTGAAATTGACGTCATCAATCCTAGGGAGCCAATAGATTTTCGAGCGCAAACTACAGTCAGGACTCAGTAGTAGTCCGAAGTCTCTCCTTGTGGGGCCCGAGTGAATCTGAGTACCCAACCCCTATTTTGTACGAGAAGAGAAATGGTGTCCTTATTGACTAACACCATTCAATGCAACTAACGCTATCCGACTTGGATGGTTTAGCGCATCTTTCACAATACACTCGCGAGCAAGAAAATCCAGACCCAATACCTGGCCGTATCCTTAAAGAAACGCTCCCTATAGATCTTTGAGTTCCCCAACGCCTATTCCCTTTTCCCAATTGCCCATATGCATTATGGAGATGGAGTTATTGGTTTTCCGCCCTCAACTAATATCTGTTCATCGATTCGCTTCTCTACATCTCCGTACTCGAGGCGTTTGTAGGTCACTATCTTCGCTTCATTCATGTCGATTTCAAAAAGACGGAGTCGGCGATGATATCCGCCATAACCGCCATAGCCTCCAAATCCCGCGCCACCACCATAACACATCCAGAGAGCTGGAGATTTGTCTTCCTTTAGAGAAAGAGAGCAGTATTCATTTGCATGGTCACTATAACTGGTTAGGAGATTCCAGAAGGAGAGGGAAAAAATACTTACTGCCCACAACTAACCATTACGACACCCTGTTCTACAAGAGCATCCCGAAACCCGGAATTGAACCCTGGTGCGGTAACCCCTTCTCGCCACTCGCCCACTTTGTAAAGAGTATCATCTCTATACTCGGGCAATGGGATGTGGATAAAGGCAAGATCCATATGAATATGAGTATACCCTTCATGGGCCCTTTTCAGCCCTTCGGCAGTTTGTTTGAACCAATCAATCTGGTTCTTTTTCAACCAATCATATCCTTTAAATGATCTCTCGTCAGGTGAATAGGAATGAGTATCCAGTAGGTAGATTGTCAAAGCAGAATGCTTCGAGCCACCTTGTGCGAGAACTTCAACGATGTAGTTTCCTACTCCTTCGAGTTCTTCTGGACCAGCTTCAGATAACGAGTATGGAAGAGACTCGACTAGTGCCATTTGTTGAGCTCGGGGTAAAGATCCTTCATCATCGTGATTACCGAATATTGTCGCAAATGGGATTTTGCGTTTGATGAACAACTCTGCATATTTAAAGATGGCCTGACTTTGTTAGATTGTGAGCGGTAATACCCAGAGGGGAAGTCTTACACTCTGTGCATCCGGTGCCGTTTCTCCATTGATTTGATCACCACTAAGAATAATCATGTCCGGCTTTTCTTCATCAAGTATTCTTCCAACAAATTCTAATGTCCTAGGATCAGCTTCGCAATTCCCACCATCCTCAGGCATTGCATCTCTACATTCTCCAGTCCCTGTACTCAAGTGTAAGTCTGCCGCTTGTAGGATCTTAAATTTTCCATTGTCCCTTATTCGAGGCGTTGGTTTGATTGGCGTCATGAGTTTGCCCCTCCTTATGCTGAGCCTGGCTTCCTGTACTTCCCCAGAAGAATCCAGCAACAACGGTGTGCCAGTCATTTCCCATCCATCTCTTGGATCTACAGCATCGGCACCAAATAATACGTCCACTGAATTAACCGCCTTATTCGAGTCGCTCGCGTGGCGCTTCGCCGATCGTTTCAGCCATAATCCAGCAGGTCTTGATTCCCATCTCTCGTCGCTCTCGCCTTTCGTAGCAGTCGCTGGATCCAATCTCCCAACACTAACATCCATAACAACCTTATCTTCCGACGTAAGCTCTTCTTCTTTCTTTCTCTGCACATGCATATAAGCGCTATTAACCCAACCCCGCCCCAGATATAAATCCTTCTCTATGCGATGCCATTTATCCGAATCGAGCTTGCAGCTTGTAAAGAGGTTTATTTTGGAACATTTGGTGACAGTGATATCCGTAATGACCAGTCCCGGATGATGCGCTGGCATATAATCATGAATCGCAGAAGGAAGAACTCGATATTGGTTGTCCAGGAACCACAAGACGATGATTGTAAATAGAGCAAGGGCACCAAGTTGTGTCGCTGTGCGAACCTATTTAGAGAATGGTAAGTAACAGAAACAAAGACATAGAAAAGGCATAATTACAATTCTTCTCGTCATCTTAACAAGCTGAAGCTTTCTTGACAGCTTCCAGCTCACGCGATGGTTAAGTTTGGCTTGGCTTGATGGAAAGATTTGGTTGTCCCATCCGTGAGACTATTGATAGGTCATCTTAATCTTAAGACTCAGGTCTTTATAAAGACTCGGATTATTCATAGAACGGGGGTAAAGGAAATGGTGGAGAGAACTTGGTAAGTACCTAGTAAAGTTCGTTCTTTGAATGGGTAGATCTGGGGTATAACGGCTAATCCCATTTGAGCACTAGCGTCATATAATCCTAGGAACCCTTCTTCCAGAATTTATCTACTCCTTGACATTAGACGAAGGGGTATGAAAATCATGGAGGGCTAATTCTGTTTTTTTTTCACAATGATAAGGGGAAGAAGTCAAAGTGGATATTATATTTTGATTTTGTTGTACATATTTTGAAATACAAAAGAAGACTTCATATTACTTACATGAAATTATATCATATTAGCGGTATTGTTTTCATTTTCATCCCAAGGATTATCACCTCTTTGACATGAGATGAGGAGCATGGAACAAGGGGAAGAAGGTAAAGTGGATAAGAGAGTTTAATTTTTGTTGTATACATTTTAGTACAATACACAGACAGAAGAAGACTTCACATTACTCGTAGAAGTTCATACCGTCATGTCCATCTTCTTCCAAACTCCAATGAATCCTCCGCCATTTATTTTATCTCCAACCTTAGGTCTGCATATCATTTCCCATCCTGCCGTATCGGTGAGATCGTCCGCTTCCAATGTGCCTGCCTGAGCAGCATCACTTTTCGACCCTGAATTTTCCCCATCTTCACTCAATTCGAAACTATACTCACTGGTGGCAGATGTTTCAGGCTTCTTGTCCGACATTTGAGAAAGAAATGCGTCAACAGCAAAGTTTGCGTCGTCTTTGTCAGCTTGCGCTAATTTTTCCCCCATTTTCTTTTTTTCGGCTTTGATTAGTGCTCGTGGCTTCACTTGTCTCACTTCCCATTCTCGGCCTCCAGTGCTAAGTTGCGATCCCACCTCTAGTATCTTGTCCAAAACAAAAGGCAACTTCTTCCCTTTCACTGTTTCCAGACACTTCATATGTTGTGTGATACTAGGACACCATGTAATCAAACGCCCATCGGGTTTGATACATTTTCCGAGAATTTCCATTTCGTCCTGAGTAGCCGGTATATCTAAGATGGCATGATCGAGGAACACATCCTTGGTCTCTGCCAATCGCTTTGAGAGGTAAGTGTGAATACTGCCAATATGAAAATCGACGTGTGGGAAATATGCTCCGTGGCGGTAATTTCTGACAGTCTTTTGCGCATGTCTCGAGTGGTGCTCGTCCGAATCTAGGGTATGAATCACAGCTCGTCGCCGAGAACGCCATTCTTCATATAGCTCCATCGTTTTCACGTTTCTCCCGCTAGATCTACCGCCATGCCTGTAGATATCATCATCTGCGTCAACCTTTCCCTTGGTTTTGGGAAGTTTTGGGATTGCTGGAGCTCTTGTGTTCGCACCATGAATTGCTCGTGCAAGATGTAATGTCAATGAACCGTGACCAGTACCAGCCTCAAAAATTTCTAAGTTTCCAGTATCATATTGCACGGTATCCCAACCCTCTACAATTTCACTGTCAATAATTTCCTCGAGAGGTTCATAGATGTTGTCTTTGTTGGGGGGTTCTGTGGACTTCAAGAGGTCACCTTCCACCGACTCTTGATTCTCTCCATCTTCTGAAACAGCAGATTCTTCGCTTCCAAGCGGTCTGGAAGGAGATAATCTTTCTTTCTCTTCAGTGATTGCAGATTCAGCAGATGGTACTGCTCTGAAATTGAGGTCCAACAAAGAAACAATCAAATTTGCATCTGCAGAGTAAATCTGATCAAAAAGTCAATACATATAGAATTATTCTCGACACAAGAATACTCACGGGTGTGACTACCCTTGGAGAATTATCACAATATTGACCAAGTGTCGGTTCATAAATTCGAAATAGAGCTCTTCTCCCACCAGCTACAACTGATCTATATGGTTGCCCAATAATGTCTTCTGCCTTGACTTTTCTGTGATCTCTAAATACAACAGCATCGCCAGCCTTGAGAGGGGCTGTCAAAGTAGGAACGGATCTTGCGTTTAACTCCGGTTTTAACAAAACGATATCATTGGCTTGTATGAAAATTAGTGAAGTTTTGATAAAAGAAGATGTGAAATTTTACCTCTTACTTTTCTCTGGGTAAAGGAACGACGACTACATGATGAATATAATGATCTATAAGGATTTATCCTACTAGCACCAGAGAATAAAGTGCATTGGATTGTAGACATCGTGGTTGTGAGAGGATTTGATGTTTGATGTCAAATTGATGGCTCTCGCTTTTCACATGCAAGCTCGAAATTTCAAAGAATATATTCACGTTAGCGGCCGAAACATTGATAGGCAGGGATCAAGCTCAGCTCAATGGAAAGGCCGAGGGACGTTATCTTTCATCGCTTCATCTATCTCAACAACATATGAATTCGAACCTGATCCTTAACTCTGGTATCTCACACATTCATTCGATATGTATACAGAGATTGAAGGAACCCATAAGATTGGTACTCAATCCCTATATACCAAAACCTGGAAAGTCCGTTGACCCTGACTGGCCCCTCGCTGTCCCTCCCTTCACATCATTCCTTCAATGCGACTAACTCAATATTCAGCCCAACGGTCCCCCCAAAGCCAAACTAATCTTCATCCATGGCTTCTCCGATCACATAAACCGCTACTATAATCTCTTCCCCACTCTTGCCGCCCGTGGAATCGAAGTACACGCATTCGACCAACGAGGCTGGGGCCGCAGCGTCAGTAAACCCTCTGAAAAAGGTCTCACCGGTCCAACCTCCCTCGTCATATCCGATATCGTCTCATTTATCAAAACACAACTGCCTTCTCCAGTTCCTCTATTCGTCATGGGTCATTCGATGGGCGGAGGTGAAGTTGTTACTTTGGCTAGCGATCCCCAGTATGCGGATTTGATGGACAGTATTCGAGGATTAATTTTGGAGAGCCCTTTTATTGCATTTCCGAAGGGGTTTGAACCGAATTTCCTCACTGTGTTTCTTGGACGACTGGCGGGGAGATTTCTGCCGCATAGACATATGGTGAATCGACTTCCGCCTGAGAATCTTACGCGGGACCCGGAGGTTGTAAAGTCGATGGATGAAGATACTTTGTTGCATAATACGGGGACACTTGAGGGGTTGGCGGGGATGTTGGATAGGACTGCTGCGATGAATCAGGGCAAGACGAGGTTAAATCCTGGAGTTAAGAGTTTATGGTTGGGACATGGGACGGAGGATAAAGGGACGAGTTTTGAGGGGAGTGAAAAGTGGTTCAATCAACAGACGGAATTAAAGGATAAGGAATTCAAGAGGTATGAAGGGTGGTTTCATCAGTTGCATGCGGATCTTTCGGATAATCGCGAGATCTTTGCTAAGGATGTTGGGGATTGGATTTTGGCTAGGTGTGATGATGGGGACGAAAGTGGTAAAGGGGGACAGTCAAAGTTGTGATTTTAAGACACTTTAAACAAGAGAGATCGGCGTTATTTGGGCTTCAGGAAACCTTTACGATATCATGCAATAAATATAATTCAAGTCGGTTTTGCGAATTCGTCAGGGTTAACGAAAAGCTTTGAAATTTCCCCCTGGTGTAAATGATTTAGAGTTCCCGGCCGTACTTGTCGACACGAAGTTGATACCCTTCGCTTTCGCCACTTTGGACGACTGCATAGCAGGCATTCCTCCAAACGTAGCAACATACCCTTGCAACTTCCACAATTTCATCTGTATCTCCTTCGTCGCATTCTTATGTTTCACAACCAAAATCTGGTTCCCGAAAATCTTATTCCCCTCTCTCATCTTCTCAACCCACTCTTTTCCCATCATCGTCCTCATATTAAACACCGGCACAAGTTTCCTCCCCCCAGGCCCTATCCTCCTCGTTTCGAATTCTCCTGGTGGGATTTCTTGCTCTTGTTCTTGGGACTCTTCCGTTTCTTCTCCCGATCCCGAGGCGACCTTCTGTCCCATCCACAAAACACATCCTACTTGTGGACTGAAATCCACTCTTTCCCAATTCACGCACTGGTGTATATACTTCTCATCCTTCTTACACAAGTACTTCAGCATTTCTGCCGTCCTCCTTCGCATCAATTCCAGCAAAAATGTATCCATATCCGACCTCCAAACCGCGCTTAACATGATGCGTTTCCTCGCAAGACTCTTCGCATTTGGTAATCCAAATTTCTTGTAAGCTCCTGCGTATCCTGATCCTTTTTTGAAGAGTGATTGGAAGAGAGGTTGGCGCATGGCCACATAAGAGGTAGACCCTAAGGAGGGAGTGTGGGAAGGGGAAGAGTCGTCGTCGGCCAGTTTGGGATTGGAGGAGAATGGGGATGTGAGACTTCGAGGGACGTGCCAGGGGAGTCCGGTGGTAGGATGCGCCATTACGGTGAATTCTTGGAGGAAGAAACTGGGGAGTGAGAGCTGCGTTACGGAACATTGACGGACGGGCATTGTGAGGGCGAAAGCTAAGGATTGTGGTCAGTATGCTGATAGTATAATGGTATTGTGAAAATGTAGAAGTAAATCATACCATAAGGATTTTTAGCAAGTTGCTCTTGGAAGGGTGTTCGTTCTTTGCTAGGCGGCGGTTTGGCAGCTGAATGCTTATTTCTGGCTTCGTGAAATGAGGGTGTCATGAGTGGTGAGAGAGGAAACACTCGTTGCTTTATCACTCGTACAGGTCCATCCTTTCGCTCCCGTCCTTCAGCTACATCTTCGCTCGTCGTTTGTAAATCATCGGCGCTCTTCCTCGGGATCAGATCATTTGTGGTCGCAGAGTCCGAGGAAACATTTGTGAGGTTTTCAGCGTTTGCAATTGATTTCCAAGCCGTTGTGGAATAATTACAATTAGAACATCTCAAGTACCTTGAAGCACTTCTAGCTGTAAATATTGAGCATCCCCTCATACCACGTATCACTGTCGTTGCAAAAGAATTGTGGAGGGGCAATATCCTCGACAAATTCAATCCAAGCTCAAGCGAAAACGCGATATCGCGTCTCCCCAGATTCAAGCTCGCTCACTTCACCTCATACCCCCACCACTCACAACATAGTAACATCAACCATATCTCACGATGCTTGCAACACGATTATTTCGATCGCATGCTGCGCGCAAAGCCATATTTACAGGAATCAGATCAATATCTTCATTGCCTTCGCAATCCGAATCTATTAAATCATGGACTCCTGTACCATATATCACCGAGACGATTGTGAGCAGGATATAGATCCCTATGAATTTGCGAATGTGTGCTAATGAGATAGGGAGGTGGATGGCGCACTTGTATGTATCTCTATGGTGGATTTGTTGATGGGAGTTACGGAATACTGACAATATGATTGATTGATCAGCGGATATATTTTCTAAGCTTTTACAAGTATGTCCAGTCTGCCCTTTAACATTGACATTAGAGTATATGACTGATGAACATAGGAACGAATTATCTGTCTAAACGGCGAAGTCAACTCTTCACTTTCTGCGGCAGTCGTAGCACAACTCCTCTATCTCGAATCCGACGCCCCCGAAAAGGCCATAACCCTCTACATCAACTCCCCAGGCGGATCCGTTACCGCCGGCCTCGCCATCTACGACACAATGACCTACATCAAATCCCCCGTCTCCACCGTGTGCGTCGGACAAGCTGCATCTATGGGATCACTTTTGCTCTGTGGTGGTGAACCCGGGAAAAGATTTTGTTTACCACACAGTTCGATCATGATACATCAACCCAGTGGTGGATATTCAGGCCAGGCAACAGATATCGCGATCCATGCGACGGAGATATTGAGGGTCCGACAGAGTTTGAATGAAATTTATAAGAGGCACTTGACAAAGGAGCACTCGTTGGAGGAAATTGAGAGGATGATGGAGAGGGATAAGTTTTTGAGTGCGCAGGAGGCGTTGGATATGGGGATTGTGGATGAGATTCTTGATAGGAGGGAACCTGAGGGGAAGAAAGAGGATATTAAAGGGTCGTAGGACTATGTATAGTTTTGAAGGGATATTTCGAAGGGTGTTTGGACGCTCGATTCTATGATGCCCCGTCAGAGGACATTCGCCATTTTTGATATTTTATTGCCTGAAGGCCTGCAAGATGCTTGGCTCGATCATATTCTGGGCCTTGTGGTGGCTTTCTTGGAGGTAACGGGCATATTAATTTCCAAGTGTCACCGCTCCCAAAGTTGTTATTTGGCAGTTATAGAGTCAAGATTCTATCCCACTAGAGCTCATTGTTCAAGTCGAGCAATTAGCATTCCACATTGTATCAGTTTTCTTCAGCAGATATCATACGTCTACACTTCCCAACATTTTGAATATAATCCTTCGAATCATATGTCCGAAAGGTTTTGAGAGCCGCATGCCTACCTTAATGCACAATATTTGGCTGGAGATTCTTTATCCCTCAAGATACTTCTAGTGTATTTTCTCTTATGGCAAAGACTCATTCACATCCTGACGCATATACCTGAATATCCATTCATCATTCAACCTCACTGGTTAGTTTCTATTTCCAATTTGATAACTCCCAAATATATCTTCACATCAACTTCACACCCATCCCACTGCTCCCTTCCCTCCCTCCGCCCTCGGCTTTGAGCGTCCCACATGTTTACTTCCCATCTCCAATGCCTAGCTATACACAACTAATTCATATTATTTCACATACGACCATAGACTGAAGAGAATTGGGCATCCCGTCCGCTCTGCCATACACAAGCTTCAGATCGGTGGATTAGTAGTTGGGTGGGTGACCACCAGCGAATCCCCACTGTTGTATGTTAATGTTTTTTGGTTTCTTTGCTTTTCCCTTTGCCCTTTTGCTTTTCTATAGCTATTATTTTGCCGAGTTATAAAGGGAGGAAGAGGAAACGAAAGGTGATTCATATTTCATATCCAGCCCCCTTCAATCTCATCTTTTTCATCTAGTACCTCGACCTCGATCTCGATTTCTTTCTTCTTTTTATCTTCCCATTCTCCTTTTCTATCTTTATCGGTAAGTTGGAGGTTATTGTCTCTCCGGATTGAGAGTCCGGATGTCTTTGTACTGGTAGTTCCCCATTGCTCCTCTTGCTTTCCTATGTTTCCTATCTCATTAGAATCTTCTAAATCATCTATGTCTCTCTCTCCCAAATCATCCACCTCTTCCACATCCACTTCTTCCTCTCCCCCCTCGTTCCCAAAAACTTCACATCCTAATGCCTCCCTTAACCTCCTTACTTCTAATATCCCATCGTGTCGCTCGTGATGTATTGCCTGACTGTATTTGACTTCGTATTCGTTTATCTGTGCGTTTTGATTGTTATTATGAGGGTGCAATGGTGCAGAAAGTTCAATGTCATTTGTGCCAGTAACGGTGCTGGTGCTGGTGCCGGTGGCGATAGAGTGGATGTAGATGTAGATGGATGTATCGGTGATGATATCCTGTGCATCTATTTGGGTTTGAGTTTGGGTTTGGGGGTGGGGTTGAGTTTTGGTGTTTAAAGAGGAGGTAATTGGGTAGATGGGGGTAAAGGATAGTGCTAATCGGAGAATTTTTCTGGGGAGAGAGGTTGGTGATGAAGATGAGGATGAAGATGGGGATGGGGAGGAGAGGCTTGAGGTTTGTGTTAGTGCATGTTTATGTATAGGTGAAGAGGGGAGTTCAGAGAAGGGTAGGAATGGATAGGAATAAGTAAATAGAAATCCATGCACATACTAAATAACAGCAGCATGTGCTCTTTTCGTGGGACGAATCCCATATTGGTCCTATTATTAATCACATCGTATTAGTCTAATCTCTCTCTTTCTCTCTCTCTCTCTCCTCTCAGTTCTTTCCCCTCGCATGCAAATCCCAGCAATAAAATTCGAGGGGCGCTTACGCGCGCGCAAGCGCAGGTGTCTCAAGCGAGTGCAGTCGTATCAAGCAAATGCAAATTCAAACACAAAAAAATGAAAAGAAAAGACTCACAATGATCCCTCTATTCCACCCCTCCAATACACGTCTAAAAATAATCCGTTCCTTTCTGAGCGCAACCATATTCGGGGGTAGAGATGTGATGGGATAGATGATGGTGATGTTTTGGATGGAACCGGCGTGTAGGAGGTAGTGGAGGCCGGATTTTGGGAGGGGGGTGGGGGGTTGAGGTTGGTTTTGGGTTTGGGTTTGGTGTTGTGGGGGTGAGGGGGGGAGGGGATTAGAGGAAGGAGGAGATGGAGATGGAGAAGAGGGTGAAAAAGGAGGAGGATGAGGAGGAGGGTATGAATGAGAGTGCGAATATTCATTTGCGTAAACTGATTGGGGAAGGGTATCTCCTTCTCCTTCTTCATCTCCTTCTCCTTCTCCTTCTCCTCCCTCCTTCTTATCCACCTCATCCCCTTCCAATCCCCCCAATCCCGCCTTCCCATCCGCATCCAAACATCCACTCAACCCACTCACGTCCAATTCCACAATCTCCCCATCATCATCCCCACCCCCAAAACAAAATCCCTCCAGAAACCCCTCATATCCCAATCCAAATTTCTCAATTTCTTCCCATCTTTCTTTTTTCCTTTCCGTTTCCCTTTGCCTTTCCCTTTCCCTTTCCCTTTCCTTTTTTGTTTCATGATTTCTCTCTTTGTTTCTTTTTTTACTTGAATTATTTTCATCTTCATACCGACCCCGATTTCTATTCCCTTGCAGAACCCGATTCCTATCTCTATCTCTATCACCATCACCAGCTCTCCTCCCTCCTCCTCCCTCTTCCAATAAATTCAACCTCTCTCTTAATCTCAACACTTCAGACATTAAATCGAGGAGCTGGGGTGATGGGTATTGATTTCCATTCCTATATCCATGTCCATGTCCATTACCATGTCTATTTCCATGTGCATTTGTATATGACCTTCCATTCCCACGTATATATATACCGGTATAAGAATTACCATAAGGATATGAACGCAGCGATAAAGAAGGAGCAGACGATGCAAATTGCGTGTATGAAGGGGGTGGTGACGAACCTAGTTGTGTGGTTGAGTGAGAGTTTGAGGTGGAGGTTGAGGTGGAATTGGAGTTGGAATTTGAATTTGAATGTGGTGGATAGTATGTTGTGTGATTTAATGATGTGTGGTTTGACGTCGACGATGATGATGATGATGATGATGAGGAGGCATACAAAAGTCGCTTACTAGTATCCATTTCCATATTTATGAGAGAAGTACCGGTACCAGTACCGGTGGCTGGAAGAACTTGGATACCGGTATTAATATTATGTAAATTGGTTTGTTGGCGTTCTCCTGGAAGGGGATTTGGATTTGGATTTGTATTGGTGTTTAGAATTGGGATTGGTGCCAGCGTTGAAGTTAATGTAGATGTAGTAGATGTAGATGTTGAAGTTGCTATTGCAGGTAGAGCCGAATCCACATCATCTAAATCTTCCATCGATATTACAGAAACAAGGTTCTGTGATGTTGATTCTGACTTTATCTCCAGCTCTAGCTTCGACTCTAGCTCCGACTCTACCTCTACCTCTACCCCTAATTCAGGCACTAGCTTCGGTACAACCGGTCTCAACACAGGTATCGTCGGCGTCTCATACAAATTGAATCCAGGTCCAGATCCAGCACTACCACTACAACTAGTACTAACACTAGCAATAGAAACCGGCGCAAAAAGTTTCTTATGCAGAGTTTTCTTGGAAGAAGATTTGGAAGACTTGCTGCTTTGAAACATTCTTGAGTTGAATTGGATTGGGTTGATTTGCACTGTTGACAGTTGTTCGGGATGTTTGGCCTGGGTTGTGGTGAAGAGGTGGATAGGTTGAGGTTTGGGATGAAGTGATGGGAGATGGATATGAGAGGGTTAGTTAGTAGTTGTATATCTTCTGAGTTTGCTGATATGGAATTATTGGATGGATGGATGGATGAATGAACAAATGGTCCAAGATATAGGTCGATGAGGCGTTGGAGTATTGGTCTGGTCTGGTCTGGTCTTTAGGAACTGATCCTTGGTCTATGATGTGATGTCGATATAGATGGGAGGAAAGCTGGCTGTGTTGACCCATTGAGCTTTATTATTCTTGCAGGTAGGTAGGTAGTTAGTTATATATTTCTTGCTTGTAGGTGAAGCTGGAGAGAGACTTGTTAATTTATTGTATTTAGTGAAACTTATGTCAGTAGGTAATATCAGAGAACAGGTTTGTGACTCTGTTAGTAATACTTAATATATCACGAGTTGGTTGTTAAGTATGGTGGGTAAGAACCTCTCTTCATCATTCGAGGTATTCACTTGGCGCTTAAAGAGCTTGAGGTGAAGGATCATAACCAACAGACCCAACAGACCCAATAGACGCTGTAGTTGAATAAAGGGTGGGAGATTACTATTGACAACTATTTAGATGCAAATGATATCAAGAAAGTAAAACAATATTGGTATTCTTCGACGACTTCGACTTCGACTTCATGCATGCTAATGCTTTGCTTTGGTATAATGCATACTTCAATAATCGTGTTTCGAGAACAGCCCCTAGAATCAAACTTCGTTCTATAATGCATATTTCACCAATTACCTTTCAGCACGAACTTCAAAGTTCATCGTCGCAAATTTCTACGCTTGTCCATTCCATCAAAATTGCAAATCCCCCGTCTCCATCCCCTCACAACTCATTTGTAACGGCTTGGACAATGGCACCCTTGTCACCTTCATCCAAACCATCTAGTTTCTGCATTTCTTCCTCGTTGAGTACGAAATCGAAGACGTTTGCGTTTTCGGCGATTCTCGAGGGAGTTTCGCTCTTGGGAAGAGGAATCCAATCCTTTTGCAAGGCATATCGTATCAATACTTGAGCCACCGTCTGCATGTGAATGGTGGCGATAGAATTAAGGGTTGGATCATCACTCCTCGTATTTCTGACCAAGGGACAGTAGGCTTCAACATGAATACCATTAGCGACACAATATTCCACCACTGCTCGCTGTTGGCAAAATGGGTGTAACTGATAACGTTAGACGTGAAATAGACCCTCCACACCGAGAACACATACCTCAATCTGATTAACATGAGGAGGCCACATTATGGCAAAACCCTTCAACTCTTCAAGGTGTCCAATGCCCCAGTTGGAAACACCTATCATACGTACTTTTCGCAGCATAAAAAGCTTCTCGAGGGCATCATACATCTCCTTACGAGAATCAGATCCACTATTTGGACTGTGGATCAGGAAGAGGTCGACATATCCATCGTCACCGTCGATAGCTTTAATACTATTAAAACATTTTGCGAAGGATAACGTGACTGACCCGCCTGGTGAGAGGATTTTGGTGGTGATGAATATATCAGAACGCTTTATGCCGGATTCCTTGATGAATGCTTGGATCGCGATACCGACTTCTTTTTCGTTTGCATAGTATCTGTAACGAGCTGTTAACTTTTGGTTATTCCCATACGAATATTGTTGGGGATGATATTATATGTATGAGAATATAATCTCATTGTGAAGATCATGGAAATGGTTTCTTACTGGGCCGTATCAATATGTCGATACCCAGCTCTTAATGCTGCAAGAACAGCATCGATACACTTTTGTCCATGGGATTGATAAACCCCAAATCCTAATCGTGGAATGCCGACTGTGCTGATTCTTTTAATAACGGAGTAGCGCTTTGAGTCGATGGCAAGTGGAAGTTCAAGAGTTGGTGGAGATACTTGATCTTGTGAAGTCATGATGGATTGGAGGGAGGTCTGGGTGCTTGATCTAACCAAGTAGTTTTGATCTGTTATCTGGGTATATCTATCGTGAATAAAGAAAGATTGATTGTTGGATGATCTTGAGGTGCTGTAAGGAAAAGATGGTGTTCGGTGTTAAGAAGTCTTATATATAATATGGCAGTGGCACTTGTCTCCTAGACAATTTATATACTTCTTCGCTATTACCTTGTATTAGATACTGTATTGATACTTTTATAGGTCAGCCACACCTAAATATGCATAATGAGGAATGAATGATGTGTTAGCCAATAGGAACTTTTAAATTTGAACAACGCTAGCTACTTAAAGCTCGGAGCCAGTTGTATATGGAGTTACTAGCCACCAGACTTTTGGAAGACTTCAGATTCATGTTAAACATCTGCCGGTATAGTAGATTTCATCACTTGAAACTGAGGAATTGGAATGAAAGTTCACCATTTTCACGTGCAACAAGCGTGGGATGATAATATGGAGAAGATAGACTTTACCCAGGTTGTATGCGATGAACCTTTGGTACAGATTTGGCGGAGCTTTTGCCCACACATATGATGACCTTGGGAATCCGAAGACGGTACATTTTAAACACTGAATTGGAGCTTAAATAGTTTGTTGTTTTGAAGTTTTGAATCTAGCAGAAGTATCACGTGATACCATGCAGGACATGCACGCATGTAACTCCGCCATCCTTATAATCCTCTACATTTTCATTTTCATAGCTTTGCTTCCGAATGCATCAATAATATTAGCGATACCAAATGCCATGAAATATCCAAGCATATATTGATACGTTCCTGTCGTCACTGCCTTAATTATCAATTGTTGTACACTTCTATTTGAGGAATTTAAAGTTCTCCTACTTCGATTGTTAATTCCAATCTCCTCGACCATCTTTCAAAAACTAAGACCAACCTTCGCTCAGGACTTATACTCATCCTCTTGGACCTTCCATTTCTATTACAAATAGATTTCTTACCTCTTCCCAACGCTATCTAAGCTCAGAATTCTATTCTTTCTATCTAACCTTTTCAATCCACTAAAACATTTCCCCTCGATCCTCCAGCTCCCCAAAATGGCAACCATTTCAGGAACTTCCTCCTCCCAACCCCAGTCAATAGCAATCCATACAATCTACGATAGCCGCGCCCCTACCTACGACGATGCAACTACATTCCATAAATCACTTGCACACGAATATGTAGAATATGCTAAACCGGTAGAGGGAGAAAAATTGTTGGATTTGGCTTGTGGGACAGGGTTGGTGGGGTTTGAGTGTAAGTCTCTAGCGCGTTCTTGTCTCTTTTTTTCTCTGAAGGGGAGGAGGACAAAGACCCACAAATAGGGCGATAGGGATGAACGGTATATCTTGTGATGAGCACGTATCTTCTCAGTCAGAGGTCTTGAACTACAGCACAGATGCTAGTATGCCACATAAGGTGTAGCTAGCTAGCTATACATGACGCTCCGCTGGCCCTCCGGGAGCAACTGCCGTGGGGGCTTTCCTCGCTGCGCTCAATTGATTGTAGTTGATACTGTTGATTGGGGGATTGAAGGATTAAAACATCATCTAGATACTTTTGTGTAAGATGGTTTGTTGCTGGGTGCTAAGTAGTACCCTCACCTCACTTACACAACCGATTTTCCTCCATTTTTATCTTTTCTCATCACATTTGTCATGATATAATGCACCTCATCATACATTCTAAATTCTGTAGTAAATTCTCACGCCCCTCTCTCACAAATTCACGGCATCGATATCTCTTCCGGAATGCTCAGCATTGCTCGTTCTAAAATACCCTCTCTTCCCAAACATAATCACTCGAGAGGTATTCCCCTCCCGCCACTCGATCCTCGTGAAACAAACATCCTCTTCGAACATCACGACATAACATCACTCTCAACCCTGCCATCTCTGTCCGACGCAAAAGGAAGATTCGATATAATAACAATCTGCAGCGCATTAATGCTCCTCTCTTCCCCCCTCGAAAATATGAGATCATGGATTCCTTACCTAAAACCCACCTCTCCCACTCCTCCCGGCGGAAGATTAATCCTAGATATACCCCACCCCTCCTCTATGCTTGGCTTATCAATCTTCTACAAACTATCTCTTGAATTCGGGATCTCTATTCTTGGATCTCGGGAATGGATTGGAAATTCGGGAATTGTGGCGGTGGAGAACCTGGGGAGGTTAATGAAGGAAGCGGGATTAGTCGATGTGAAAGCTTTTGAGACGAGAATATTTCATGACATACCCGCGGCAACACCAGTAGCTAACAAGATTGGAGAGATTATTGATAAAGGGGAAGAGAATGAATACCGGGAATGGCCTGCTACAAATGAAGCTGGAAAGAAGATATTCGATATTATGACGCAATGGAAATCTTTGGAGAATTGGAGGGAAGGCACCGAGGACGAAAAGAAGAGAAAAAGGGAGAGATGGGGAGAGGAATGGGTGAAATTGGGAGTTATGGATGAGAATGAAGGGCGAGAAATGGGGGAATTGGTGGTTAGAGAAGAGGGGAGGTTGATTATTGGAGTTGGTTTTAGGGGGTGATGTATACTGTTGCGTGTGGGCTGTGGTATCATCCAGCCCTTGCTGGAATAAAATATAAACTTCCTAATCCTATCTGTAACTATGTGCTGGTCTCAATGTCGTATATCCAATTGAACAATTCCCGACCGTACCCTTTTCTCCTTATCCCTAAACGAAACCATTCATTACTTTTACCTTGAACTTGAAACAACATTACGGAGCATCACGTGCTACTTCCGCTCATTGGCCCGCTTATCTCAAGCCCCTCATTCCTTAGTCTCCAATCGGATTTCTCACATTCCCACTTTCCAGCATCCCACACAAAAACAGCACTAATATATATTTAAGTAACGACTCATTCTGTAACAATAACAGTAATAATTACGGGGTTGTGGTTTAGTGGTATAATGTTCCTTTAGCATAGGAGAGGTCCGGCGTTCGATTCGCCGCTACTCCAATTTCAGTGATTGATTCATTCATTCGTTTGTTCATTACTATTTTGCTTTTTGTGTCTCTTTTTTCTTTTCTTTTTTGGGGGAGGGGGGAAGATGGGATGAGGGATGAGGGATGAGGACTTTTTTGAGAAAGGTTTTTTGTATATCGGGATTATTTGGGAAGTGGGGCATGAATATCTTGGTTGTATGGGACAGGTGAGGATGTGGGTAGTGTTCGCTTTGTTCGGAGCACCGAACCTAAAAGGGATAAGCAGTTATATTTATACTTATATTGGGAATTATACGCCTATATAACTACTGCCTTATGGATCCTATTCTATTCATACCGCGAACTCATATCGTTATCGTTATTCAAATTGGTTCGAGATTATCGATATATATATATATGCCGGTATCCCTGCGAATGCACTATCATACTGGATGGATCCGGGATTCCCCACATTGACCATATTGTAGTCACAATATTTTCATACTGTATTTAATCGTTGGCCGTTGGCCGTTGATGCATCATGGAGAAGTCGAGGCAAGCTGATACGTATATACCGGACTACCGGTGCAGTAAAGAAGTCTCCTGTTGAGTGCTAGCCCATACATATATACATCTCTACCATGCAATCCAATACCGGTATAACATTTCTGTTACGAGAGAAGCCTCAAAATACATATGCTCGAGTACCGGTATAACGAAACTTCATTTATATCCTCGCGGTGTACGTGGAATATTACTGATTTCCGCGCGTCCTGATGTTTATGATTTATTGGTCTGTCTGTGTAGGCTTAACTTAAGTCACCCAATGATTCTATTTCCTTTACTGTGGACTGTCTATATTAGTTGTATATCTTCGATTCATAAGTTTGTTTTGTTTTGTTGATGTATCAGTTTCAATAATAGTACTTTAAACTCCTTCAGCATAACAACATTGTGATGTTGGAACTTGGATGGCTCTTTTTTTGCCTTTGGTTTAGAAGCGGGAAGAAGATATTACAGTAAGATTACGATTTCGAGAATGCGAAATAAATTATGCTTGTCTATATGAAATGTCGATGAAGTTAATGTGGGCAGTAGGTAGCTATGTTATTGAAAAACTTATTGGATGTATTGAGATGAGAAGATAGTAAATACTAATATCAAACGTTCTTGCTACGATTAAAATCAATGTTTTGGCGGTGGTAGTGTAATGAATATGGACCAATAACCATTCTTGCAAAGTTGCATTGGATAGTAGTGCTATCATGTTTGTGATTCGATCGGGAGCTCTTCAAACAAAGGATCGACCAAACCGATTCGTACTTTTGCTATTAGTGGCGAGCTGAATTTAAGGGCTTGGGATTGGTTGAGCTTCTGATAATATATTGATTTATATTCATGGACAGCTCCATATTTGTATGTTTAATGTATCTGCATGGTTTACTTCCTCTGATAATCGATGATTGTTGCAAGAATTATTGATATCTCATCTTATTTCTACCCTGCTAAACGTCTTGTTCACCCCCAATCTCTAGAGCAAGATTCCTTGTAAATACTATTCGATATTTAATATTTGCAATCATAGTATCACAATTCAAAGTCATGCTGAGGAGGACTTGAATATCAATCGAATACAATCTCGATGGCCAACAGTCAAAAGGTTAAGGAGAACTCGGATACTAAAATGTTGACTTATGGCCGACTGACCCCTACAACAGAAAACGTCGAAGTGCAACCTAGGAATCGAGTAGTTAGTATACGCATACAACACACGTGACACAAAATAACAATCTCGAATTCCGATTCCCCACTACGGGTTATCCTACCCGACCCCACCTGGCCACCCCTTTGTACCCTTGTATCTGCCCCCCTCCCACTCCACTCGTCTAAAATTTTCCATCCAATTTTCCTCACTACAGTATATCACACCAAAATTTCTCGATTGCAATTCCTTCATATATTTAAAAACCATTCACTTCATCACTTCATCACGGCCGGATGGTGTAGTTGGTTATCACGTGTCCTTAACAATCTCTTGAGATCGAATCGGACAAGGTCGAGAGTTCGAGCCTCTCTTTGGTCATTATCTTTTGATGTTTTTGGTGTTTTTTGGTGTTTTTGGAAGTTTGGGGGGTAGTGTGGTTGGGAAGAGGAGAGGAGAGGATATATGGAAACCTCACAGACTACTTGATAAGACACACCGATACATTTTATCACTAGGTGACACCATAAACATATTTGTACTGGAATGGAGTATAACTACAACCTTAATTTTCACATGAGGAAGAAAGGCTTTTTACATAGAGTAAGGAAGGGCAAGTGTCCACTTTGCAAGATAGATACACTTCAATGACCTGATTATATTTGATATCACGAGTTTCTATACTCTTATCAGCCCTCAGTATCAGTCCAGCTTTTGTATCCAACGAAAGTCCATTCTGGATTGCGATCGAAGCTACTTTTTTCGCAAGGGTTCGGCAAGTCTGGACTGTCTAGTCATACAGAGCGCTCCTCTAAGTAATTAGCAAAACCTAATTCGGATATTCACTTATTCAAGTATATACATACATGTAACACAAGCATAGCTTTCGATGCATACCGGTTTAGAAACCAGCACGAGTTGTGCGATGTATACAAGTCTCGTGCTTGCATGCATATCTGGTGAACTTATTTCGTAAAAATCTCCAAGATCTCAAGTATTTGCACACGTTTTACAGAATAATTCTCATGCACAATGTTTTCCGTACCATATTTTGAATACCGGTATAGCTTTCCTGTAAAATTGGTCATGAGCTCCATCTACCAAACAATTTCCCTGTGCGTGTTTGCACATTGAACATCCCCCTGTATATCCTACTTTGATAAACTCTATGCTGGTACCACTACGCTACTTGAGGAGTTTTCAAGACCATCTGAACCAGCGTTTATTTCCATGATATCCTTTACATAAATGAAAGTCTATTCACATTAGTGAGTGCTGAAACACACCGAAGTTATTACGCTAGTAAATTTATTGCTATTTTGGGACCAGTTTGGAGTCAGCGCTCGTTGCGCCACTTTCATTTCACCAGAACAGCTATTATATGAGCAATCAATTTACAACGATATGTTCCATTTTTTCATTTCATCAACTTGATATGCAAGACAAAATGGAAGCATTTCATTCCTCATTGAGTCATATTCTTCTATCTCAATCCTCAACGTAACTACTATAACCATCGACGAAAAGTTTAAAATCTCGTTTCTCGACTATCAAGATTCAAAAAGCAACCTTTGAGGTTGACCCCGGCCCACAACATAAATTCCTCCCCTCCTTCCCTCATTCCCTCCTAATCCAAAACTTCGAAAAACATTAACAGCCAACAGCCAACAGCCAACAACCTCAACACAGCCCCTACCCCTTCCCCTACCCCAAACCCACAGTACTCCCCGAAAATCTCACACACTTCCCCGTCGCCCGTCGAGCTCGGGGTAAAGATGTATGGACACTAGAATTCGATCTTGATCTCTTGGGTAATGGGGAAGGTTTAAAGTTCGAATTCTTTGGTTGTCATGATTTATTTCCAGATCCACATTTAGAATTCGGATTCGCATTCGGATTTGCATTCGCATGCTTGTTTGAATCCTTGAGTATATTAGTCGGAGGACCGGATGTTGAGTTTGGATTTGATTTTGATTTTGATTTTGAGTTTGATTTCGTGGGAGCGGGAGAGGAATGTGATGGAGAAGAAGAAGATGATGACTTTGGATCGGGAGTTGGAGTTGAAGCTGCAGCATACGCATTCGCATTCCCCATATTAGGTTGAAGTGACGCAGCACCCACACCCATACCCAACCCACCAGTACCCATCGGCATCCCTACCGCCATACCTACAAACATCAGCACGTATTAGCATCATTCTCATCTATCCTCCTTCTCCTTCTCCTTCTCCTCCTCATCCCCACCACCCAGCCCCTACCCCCCAACTCAACTCACCGGTGTATAATACATACAAGTACTAGTAGCAAAACCCTTAACCTTAACTCCCAAACCCGGAGGTGCATGACCGGGATCCTGTCCATGGATGGGGTTCCAACCTGTGCTTTGCTGTATGATGGGGGTGGTGACTGCTGTTGCTGTTATGGCTACGGGGACGGGTATGGGGATGGAGGTGTAGTAGGGGGGATAGACTGGATAGGGGTACGGGTAGGGGTGCGGGTAGTAGTAGTAGGGCATTTTGATTTGATGGGGGGATGGGGGGATGATGATGGTGGTGGGAGATCTTGGGTCCTGTTATGGTTATGAGAGCTTAGAGGTGGGTGATCTGGATTCTGGGGATCTGGTTGTATTCGAAGTGTATTTGAAGTATATGGATATCCAGCAGAAACCAGAGAAGAAGAATGTTATTCTTTTATACTCCCACAATCTCATTCTACTTGGAGTTCGCTTTGCAAATTGCAGGGGATGAGAGATAGCATATCATATACTATATTGCGAATCATCGGAAAAATACATGATTGCAGAGTGATTGGAAAATGTTTGATTTCTTGAGGATTCATACGTACATTCATTCATACATAGATATTTCCTGTACTTGTACTGAATGGATTTTGCAGTTCAGTTGGTCTATTCACAGTCGTTTACTTAGATTACTTGCCCGCTATGAATAATAATCTTGTACCTCATCATCTATATACTAGCCCAAACAAACATACCTATATACATTCAGTCAGAAATTAAAAGGGGAATTTTGAATCACTGCCTGCTTACAATATGTATATATCACATATAGAACATATCCAAAACCCATAACAAGCAAACAATACTCATACAGTCATAAAGTTACACCACCCCTTGACAGTTACTGATTCACAATCCTTCATCACCATCATCATCACCATCACCATGCCCATCTCCTCCCAAAAAATCAAAATGCTTCTAACAAACAACTATGACAACTATAACAACTATACTAAGTATACTAAGTATACCAGTCATCTCAAATTATTCTCCAGTGCCTATATATATTACAATTCACAAATCACATCACACATCAATCATACAATAAAATCCCCCGGAATTCTTCCTCCTTTTCCTCCTTTTCCTTTTCCTTCTTTCCTTCTTTCCTTCTTCCTTCCTCCATCTTTTCCTTCTTCTTCCAAACCTTCCAAACCTTCCCTCTCCTCAAAACCATCTTACTCCCCAATCCCCATTCCCATTCCCCAAGGTCCACCACCGAGTACTCACTAGTATATACAGTATAGCTTATAAGACTTACATTTCATGAAATCTACCAAAAACACGACGGCGATAAATTACGCGAATGATATTAAGGGGGAAAAAGAAGTTATTAATTACCCTTAAAAGATTAGATTAGATTAGATTAGATTAGATGGGATGGGATGGGATTAGATGGAAGTCGAAGCTAAGGAGAAGCGGTCGGTTTTGATGAGAGCATGTATGTACTCGAGTATGATATTTGTCAAAAAAGAAAGAAAAGAATTCTGGTTCTGTGATCAAATCACTATGATCACTGTAGATGTCAATGTTGATCGAAAGATATCGACCTCTACTCAGTAGTCAGAATCATAATGGAACAATCAATTCGAATAAGTATGTATGTGAAAAGTACAACAGAGGCATATACTTAAAGAAACCGATTAAATATACTACTGTATTACCTAAACCCTTTAACCTCTATCTATGTCTAGAAGCCTCATCTGTCTCAGCCCAGTCTACCCAACGTTTAATAACCTCATCTACCATCGAAACTCCATCCCTATTTGCGTCCACTTCGAACCATTCCCGATGTTCTTTTCCACATGCTGTGCATTTCCCACAGTTCACCCTTATGGCCATTAATTCCAGATGAATTAATCTTTCTACCTTGTGCACATTTGGCACTTTCTTAGGACCCTCATCTCCGCTAGTCTTTCCAGAGGGTGGTTTGGACGAATCATAGTAAGGGTAATATCGAATTAGTGAAAGATTGTAACCGCATTGTTTCTTCCATTGTTGCATTCTCGCGAAAACATTATCGGCTCTACCAATTTTGAGAAGCATCGTCTTCTGCTTCTTGTCTGGTGGCGCAGAAGTAAAAGAGCCGAGAACATCAGAGGTGCGTCGATGGCTTGACCCATCTCTTGATGACGGCGCTAGAATGGAGCCAGCAGCTTCATCGGAAGGTCCTGTAGGTAATCCTTCATCAGTCAACCAGAACATATATATGAATCCAGGGACATCAGCATCAGAAATGGGTTTTGCCAATTCTGCCAGTAGTGAAGCTGTGGTCTGAGGGCTTGCTGATGAGGGTATATGAGCCAAGAACTCTCCCGTTCGTGATGATGGATCCCGTTCTATAGTAGGGCGTTGAAGCATTTCGGGCGGCTTGGAAGACGTATGTCTTGATGATGATGTCTGAGGTCTCGAAGAAGGTCGATGTCCTGAAGCTGGACGAGTTGTTGAAGCTGGACGAGTTGTTGAATGTGGTACATCGAGATGACTTGTTGGCCGAGAAGTCGATGGCACATGGGAGGAGGCACGTCCATCATGTGTCATCTGTTGAGGTCTAGGTGCACTTGAATCATCTGGTTCGCCGATACAGCATAACATTTCTAGATTGCTTCTTAGCTTGCGTCGTCCTCGACCATCATTTTCAGAATGTGGAACTTCATGATGACCGGGTCTCCCCTGTTCCTGCAATCGATGTGCTTGTGACTGTTGCTGATGTTGACCGTTTCCCTGCTCTGAAAGACGTTGCTGCTCAACTCTTGAACCTGCGTTTGAGCCGGGTCGTCTGCCACGATGGTCTTCTGATGTTTGACGCTGTTTCCCCTTATTATTATTCTGGTCAACGTCAAGCAGCCCCAATCTTTCCACCAATGTGTCTACGCTGGACCTCTCACGAAGTGGGTTTGGTCGAGGTTGAGTAGGTGGAGCTACTTGTCCAGCCTGATCTTTATGTTGCCAGCAATATGCTTCGGGACTCGATGTTCCTTTTGAAGGACTCGGACTCGGTGAACTATGAGGTGATTTGGAGAGACCTCTTCGACATGGTTTTCCATTTGATGATATGCCTCGACATGTCGAACTAGGATTTTTCGAGTCTGTTCGAGGTAACAATGATTCGGGAGTATGTTGATACATGTTTTGAGAGTATGGATATTCGAGTCGAGTCCTGTTAGAGAAAGTCAATTCAAGAGAGGGACTGTTAGCAATATAATGAACGACTGTAGGAGAGTTAGTTTCAAGAACGTTTGAGCAAAGACGTGGCAGAAGACCTCGAGTCCAACATCATGACCCAATGATTCACGTATTACTGTACAATTCGTATCCATATTCGAGGAGGCTGGATTCGCTGGGTTCGAGGGGTTCATGATTCTTTTCACGCTTGGACCAATAAGCCACGGTATCTCCACGTGATTGACAACGAAACGGCGAGGCCCATCCCGTTCCGAAGCTAATTCTATCCAACCTCACTTCATATGGCACGTATCATTATTGAGTTGCTGAGTTGCTGAGTTGCGCAAAAAAGGAAGATCACAACATCCAACCAGCAAACATGTTCTACATGTGAGCACAACGCAGACATTGGATCTCACTCGAGTTTGTACTTTACTGAATATCCTGAAACGCCACTTATGCATAGCCTAGACAATTGGAGCTTTTGAATGGACCAAGTATCATCAGCCTCACCGGTCATCGACCAGTACTTGAAGACCACGCTGTGGCTTACTAGTCGATCTGGCTCATTGGTGGCATTTAATTTACAAGACCTTCTATCTGCGCGCTACATTGTCGAACTGCATCCTCTGATTCTCTCTGTACGTGAGATGGTGTTCTTATCTCATGTACTCCGTATGTCGGGTGGAACGTGTGATGTCTTCCGGTATCCCCGCCGAGCCTATGCCCAGCATTTACTGTTGTCCCAAGTTCGAGTGTTGTCTGAAACACTTTCATTTCTCCAAGACTTCAAGTTGGGGACTGGAACAGAATCTGGTTCCCACGCGGCAAGGTAAAGAAAGTCCTCGAGATGAGGACCTCAAGAGCCATGAGATATTATGAAATACTAGGATATCATATTGTTATGTCAAAAGAAAAGAACACTCTTTCAAGAATAGTCATTTAGTTTTATGGGTTTCTATATTCAATGCCCAATCCACCCACTGCTCAATCCTCCCTGGAAACCTCAGCTCCATGATTACCAGTAAAATCATCACAGTAATCATCATCATGGCTTTCGCTGACCGCTTTGGCTACTTTCATCGCATACTGGGAGGCAGATAATTCGATTTGACATTGCTTATTCGTACTGTGATATTTCATAACGAGAATACAATTAACTCTATTTATTGAAGCTAACCAGAGGACAGAAAAGACCAAAAAAAACAGAGCAAAGCAACATCTTCCACAAAACCTTCTTCAAGCTCAGGAAACTTTAGGATTAGCAACGTGTCCTTCATTGAGACCAAGATCGAGAGTTCACTCGAGTTCATGATTCTTCATCATCAATATCATCAATATCATCATTCTCATTCTCATTCTCACTCTCATTCTGATTCTGCATGAAGGGGTTTTATTAAGTTTTTATAGTCTCTTCTTTGGCATATTATTCTCGAGTAGCTAGCTCCGAGTGGTGACGATGAAAAGGGGAATCATAATGCGATTAGCATGACGCTAAAGGCCATAATATGATTATCTTCACTGATGAGCATGGAGATTCAAATGTGGTGTGAAGTGCACACAGAAGACACATAAATAGATACTCACCAGCTCTGTCCGATAAACACACAAGGAAAACGAAAATCTGCATGACAAAACAAAAATGCAATAGTTGAAAATCTTACTATGCGACGCTATCTCGATCGTGCATCATGATCATGTAATATTCAACCCTAAAAAGCAACACGCTCAACGAATAAACCAGCCGTTGCATGAGATGCTCCAAAATCTGCTCTGAAATTATGAGCGGTACATACGCCATCGCACAATATCCATTCCCCATACGACCACGAATTCCAATTTCCAATCCGTTTCCTATCCGTATCCTCAATCCCATTTGCCAACACGAGCCAGATCAGCACCCATATCAATCCAAGCCTGTGTTACACGACAAGTGGACCTCTCTCTCGATTCCCACGCCGCATCATCCTTCTCCCTATTTTCCCTCTTTCGGATTTTCTCCTCCTTGGTTTCCCTCTCTCTACGCTCTGCTTCCTCCTCCCGCCTTCTCACTGTGACCGATTCGGATTCAAGCACAACCCTGTGATTGTCCCATCGCATATACGGCACGACATCTTCCGGAATCAAATGATCCTCGAGTTTGCACAACTCATTCTCCAACGACGACAACTGTTTCTTGCACTTCGGTTTTCGTGAACGTCCTTCCTCAATGCGTCGCCGAGTCATCTCCCAATACGCCGCATCCCTCATATCCTCCATTTTGATCCTCCCTTCTAGATCCCTATAGCTCTCTGCTCCACATTCCTTAATCACATCTTCCGACAAGTATGGATTTTTATGCACATGGGTGATACCTTTTTCCGCCAGCTTCTTTAGCTCGTTGCGCCTCTCCCTTTTCTCTTCGCGACGACGTTGGTTGGCGCATGTTCGAAGCGTGCTCATAAACGAGGGATCGAAGCCCCATGGATAAATCTCCTTATCATGTTTGATCTCGCATCCATGGAGGATGTGGAAGTTGACAGATTCGTAGGTGTGGAGTGATGAGGTCCCTCCTCGATTCAACGACTTGGTGAGTTCTCCGCACTCGGCTTTCGGATCTTGCGCGATACTAGAATCAGACTTGGTTGCCTCCACAGGATTATCCGTAAGTGTCTCGTCATTAAACTTAGCAGCTTCCTAAAACTATATTAGTAAAAAGTGTGCGAGCAGGAAGGACGAATTTTCATACCGCATCTCTAGATGCTAGGAAACTCTTGGTTATGTCTTCCAGAGCTTTCAATATTTGCGTACGTTGAGATTTAGTTGCCGAGTGTCGAAGTATATCCAGGGAATCAACAGTACGTTGAAAATCACCAGATTTAAGTTTTTCAGCATCCCGTTGCAGGATTGCAGACAATTCTGCATATTCTGATGAAGTAGATGAAGTAGATGGGTCTGAGGGTTCGTCCTCAGGAATCATCGTATTTCCGATCAAACCAGCCTTTGAAATTGGCGATGGGGGCGGCGATGGTGAAAGATTCGCAGTATTCTGTTGTGGCATTGGAGATGAATTCAGACATTGAGATCGACTCGTCTGAGTCGAACTTAGGTATCCATCCGGGGATTCAATATAACCATAATCAAGATAAAGTTTAGCATTATCAGCATTGCGTTTTGCAGCGTCCCTTTGTATGATTGCACATAATTCCTCATACTCAGATGATACTGTTGGGGTTGAAGGTTCATCTTGAGAAATGAACGTATCAGTGGCCAAGCCAAGTCTTGTATTCGGTGATGGTGGAGGTGATGGCGATGGCGGATGATTGTTGCAGTATCGAAGAGTCTCTTGATGTGATGTCGAATGATTATCATAATGTTGAAGAGACTCTTGCTGCGACGGCGCGACAGAAGTCGTACCTCCCATGAGTCCCATCCCAGTATCTTCCTCAACATCTTCCTCAGCCATACTGGCAGATCGAAATCAATGATCGATCCCTTGCGTGCAAATAAAATGCAAATAAATGCAAGAGTAATGTTATTTTGTCCGTAGCAGAAGTTGTTGCAAATAATGTAGATAGAAAACTACAATCACCATTTGCGCCGTTGCGCGGTTGATAAAATAATCGAGAATCGAGATACGATGTGTTGCGACTTTCGAAATTCCCCCCAAATCCAAATCAGGAAGATTCATCGACAAATTCGGTATAAAGTTCTTGACAAATGAGAATAGTCTGACGTGAATTATGATGTTTGCATTAGCATATTCACCTGCTAAGTCAGGTGTTGGCCCTGGCCCTAGCCCTAGTATGTGCATTTTTCTGTTCGTGTGTCCTGACCGTGTGCACTTGGGAAGTTGGGATGATAGATGATAGATGATAGATGATGGAAGATCTTGCGTTTTGAACATGGATGATGAATCGGGGGAAGGGTCTTTGGCTGTTACGTGGTTCGTTCACGTATGGTATTGTTGTAATTTCTGGAGGGGAATGAAACGTATGCACTTGCCATATCTACCATACGCATACTGTACCTAGATATCACCAAGACTAGGAGATATTGTTGTTTGCTTCCTTCCATAGTTCCATAGCTTGCCTTCAAACCTCTCACTCTGCATGTACTCATACCCACCCCAAGACAGACTGCACATCTCATCTCAACCTTTCCATTCCTCACTCAAAACCCACACCCTCCCAATCCCAAAACCAACAAACCCGGAAATAAAAACCCAAGCGCCCTCTTATTCCCAGTCGCTATAACTGTCAAAAAGGTATCCATGAAGTATTTGGCATCAGGGGGTGTTTCTGAAACATATAAATTTTTACAGATATGCAACAAAACTTTTGGGAACGGAGGAGATGTTGGAAGTGAAGGTGAGAGTGAAGCGAGGGATTGGTGGAGATGAGATAAAATGAGATGAGGTGGGATGAGATAAGATTGGATGAGAGTTGAAAGTTGAACTGGTATGGGATTCAAGAAGAGAGTAGATTTTGATTCAAGTTTACTTATAGAAAATTGACAATGACAATGACGGTAACAACAGATCGAACATATGATAGGTTCAGTAGATGAAAATTGTATCTTTGATTACTATGGACCTATCTAGGAACTAGATACACTTTTGGGTAAGGTGATGTCTATCTGTGAAGACTAACCGCACCCTCATAGATATTCATGTAGATTATAGTGGGAACTTCGCCGCGATTGTTCTCGCAAAGTATTATTTACTCGAGTAAATGCCCAATGATGGTCGATCTTTCAGAAGAGGGGTTGATGTAGGCGGGTCAAGCAACGCAGGTTTAAGATATATGAAATAGGGACCTAGTATGAATATCTTGTTTCACAGATGCAGGAATCATGCTAAACTTGCCGTAATATTGCTTGGTTTTAGATGGTCTCAATAGACCTTTGCATGGAGACTCATCTCGAGCGCCAATGGACTTCAAGCCTCATGCCAGTAATCCAGACATCTTTCATCATTCGAGTTGATTTATCTCTTCACCTTTTTCTTATCTGGCCCTTCATCTTCTTCATCGCTCACTTCAGCATACTGAGTTGTTGGTTGGGTCTGTTTCCAGGCATTCGTAAATAGTGGATCGGTCTTAGCAAGCTCGGCATATTTCAATAATGCTTCCCTAGGATCTTCATCACGCATGCTACTCAGTGTGATACTCTCATTAATATGTTTCTCGTCTGGTTGACTTTTCGCAAATGGTGTGACCAATGGCAAATTAGGTCGACGTGGATCGCGAGAACGACCAGAAGCTGTCAAGCCAACGGTAGGATGCCTTGCGGCAAAAGATGTAGCCGATGTATTAGACATAAGGCCGCCTGGAGTGACGATACTGTCCCCTGACATGCCAGTTGACTGATCTGTTGTAAAGTTGGGGTCATCGTCGACATGGCGCTTCTTGGGTGCACGAGACATTACGTCAACAGCACCCCGGACTGATGTATTCGGGTTGTAGAGAACATGGACTTCAGAATTCGCCGATCCAGTAATAATTTGGTTAAGTTTTGGATGCCACTGAACTGTGATCAGAGGAGATCCAGCAGTCACGGGAGTCACGAGCTCTGGTCTGAGATTTCCCGAGTTTAGAATATGAAGATGACCTGATTCGGAGCCAGTGATGATATTGGAGCCATTCGGTGAATATTTGATGTTAGTGACGGAATAGACGTCTGATGTTGAAGGATGGGAAACCGTCACAACAGGAGTTTTGAACTTTCGAGTATCCCAGAGTTTGATCAAATTGTCACCACCTCGAGTAACAACCATTCGTCCATCAGGACTAATATCAACACCACCCGTCCAAGTATTTGGGGTATGGGCTTCCCTAATTTCACCCGTCGGCCGGGCGTAAGGTCCATTGCCGCTCCACATCACAAGACTTCCATCCAGCGCTGCAGATACAAGCAGATTGTTTCCACCTTGGGCTGGACTCCCCCATACCACTGCGGTCATTCTAGTCCTTCCTGCTGATCCTGATGCTTTGGATTTATGAACGATAACCTCCTTTTGACATCTCCTAAGATTTACATCCCATATTCGTAAAGTGCTATCCGTACCGGCTGTGACACAGATATTCTTATCAATCGGACTCCACGTACCCGTGGTAATTTCCGAAATGTGCCCTTTCGTGTTATTCATATCCCTCAGATACATATCTCCTTTCACGAACTCCCCGATGACATCCCCATCTCTATTCATTAATTTCGCTTGCGGATGAGCCGATATACAGAGAAATGTTCCCCCGGCATGTGGATTGAACTCAACATGGTTTATAGGATGCGTTTCGGAGTTTGCTGATGTCTTCGAATAATTTGGGTCCACGCTTTTGAATGATCGGAGAGTCGTAGGTGTCATAGAAGCGAAATCATGAAACTTGAGCGTACAATCATTAGAACCAGTTATCAGTCTTGAACCCGAAGGATCAAGAGTCATAGTGGTAACCGCGCGGTCATGCGTCTTGAGTACCAACTCATGAGAAGCTGGAAACTCATCATCGTCGTCGGATCCCCCATCGCTATCTGAATCCTCACCATCGTCTTCATCAGAACCCCAATCCTTAGACGCTGGCTCTGGCTCTGGCTCTGGCTCTGGCGCGAGCTTCTGTTGCCTAACTTCCTCAGTTACTGTTGGTGCATCAGCTTTCTTATCTGCTGGTCGCTTCGTTCTATTGATTTGCGCGGCTACGTCTGCCTCTTTCGACTTCTTGCCAAATGATGTTGGTAAAAAGGCTCTTATGGGGTCATCCTCTGCTAGTTCCGGTCCTTCGACCTGAAAATCCTCATTTTCATCGTCACTCATTATTCAATTGATCTTCGCAGATTCCTTTCGAGTTCTATTCGTGATCCTATTTGGGACAGTGATGGTAGGAACTAGAAACTAGTTGATGGCTGGATAGAGATTCAATTCAGGTAAGAAGTTATGTTCAAGATATCGATACCTAGGTACTTCGAGTAGTGGAGGTTGTAGTGGAGTAGGTAGCGGATCGGTCAAAGATACGCGAAAACTCCGTTTTATCGCCGCTGTGCTACAGGTACAGTAAGGAACCTTTATTATAATAATATTAATATCAAGGTTTCTCTTTATCAAAATAGAAATTAAATTTCATGCGACAACCAATCCTTGTTTAACACTTTCACTTAAAAGTAACCTCCAAAGTCTCTCATCGTTGAATGTGATTATCGACCAATTTATTCACTCATAAGGTCTTGAATTCGGTGAAAAAGGTCGATTCTTCCTCGAAATAAGGCCCCTGTACACTATGAGTGGGGTGAAGTCATCATCGCGATAGCTTCAAAGAGACGGTGCTATGTATTTATCAACGGCGAAACTTGATGCGGAGGCCATATCTTTTCTCAGTACACCGATACCTCAATCAATATCTCTCCAACCGAATGTATATATCACAGGCGACTCTAAGATTCAACGTTGGTCATCATTGATTGGAATCATCACTGCAATAGTAGGAAATATCGTCATATCCTTCGCCTTGAACATACAACGATACGCGCATATAAGATTACATGAGGATGAGGTACGACGTAAAGAACGGCTAAGGGGTATTTCCAAGTCTGCGGGTAGATATGGGACACTAGGGGCGAATGGGAATCGAATCGTTGAAGAGGAATATGAAGGCAATGAAGAGGAACCCTTACGAAGATCATTTCACTCTCAAGACTCTCAGTCTTCGACCTGCACAGAGGGTGATGATGGGGATCAACGATCTACATATCTACAATCGCCATACTGGTGGGGAGGGATTGTTTTGATGACGATTGGGGAGCTTGGAAACTTTTTGGCATATGGTTTTGCCCCCGCATCAATCGTTTCTCCTTTGGGTGTCGTCGCTTTGGTATCGAACTGTGTGATAGCGCCGATCATGTTGAAGGAGCAGTTTCGACTGAGGGATTTTTGGGGAGTGGTAGTTGCTGTTGCTGGTGCCGTTACGGTTGTATTGAGTGCTAAGCAAGAGGAAAGGAAATTTGGACCTCATGAAATTTGGGGAGCCATCACCACCACAGAGTTTGAAGTATATATGGGTGTCACAATAATACTAATTGCAATATTGATGTGGGCAAGCCCGAAATATGGCAAGAAAACAATATTGGTCGACCTTGGACTTGTGGGTTTATTTGGTAAGCCGTCATGATTCTACGCTGGTTATACTCAACTCACTATTATTAGGAGGCTATACAGCTCTTTCAACGAAGGGTGTATCTTCAATGCTCTCTTCTACTCTATGGAGAGCTTTGACGACTCCAGTTACTTACGTTCTTCTGCTCGTGCTGGTTGCTACTGCGATCATGCAGATTAGATATGTTAATAGGGCTCTCCAACGTTTTGATTCAACTCAAGTCATCCCTGTGCAATTCGTTATCTTCACATTATCCGTCATCACTGGCAGCGCAATTCTGTATCGCGATTTTGAAAAATTCACCAGCGAGAATGCCGTAAAATTTATTGGTGGCTGTATGTTGACATTTTTCGGTGTTTGGCTCATCACCAGTGGCCGGTCGTCGCTTAATGAAGATGAGGACAATAGCGAGGTAGGGATTGAAGGGGAGGAAGAGAGGATCAGGCTGGCCACCCAGGATGTCACTGGTGACGAAGTGTCATATCATAATGGATCACAGAGACGGTCTAGTCTTCAATCGAAGTCGAGGCCGGGTCTTATTCATGCTGGCGATGGACTAGTCGATGAGGAGGCAATCCAGGAATCACGGAGATCCTCACATGTCAGCTTTGCCATATCACCATCCCGACCACAAACGCCGCAAAGACCTTCATCGCGACGTCCAGCAGTGCGGCTGCATACATCTTGCCTATCTGATGAGCGACCTGGAAGTGAGGATAGTCCTTTACTTTCCAACCCATGGGTGGATTCCAATGAAAATCTACTCCATGCACCGAAGCACCCAGGGATACAAACCAGTACTTCTTCTCCATTACTCCCATCCGAGGCCCAATCACCTCCTTTAGCAAAACCCCCTACAACTAGAAATAACACGCAATCTCATTTCCATACTCCTCAAAGTCAGCAAATAAGCCCCTCACCACCCCAAGCCGAACGACCCATAACCCCAGCAAGTTATTCCATAGCTCGCATGCTTCCCGGTCCATTATTATCACCTCTATCCGGCGGATTAAGTGTAGTAATAGCCGATTCACTAAGACGCGGAGTCGACTCTCCTCGCAGCAAATCATACAGGAGACCACAACCCGACCTTCGAAAATCAAAATCAGTATCTCAAAGGCTTATACAAGCAAATGACGGTTCTCTTATCGATGAGGATATCGATGCACCTCTAAAAGATGACGACACACAGCAAGAAGTAGAAGTAGAAGAGCGCGAACCATTCAACCGTTCGATAAAAACGAGAGCGAGAAGTTTAAGTAATACACTGGGAGAGTTTTTGAGAGGGAAATTAAGGGATGAGAGGGATCATGATGATGAAGAGGCGGGTCCAAGTGGATCATAGGTTGGAATTGGAATTGGAAATGGGTTTTATGGCATAGATTTTGAAGTATGGGAATTGGAATTGGTTACATTAGCATTTACTTTTGGGTATTGGGAATGGCGTTGGGAATGGCGCATTGAAAGCGAGGCGGGGTGGTGGTACCGTGGTGCAAATATGATGAATTCGTTACATAACACGATTGTGTATAAAAAGTAGAGTGTGATTGTATATCAATCATATCAATATGAGATTTTCTTGTGGTGCTTCTGTTTCTGTTTCGGTATCGGTATCGGTGAATGAGGTGAGGTTAACAGGACATCCGTCGTATCATCAGATTTAAAAACTGAAAAGTTTCAAGTATTATCGAATGATGGATGGTATTATCAACATCAACATCAACATTACATTCGACTTGAATAATCAAAATCAAATACTATATGATATACTCGAGTCTTTGAATATATCAATCAATATTCATTACATTCGAAACAAAACCACTTTCTCTCCGACCCTCTGGGTAGGTGTTTACATTATTATATATACTCGAGTATACGAGTATATAATATAGATAAAAGCCAAATTAATAATTTATACGAGTATAAGATAATAATTAGTTTTTATATTTTTGTTTATATTTTTATTCTCTTTCTCATTCGTTAGAATCTAGAACTGCTACATCTGAATCTGGAAATTGATGAAGTGTTGAGGTGTTGAGCAAGGCAAGCATATGTCGTTGAAGTCAAAGTCAAAGTCAAAGTCAAAGTCAAAGTCAAAGTCAAAGTCAAAGTTGAAGGTCAATGAATTTGAAGTCGAGGGGATTCGTATCCGTATTCATATTGGTTCGAACGATCAACTGCTCACTGCTCGCTCAGTCATTTCTTATATTTATTATTATATCCGTACACCTCCCTACCCTTAATTCATCGCCAAAACGAGGGAGTCAGTCAGTCAGTCAGCAGTCAGGTCAGTCATGATCGAAAATCATAGCTTATCTATTTATTAATCATTCAGAAAGAAAGAAAGAAAGAAAGATATCATGTACCGGTATGGTGTTCAAAACTAATCTTCTATATTCTACATTCTACATTCTACATTACAACCCAAATCCCTACCTAGCTCTTAGGTAGGTAGGTAGATAGACCCTAGGGGTATTGACTCTTTAGTAATACAAGATACAAATTCCATTTGAAAGTATTGAACATTGGGAATCCATTAAGTTGACTCTAGTACTCGAGAATATCAATATCTTATCTTGTCATCTACTCATACTCATACTTGGAATTTGGTAGATACAGTACGAGTACAGTAGTAACATTATATATAGTATACGACACTGCGGCCGTACTACTGAACTACTGAATCACTGAATCATCATCATCATCATCATAAACTACCTACCGTAGTAGTTCTAGCCTTACCTGGTCCCTGGAGTACTACTCTATAGCGAACTCATCCCATTCACAAATGTAATGTTACTTACTTACTGTATGATTCTAATGATGTATAATATAATATAATATTCTATTCTATTCTAGTTCAGGAATGATTGATGCATCTGCCGTATTGTATTTAGTATACTAGTATATAAGATTTCTCTCTGCATATTGCATATACTCAGTATAAATGAACATCGAACATCTCATCTCGCAGCATATCATAATCATAATCATATATGTGCATCAAGCAGTGGCAAGCACCGCAACGAGTTCCCCAACTTCTACTTGAAGCTTGTTCATTATAAACAATATCTATCTATTTCATCCATCTCATAATACGCACACAAACCAACCCAACCAAAACACCCTAATAGAAGCCATGACCGTCCCCGCAGAATCAAAATCAAAATCAAAATCCAGCTCATCATCAACTTCTACGTCAACCTCTACATCAACATCAGCCCAGCAGTTACGACAAAAACTACTTTTGCAGATCTGGGAATACAATAATGATATCAACACACCGCCAGATCTAAGAATACACATCACAGGTCTATCCGTTGCGGAAGGTGCTTTATTTGAACGTGATTTCCGTGCTGTGACCCCAAGATTTGGGAGATCAGATTCTTACATTTGGTTCACGAGGTTGTAGTTCTTTGACTCCTCTGGTACCAAAGACTGGGTTGGATACGGATGATGTTTTGTTTGAAGCTCCGGGAACGCGGAGTGGAGAGCTAGAGCTAGAGCTAGAGCTAGAGAGCGAAGTATCGAAGTTGACGGTGCCGACGGAAGAACTTGCTGTTTGGCGAGAAGAAACAGAAAAAGCAAAGTTCAAATTGTGAGATCTGCAACGGGAAAAGGAAACGTTGGAGATGGAGGGTCGTCGCAGAGCTGCGAAGGAACAAATTGATGCGCGGTGGCAAGAGCGGACTTTGAAGGACTGGAGGACAAATAAGGTGAAGAACACTTTTGTGCCATATGCGAGTATTGGTTCGGGAAGTGGTGAGGTATCTCGTGGAGATGCTTATGATGGGAGGATTAAGAGGAATAATATTGGGCGTGATGAAGATACTCTCCAAGAGATAGTTATTGACCGAGACGACAAAAATAGTGGAAGCGAAAGACAAATAAAGGAACATGCATCAGCAAAGGGAGAGAAGAAAAAATCACCACCAAAAGGTATAGAGCAACTAGCTGAATCGCGCAGAAAGGCAAATAGAGAATGGATGGCACGAGAAAGCCATCGAAAGACAGTAGAAGAGAGTGACGAAATGACGAGGATCAATTTGTTGAAAGGTGTTAATCGGGCCATTACCATTGCGGAAGAAGTAGCTTGGAAGGGCGCAGAACATTTGAGGGATTTGATGAATGGAGATGGGGGTTGGAAAGATCGAACGATCGAGATGGGTGATGAAGGTACGAGGAAAGATGAGGGAGTGGGAGGAGAAGATTCATTGGCATGTTCCAGACCGGGACATGCGCCAGCACTTCCGGTAGGATTCGAACCAGAATCTAAGCGTCGTGGTGGAAAGGGACTTGGAAATGGAAATGGAATTGGGTCATCAGAGTCGGAGGGAGGAGAAAGAAGACGAGTGCATCGCACAAGAGATACTTCTCCGCACTCCCAGACACTTGAAAGACACCCACTTCTGAAGGCAAGTCTTGATCCACAGCGTCATCGAGAAAGCCGCGCTGCTGAAGATCTCTAACCATTCACCCACAAACTATCATCACCCCAGGAAGCAGAGAAGCCACCTTTTATCTATTCACCCGGAATAAATATCCCCATACCCCCCATATCTCCCCTCGCTCCAAAAGTATCCAAGCCACAACCAAAGCCTGTATACTCACCTGGAATAAATATCCCCATACCACCCATATCTCCCCTCGCTCCGAAAGTATCCAAGCCACAACCACAGCCTGAATATGTACCTATTATTTTCCCTGTCCCCGCCATTCGAGAATCACGTCTCTTGCCACCAGAAAGTCCAGCCCAGTTGAAACTCCGCCTGCAACGCGAAACCGCCCACGCCAAGTTTGAGACTGATAAATTGAAATATCAAGGAGATGTCGAAGGTGTAACAAAGACTAAGGATGAAGTTGGGTCTGGAAAAAGTATATCGAAGCAAGACGGAAATGGAAAGGGGAAGGGGATTACTTGGGCTGATGGACCTACTGATGAAGCTACTGATGAACCTACTGATAATAAAGGCGAGGATGAGATGAGGTAAGTACCAAGGGAAATACGCCTTTGTTTGATGTTGATGAGAGAGCGGATCTAGAGGGATAGGAGAGGTTGGAGGAAAAGAGATATGAACGGGTGCCTGGAGGGGAAATATATGTATGTATCTTACATTGTAAGTTGTAACAGGAACAGGAAGTTGTAAGATTGAAAGGGAGAACTTGGCAGTAGGTTAAGGGAGAGAGCAGAGGAAGTAGCTGGAACGCTCTAGAGCGGTGGAGGTGGAGGTGGAGGTGGAATTGAAGATCAAAGAGAAACATGAGAGGAGAGGAGGGGAAGGGCAAATAAAAGTGACGTATGAATATAATGATAGGAACTCTGTTCATAATTAGTATCTTATTATAAAAAGAATTCCCTATGTGGGTTAATCCATCTAGCCATCTAGCCATCTAGTTTCAAAAGCCATAACCTTTTATTCAGTAATACTCGAGTAAATTGACCTTAACCTACTACTGTAGTACAATCTAAATATAATGATCCGACAATCCGCCAAGTTGGAGCGTCTCTCTCTTTTTTTCTTTTTTTCTTTTTTCCTTGCATGTTGATCGTTTCGTTCTACTCGAGTATATGATGATCAATTTGAAGTGATCAACTTACTTTTAATCACTTGCATTTGCATTTTGACAAGCCCAGTCATGTACATACCCATACCTAGGTAGAGTACATGCGCGGTTGAAAAAGAACTTTTGTGAAGAGTAATAATAAGAGTGTAGGTATATATATAGGAATTATTTATAGTTTGGATGGTTTGGTTTTCGCAGCATATTGACAATGATAATGACAATGACAATGACATCGATCCTTTTGAACTTTGAGGTTCTTGAGATAATATTGGGATTGTGTCAGATTATGACCTCATCATCATAATCGGTCATGTCGACTTGATCATCCATTCCTCCGCCGCCGGGGCAAAGAAGTCGAATTGCCCTATCTACTCGAGTACCTAGTAGGTACCTAGGTATCTCCAACTTTGTCAGCCGTCCTCATCTCCGTTAACCCCAGGGAATTTCAATAGCAAAAGGAGCGGGAATGAACTATACCGACTTTTCACGTTGATTTTCATGGCTTCTGCAAATATTGAAGTCACAGAGCCGCATCCTTTCACTCCCCACCATATCGTATACTCCCTCCTACCCGCCTTTGCCTTTTGACGTAAGTGTGTCTCAACACTCAAACTCTCAACTCTCAAGTATTTCTATAAATGGATACTGATCTGTGGTAGACATTCTTGGCACCTAATAATGATCAACAAAACTACGCACCGAGTAGGACACCGATACCCGACCAGCCGCTCGAATTCGGATATCCACTTCCATAAGTATCTAACTGCGTGCAAGTTCAACGCGTGTGCTGCAGTCTGCGGGCCCGAAGAACTCATTTCTAATAATGAGACGATTTCCTGGGATACTAGGTACTTATGCACTTATGCTCTTCGGCGTTATCAAACTCATGATGTTTGGATGTAACTTCATGGGTGTCGAGGGCCATCTTCTCCGCAATGTCTCCATTCTCCACTATACGATACTTCTCCGTTCTTTCCGCGTTTCACCAGCTTTCAGAGATAAATGGAAAAACTAGATATTTGGGATTTGAGGATCTCATCTCATCTTTTTTGTTCCTGTATGTCTGTGTCTATTATGTCGGTTAAATATAAGTCTTACCACAAAGGCGTGGTAACATTTGTTTGTTTATTTGCCTACAATGATACGCTATCATCATATATCGATACGAGTACAGTAAGTAGACATCTTCATAACTGCATTAGCCATCCATGTCATCGCAATATCTTCGGAACCGGGGAATAGAAGGTGAAGGTATACATCATTCAATCTTCAGGGGGAGGAGTTGGGGTTCATTTGAGGTTTACTCCATGAAATCCCCAAGAAACCACTTTATATCCACAACCCACAAATTTACTTTCTCCTCAGCACCTTACTCGTCCCGTCGTCCCGTTGTCTCCCTTGTTAACACAACTTAGCAGAACCGACTTCGCGCCAGCCACCCAATGAATTCTAATCCCACCTACAAACCCTTTCCGCTGTATGCAGGGTCCTTTACACTCAAAAGAAAGATCCAATCTTTTCTCGGATCTGCCTCGGTCTATCTTGGCATAATGATTTCTCTATGACGTTTTGCTGCGTCTATTTTTCATAATAATATGGTTGGCATGGTGTTTAACATGTGAGTGTTTTTTGGGGGAAGTTGATTGCCTTCATCTAGTACTTGAATCATTCAAATATAAATATATCGGGCTTCGACTTGGCATTTGTTGGAATTGGGTATTGCCTCTTGGCTCTTCATGGATGAATGCCAAGTGACTGCTGCCGAGGCATTGCGGCCAAGATAATTGTTATATGTCGGGTCAGCAGTTCGCTAGCCGACCGGATAAGCGCTCGATCTCGGGAAAAAAAAGCCTCCCGCTTTTTAGGAAAAACACTTTCGATTTCCTTCGTTCGAACTATACCAGTATCGATTATGTTTTTATTTGATAATGTGACCGTTACTGCTCTCACAAAGTCTCTGGGTAACAAAAAAGTTAAAATAACATCTTACTAACCATGCTAATCTCCACTTCAAAGAATCTTTAGGATAAGATAGTCAGTCCCATTTCCCACTCTCACATCCTCACATCCCTCCCTCAATCCCACACAACCCCACACCCCTCGCCCCGAACCCCACACATTGCTACTCGCAGCCAGTGAAAGTGACGTCTATTGTGTGTGGGTCTATTCAACTCGCTTGATAATACGGAGTACGTACCCCGACACTAACTTGTTAGCTAGTACTCGAGTAGTCACACAAATACCCGTTGGTGTATGGTCGAAGAGGTACTCGAGTAAGATGGGCTTCATTCATTGTTCATAAAGACATCCAATCACATCAATTTAGATATTCTTCCCCTTGAAAGCTCCGTCACCGCTTTCTCATGTGAATATTTCCTTGTCATTCTTAATGCAGATCCCAGCGGAAAATGCTTGGGTGCTCCGCAAGAAACATTGGATTTACACCCTTCATCCGAAGTTCATCGTGATCCAACAACCCAACGAGCCATGCAATTCCCTGCAAACATGTTCTTGCAAAATTGACATTTCCTGCAGGCGGTTACTTCGATAACTTAGTTATACCTTACGATGCGGGTTACCTAATTCGTACCATGCCGACGTTGGAAGAGCAAGCATTACCCTTTGTTGGAAGATGGGTGGATCCACCCAGTTTGTAAGACGAAGGATGGGGGATTGATCAACAAATATATAGCAAGAGATCTATCCCCTCGTTCCAATTTTCTCCTCATTTCATCTCATATTTCCTCTCTCTATTTCTCCAGATCTCCATAAGTTAATTCTAGTAGCGCAACAGCGTTGTGTTTGAAAAACTTGAATATCTACTGGCTGAGCCAGACGTTCGTGAAATCTTGACGGTTTCAATTCCTAGATACATCACAAACAATACTCAGAATGTCTTCTCCTGAGATATCATCGACGCAAAAGACCTTTGCTGGTCTCCATGGCCGAAAGCTGGGTCTTCTAGTGTCGACGATTGCCACAACTGGATTCTTGCTGTTTGGATATGATCAAGGTGTGATGTCCGGAATCATCGCCGCAGACCCTTTCAACGCCTACTTTCCCGAAACCAAAGATAACAGCGTCTACCAAGGTTTCGTCACCGCTATCTACGAGATTGGATGTTTATTTGGTGCTATTTTCATTCTGTGGTTTGGCGACTCCACCGGTCGAAGAAGAGCTGTAGGTTTTCTTTTCCCCAACTTCCCCCACATCCCCGGACTTCTCCGATTAGATAAGAAGTTCTCAGTTCTAAGTTCTAACCACCATTTTCACAGATGATGCTTGGTGGATTCATTATGATTATCGGAGTTATCGTGCAATGCACTGCTATTAAAGGCTCCAATGCTACTGCTCAATTCATCGTTGGTCGAATTATCACGGGTATTGGAAATGGAATAAACACATCCACTATTCCCACTTATCAGGCAGAATGTAGTCGTTCTTCCAATCGTGGTCTACTCATCTGTATTGAAGGAGGAGTCATCGCTTTCGGTACAATGATTGCTTATTGGATCGACTATGGCGCTTCATATGGTCCTGATAACCTTACCTGGCGTTTCCCCATCGCTTTCCAGATTGTGTTTGGTGTGATTCTCATTGTAGGAACTTACTTCCTCCCAGAATCTCCAAGATGGCTCTTGGCCAAAGAACGTCATGAAGAAGGCGTCGATGTGATCGCCGCTCTTTCGGGCCTCGAGAACCATGATCCACAGGTTCAATTGGAGAAGACGATCATTATGGATAGTATCATGGCATCAGGAGCCGCTACCAAAACCCCTTTCTCGGCTCTCTTTACTGGAGGCAAAACTCAACATTTCCGCCGTATGCTCCTGGGTTCATCTTCACAATTCTTCCAACAGCTCGGTGGATGTAACGCAGTGATTTACTATTTCCCCATCCTCTTCGAGACCTCCATTGGAACCACGAAAAACATGGCTCTCCTTCTCGGAGGTATCAACATGATTGTGTACTCGATATTCGCAACCGTCTCCTGGTTCATCATTGAGAAGGCCGGCCGTCGCAAGCTATTCTTGATTGGAACCGTGGGCCAATGTCTCTCCATGGTCCTCGTCTTCGCGTGTCTGATTCCCCTAAATGGAAACGGTCCTTCCGCAAAAGGTGCTGGTGTCGGTCTCTTCACCTACATTGCCTTTTTCGGCGCCACCTGGTTACCACTCCCATGGTTATACCCCGCTGAAATCAACCCCCTCCGTACTCGTTCCCGCGCGAACGCCGTCTCCACTTGTTCCAATTGGCTGTTCAACTTCACCATCGTCATGGTTACTCCAATCATGATAGCCAACATTTCCTGGGGCACCTATCTATTTTTCGCAGTAGTCAACGCGTGTTTCATCCCCTTCATCTATTTCTTCTACCCAGAAACCAAGCGCAGATCACTCGAGGAAATCGATATTATCTTCGCAAAGGGCTTCGTCGAGAATATTTCTTACGTCAAGGCGTCCTTCGACCTTCCATATCTGACTCCGGTCGAAATCGAGCAGATGGCTCGTCATTACGGCTTCGAGACGGCGGATGTAGAGAGTAGAAGTACGAGTGATGCGGAGAAAGAAAAGCCGAGTCGTAGTGTAGGGGATGAGGTGGAGGCTGTGTCTGATGCTCATCAGAGGGGTAATGCTGCTCATGAGGGGTTTAAGGATGATTAGTTCATTAGTTGATTGGTTGATGTCGGTGTGACTCTCGGAGACTTGGTAACGAACGGACAGACGCGATTGGGACATGGACATCATGATTTATGAATGCTTGGTGCTTGGTTATCATTCATGGTTACTATACCCTTGGCGGCGTTTCTTTTCTTTTCTTTTCTTTTCTTTTCTTTTGGGTATATGGATCTGGATATGGCTCGGATAATAATGACGCTCCTCCTGGGCTGGGGGTTATGGTTTCTGAAGAGGGGGTTGTATCTTGAATGTATCTCTTGATCACATTGGATATGTATGTACCATGCATGCATGTCATATATATAGTAGATGGATGGATGGATGGATGAGGATATGATTGATCATTAAAGATGATACCCTCACTGGGCACAAAAGCAGCTTATTTTTCTTCGATACTGAGTAGAATTAGTTAAAGTTACTTAACATAACATAATATGACTATTTCATCATGCTTGCTTGCTGCTTTTTTTACTCTTCCGTGTGGATATACGAGTACAGTACTCGAGTGTTAGTCTTTTATTACAGTATGCATGCACACATATATACATACATACACATGAAACCGGTGAGCCTTACGAGTAATAGCTATCTATGTATCTCTACGCAACTCGTCGCGCTTGCGGCTTACCTACCTGGGAAAACTGAAGACTACTCTACCTACTCGTATCGACTCGTATCTATATCAGAAGAATAGTCCGAATAGAAATCTCAATATACGGTATACCGGTGGGGGTTTTTTTCTTCTGATATATATATTATATAGTTTAAATAGGCTGCGCTGCGCTACTGAGAGATGAGGGGAGGTAGGGGTGGGTTGGGGAAAGGGGAGTGAAGTTTATTATACTCGAGTATGTACGAGTAAGTACTGAGTACGTACCGCAAGGAAACGGAAGGTGATTTCGAGTAATTGTCATGATGAAGATACAGTAAAGATAAAGATAAAGATGAAATGTTGGTGGGTTATCAATTTTCTGAAGATTGGCTGTTTGTACTGTACTCGTAGATAGATAGATAGATAACTGTAGATCAAGTATGAATACTAAAGTACTCGAGTAGTTTGTATTAGGTATATTTGATATATTGGTATTGGTATATTGGTATACTCGAGTATTAGTACTCGTATAGATTTTACTCACTGGATGTGTATGTAGAGTACGAATGAATACATTACTCGAGTATATATATTATACTCGAGTACTTTATACTCGTATAAATACTCGTATATAGTATATATATATGACGACTGATACGAGTAGATAATCAACTCATCTCATCGTATTTGTTGTGCGAGATGTTGTACTCAGTATTGATATGTATCGTAGCACTTGCTACAAAGATGCTATGATCTAACTACAGATATACTCGAGTATAGTAGTATAATATAACAAGAAATCATGTGATAGGTAATTAGTAGATAGATTGAATAAATATGTGATATACTCGTACATACTGCAGCTTTCAAGGAATTTCCAGAGTAATATTAGAGAGGGATTGATCATGATTATGCTAGATGTACAATCTCGATGGCTATATACACACCATATTCATACCTGCTATATTGATCCCGAATAACAACATCCACATTGACATATGCCATAAATTTAGATTTCCAAGGTCCAAAGGCCAAGTTTGCAAACATGTTTTGCCAATGAAAGCTAATATTTTCCAAGGCGGGCGGATCTGCGATATTTCGAGCCCGGCCGGGCTTGGCTAAAGTTGGTGGTGAATGAAGAACCTCGGATTCTCAACTTCACTCAAATAATACGAGTACAACCATTCAATATCAAGAGCTCGCCATATAGGTAACCTCATGATGGTGGAATGAATTGATATTTATCAGGAGAATGTTTGTCTTACATGTTTCCGGTTGTCACACTTTGAAGGGTCTTTCATTTACTGCGGCTTTTTCAACTTTTCATGGTTAAAGTTCTCTATCTTCATCTCTGTTGTGTCAACATCAACATATATTCGATAGGTCACATTTTCCGCCACCAAATCATCAGAATTTCCCATAAAGGCATGTCGATATCTTAACCCCCTGGAGACACATCTTTACCACAAAAAGCTTATCGTTTGATGCCACGCCCTTCCTGAACTGCCTTTTTGGGGAATTTGGAGATCCAAATATCACTTTAAACATGCATGTTATGCATATATCCGTTGGACCTCCTGCCTAGCTTCGGGACTTTGCAATATGTGCGATGTTAACCGCTGTCTGCGGGGGATGCGTTGTTCTTATCGAAGACAATTGGATGGTTTTGTTGGATTACCTTCCATGATCATCCAAAAACCTTCAACTTTATCTTTGACTCCTGTGGGGTGGTTAAGCTTTTGAGGCTTTTCTCGTACCTGAGAGCCTAGACCTACTCTATTCGGAATGTTCTCCGAGTCTGCATTTAGATACTACCGGTACAAAGCGCGTGGTAGCATTGGGCATGGAGTTGAGGGGGGGATGGGGAAAGGAAGGACGAATATAAGTTCGAGAGAACTCACTAGAATGAGAGTTACAGTGGTTCCACTATCTCCTAGCCCTTCTTCACGAATAATCACGAACAATCACAATGCGTTTCTCTTCGCTTTCTTTGATTGCTTGTCTACTTCCGGCTGTCCTAGCTGCCCCTATCACGGAAGGGAAGAAAGACAAACGAACATTTGAACTTCGTGATGGAGTCAATCATACTGTCTTCTATCATGCTGACACTGATTCCACTCTGGCATTTGTCACCAATTCGGGCATTTGCGAGACGACACCTGGTGTGAACCAGTATTCTGGATATTTGACTGTCGGGACCGTGAGTTCAATGTATCTCCATTAGAACGAATTCATGTTAACATGGCAATAGGGTATGAACATGTGGTTCTGGTTTTTTGAGAGTAGAAATAATCCTACAACTGCACCATTGGCGACATGGTTCAATGGAGGTATAGAAATCACTATTTCTACACTATTTCTACCATATCGCACTCTGCTTACGAGAAACAGGCCCCGGATGTTCTTCCATGATTGGATTGTTCCAAGAGAATGGGCCATGCCAATTTTATAACGGAGCCTCCACCCCCTCCCTCAACCCATACAGCTTCAACGAATTCGCAAACATGATTTACATTGATCAACCGATCGGAGTAGGCTTCTCCTATGGTACAGATTCTGTAACTTCCACCATTACCGCCGCTCCATACGTCTGGAATCTTCTCCAAGCATTCTACGCCTCATTCCCTACATACGAAAACCGGGACTTTGGTATCTTTACCGAATCCTATGGTGGACACTACGGACCCGAATTTGCATACTATTTCGAACAACAAAATGCCAAAATCGCTGCAGGCACCGTTTCCGGTCAAACGATCGATCTCATTGCGTTAGGTATCAACAATGGATGGTATGATCCCATCATCTCCTATAAGGCATATGTCGACTTCTCCTACAACAACACGTACAAACCACTCATCACCGCAGCTCAACATACCAGTTATCTCAACACATATACCAAGTCATGTCTGCCTCTTTTGCAACAATGCACATCGACTACGGGATCCAACACTGCTTGTGTAAATGCGGATGATGTCTGTTATGAAGATATTGAAGGGCCATTGTCTAACGGAAACTTTGACGTCTATGATATTCGAGAGCCATCGAATGATCCATATCCTCCAGAAACTTACGCCACATATTTGCAGAGTGCGGCGGTCGTAAAAGCTATTGGGGCGAAATCTACTTATCAAGAATGTCCTAATGCTCCTGGTGCGAAATTCGCCGCTACTGGTGATGGTTAGTACCCTTCATCTTCATCTTTATCATATCCTATCCCATTATATCCCATTCCATTCCCTCCATCCCACTAACCCTCACCCCCACAAACAACAGATTCCCGCACCTTCCTCCCCACCCTCTCCACCGTCGTGCAATCCGGCATCCGCGTACTAATCTGGGCCGGCGACGCCGACTGGATCTGCAATTGGTTCGGTGGTCTCGCTACCGCCAACGCCATTACATACGCCAACACCTCTTCTTTTAACGCTGCGCCTGTGAAGCCCTATACTGTTAATGGTGTTGCGGGGGGTACGTTTAAGAGTGTGGGGAATTTGAGTTGGTTGAGGGTTTTTGGGGCAGGTCATGAGGTTCCGTATTATACGCCAGCATTGGCGTTGCAGGCTTTTATTCAGACAATGCGAGGGGGAGGGGGGGTGATTGCTTCTACTTAGGTGGGGAGAGGGGGAGGAAAAGGGGGGAGTGTGTATTGGGAAATGGGGGAGAAGGGAGAAGGGAGAAGGGAGAAGGAGGGGGAGTGGAGGTGGAGATCTTGGAATGGGAAGGATATAGTTTCTTGGAAATGTATAAGTGCTTCAATGCATGTACACAGATACTATACAGATACTATAATGAAGTATAATGAAATATAATAACATCTACAGTATCATTATAACCCCCATCTTCTAATTAAATAGGTAGGTAAGTAGGTACCTATGTATTATACGATACAGTTCCAACATTCCTTCCCTTCCCTTCCCCTCCCTTAGCGCATAGTACAGTATAGTATAGTAGATAAAAAATATATGCACAGATACTGATAGATACAGATACAGATACAGACAAAGACACAGAGAGAGAGATAGAGAGATACCAAGATCCTAACTGATATTCCTATATTTATTATATATTGAGTACTCGTTTTCATATACAATATATATACTCGAGTAGTATAATACACAATATATAATATAAAAATAGAAATTCACATTTTCCTACTTTCTATTATCTTATTTCTATACTTTCTATTTCTTTCCCTAATTACTTCCTTTTCTTTTAATCAAATAAGGTTAATCAAGTATTCGAGTATACTACTCGAGTAATCACAATATACTATTAGTACTACTACTACTACTCACGACTTATACTACTACTACTGTATACTACACAAGTATATACTCAATATTACGCGCGCCCTATAGCATGACTCAACTTGAATATTAAATATAAGGCATTATCAAACATGAGCCTCCGCAATAATAGGGAAATAGAGTAAATGTTTGAATATACACATCATTCATTATGATTCATGAAAGATAACAATCATAAATGAAAGATAATTAATAATTAAATAAAGGGGTAACCTTATACTCGAGTAATTCGCCTCGCCTATCTACATACATAACCTTACTACTCGAGCACACACTCAACCCCTTCATATCCCCTTACAGACAAACCATCCATCCATCCATCCACCACTCAAGCCCTACCCTACCCTACAGCAATACAAAGCAAAATACATCAATATCAAAATACATCCAAAGTACACTGATATTCATATCTATAAACATAATTGTCTCACACTTCACACCACTACAGTTATACGTATACATATTATTATAGTCAGTCTACTAGTGGCAGTGGCAGTGGCATTCATTTTCATTACTAGCAATTATAATACTCGAGTATAATAATAGTAATTAGCAATTAGCAATTAGCAATACGAGTACACCCTACGGGCACCTCAGGAGGGTAATTTACCCACCAGTGGGTTATTATCGTACTAAATCATATATTGAAGTAAAATGAAATATATTGAGATCTTGTATTAAAATCTGAATATATAGTTTAGGCCTAATATGAATTAGTTCAATATAGCTTTATTTCTTTTACCCTAAATCGATGATTTCAAATTCATTTATATCAAAATCTTTAATCAATTTTACAACTTTTTATTCAAATCAATTTGAATGCTTTCAATGCTTTCAATATTCAGTAAATCAGATTTCAATATTTTCAATATTCAGTAAGTCAGATTTCAATATTTTCAATATTCAATAAATTAGAATAATTTCAATACTTCAGTTTAAATAATTTTAATCGTTTATATAAACAATTAAGGGTTAGTGATGACAAGGGTGCAACAACAAGGTTCAAAATAAGGTATGAAACTCAAGGAGGAAAGGGCTAGGAAGGCTAGGGAAGCCAGGGAGGCTAGAGAGGGGAGGGAAGAGAGAGGGTGACAATTGAGAAACCCGGGAGAGGGTGATCAACGATATCGGAGGCCTTTTTTAGCTTCAAATCTCAATATATACTTTGAATCTCAATACATACGCTAAAAAGGACACTTACAAAGAATGGCCGATTTACTCTCTTTGAGAGAGTTATTTACCCTCCTCAGGTGCCCGTAGGGACAGTAGATAGATACCTAATAGTAGTAGTATTACCAATTCTGAATCTAAACGAAAAAAATATTTTGAAGTACAGTATACCTACCTAGTAATTATCACTAGACAGATTATTTATTTTATTAAATCTCGAACTAACCAAAAACTAGAGTACATACTCTTCAGAATAAATATATATAAATTGAAGCCGAAGAGTATAGTATATATACGGTTAAATTAGTCTTGTGTGTGTAATCTATAGATACTCATAGTAGTTTGCTGTCCGAGTTCTCTACAAGACGAGGAAACCTCAGAATGATATACAATAGCCTGGTAGGTAATACACGAGTATTATATTACTATTAATCAATCGAATCGAATCGAAATGGAAGCTGCCTTTGACAATCCTATCTTATACCATTCCATATCATACCAGGCCATGCCATACAACCCCATCCATCTTCTTCTTCTTCTTCTTCTCTCTCCATTTCCTCCCTTCCTCCCTCTCGCATCCCCTCATATCAGGTTGAGTTTTTTTCCTTTCATCTTATTTCCTTCTCATTATCTATCCCCCTTCATTATCCATCAACCCTCCATTCAACTTCCTACACTAAATCCCTCTTTCTTTACCATCTCACTCAGAAGAGTAGAATTTCATTTCCCATCTTCATTTCCCCGTCCCCCTGACTCCGCCATCAGTCATTATCTTGGCTTCCTACTTCCTACAATGACTTCATAATATACACTACACCCTCCCTTCCCCCTTCCCCATCCACACGCTAACGTAGAAAAGAACGCCCGCTCTCCTTTCCTTATAAAAAGTAGTTCCCCAAAAGTTGTCCCCAAATTTCCAATCAATACATAAACTATTGTTGTTGTTGAAAGAAATAGAAATGCCGAAAACCCATCGCAGATTATGTGGGTTGTGGTCGTAATATACATTCTCTCTCTCCCCCTTCTGCTTTCATCTCATTCGTTTCTTCGAGCCAGGACGATGCTTTGATCGGTGCCTTCCCTCGTCACAATCACAACTCCTTCCCCCCAACCTTAACCCTATCCGCCTCAACCAACACCTCCGCCGCCTTCCTACTCCTCTCATATCTCCCCTTCGTATCCCCCACCCAAACGGTCCCTAATATTCTATCCCAAAATGTGAAGAAAGGTTGACTAAAATTCGCTTTAATTCCCCAACTTTGATGATGAATATCATGATATCCTGCATTATTACTTGTGATATGTTGAAGAGGATCCCATGGAAGTGCGTAACCACAATGATCATCTACTGTTTTGATGGTTGAGGCGACGAAAAATGCCATTCCTTGACGAGATGTCATGCCGGATACTTTGTAACCGATTGATGCACCGAGGGTATCGAGGAGGAAACCTTCGAAGGGGTGATTATAAAGGGCTCCATAGGCATAAGGAACATAGAGACGATGATGGCGGGCGTGGAAAGTTGCTTTAAAGAATCAAAAGTCAACATATCATTCCACATGGGAGATGATGAGAAATGAAAGGAAGAAACTCACTATACAGCCACTTATTCATATGCATAGCTCTATGCAAAAAGTATTGCCAAGTATCCACAATAGCAATCGCCAACCCAAATTGTAATGCCGGCACAATATACCAATATATCATCTTCGCAGCCCACATTTCCCACTCCGCAAAAGCCGGAATTTGTTCACCACTCACTACATTCAAACCTTCCATTAAACCTGGATATTTTCCACCAGCCAATACGCCCGCAACCATTGGCCAGTTCCCCGCTACATTTTTCGATATCGCGGATGCATTTAGTCCTATTAGACTCAAGATCGAAGGTAAAGCTCTTTGTGCTATGCGTATCCTTTGCGCCCAGTTCGCAATATCGAATTCGGTTTTCCCGGCCATTTCTTCGGGTTCGGTGAGGCCTAGCAAAGCTCCAACGATGGTTTGGATAATTTGTTGAATGATCACATCGCGGGCGACTTCGTAACGAGAGACGCGATTCCTTTTGAGGATTTCGGCGGGAGTATGCAAACGGTATTGAGGCCAGATGTCTAGGGTATCGATTGCATGGAAGAAAAGAGAGACGACCCAGTAGGCAGCGATGGGACAGATGAGTGAGAGATAGAAATCGGATATGTAAGGGACGAGTGGTTGTAGGGGGGTGAGGATATAATGAGGAAGTGATGGGAGATCGGATATTGTTGTTGCATTGAATTGGAGGGTGGTTGAGTTTGCCATTATGTAGAATATTGTATTGTATTGTATTGTATTGTGTTGTATTTCTTGTTGATTTTTGGGATCGAGTAGCTAATTGATAGCTGCAGTTATCGTGTTGCTCACGAAGGAATGTGTTAATGTAAGTTGTATGATGTATGTTGTATACTGAATGCTGACTTTGATAAAATAGTATGGTAAGATAGTAAAAGTAGAAGTATGAAATGGGAAAGAAAGAATAAAGAAAGTAAAGTGATTGATTGATGAGATAAAAAGATAACGACTCTTTTTTTTTCAGTCTTATAACTCTCTTCACTTAATAAAGTCAATAAATAAATACAAATTTAGTTAAAAGGGATAATCATCCTTTTTAGTACTTTCGTATTTCGTATTTCATACTCTTTTCTTGTCTTGTTATAAATGACGGATGGATCCACGCCACATGAAAATCAGACGACGTTCTTTCGATTGATTGAATTAATGCCGGTGTTTCCGGTTTATCTTATGTAATCAGAAGAGCAATTTTATATACCTACCTAAAGCCATAAAATGTATATGAGAATTAAGGGTGAAGGGTGAATGAAGATCAAGGATTAATATGTTTTGTGAATTCAAGGATTAATCAGATGATTACTGCCAAAACCTAATCAGATATAAATCCTTATATCCTTGTACCATGAAGCGGTCAGGACAAAATGTTTACGGTAGTCATTCATTCAATCAACCAATGATATATCACCATCATATATTGAATTAATGCCACAGTGTGGCAGTTTTTACCAAATTGTGGCTGCTCTTAAGATGTACTAAGGTCCCCTTAACCTAACACGCTAAACCGAATCCCGTTAAACTTCCCCTCCAAAATTTTCCCGCACCATTTATCTTTTATCGTTGTCCAGATTGTTCTTCTTCCCTCCTCTCAAATTCAATCATTATCTTTCCACACATAGCTTGATTTTTTTTAAACAATAAATCAAACCGTCAATATGATCATTTTCAAAGTAAGTTATAACCTCCTTTCCTTCCTATACTACTTTGGCAGATTATTTCGACGATTCGAAATGTATTCCGTGAAGTAGTGGGGGTCTACGACAAAAAGGAATTGAAAGAGATGACGTGAAATTGAATGAGAGCTAATTTTTGTTTCTCACAGGATATCCTTACCGATGACGAGATCATCTCCGACTCCTATGACTTGAAGGAGGTTGATGGTGTCGTTTACGAGATTGACTGCAGCATGATCACTATTGGCGCTGTCAGCGTTAGTACGTTGAATCAAAATTACCCCGCTCGTTCCGATCGACTCCTCGAGGTGGTACAACGATTGGGGGATATTGACTAACATAATGGGATTATAGATACTGGTGCAAATGCCTCGGCCGAAGAAGCTGATGAGGGTACCGAGGATGGGGACTCAAAAGTTAACGACATCGTTTCCTCTTTCCGTCTTAACAATACTTCTTTCGATAAGAAATCCTATCTCACCCATCTTAAGGGTACGTTTCTATCTACCTTGATTCACATACACATACAGAAGTGTAGGGACTAATATTGATTTATAGGATACATGAAGGCTGTTAAGGAGAAGTTGAAGGAGAACAAAGCTACTGATGAAGAGATTACCAAATTCGAGAAAGGTGCTGCTGCATACGCCAAGAAGATTGTTGGCAGTTTCAAGGAGTATGATTTCTTCGTTGGTGAATCTATGGATCCTGATGGAATGTATGTTTCTCCCCTCTCTACTTTTCCCCTTATATCACAGAACATATACTTACATATATACACATAGGGTCGTACTTATGAACTACCGTGAGGATGGTGTTACTCCATATGTTACAGTCTGGAAGCATGGTCTTTTAGGGATGAAGGTTTAAGGTGATTGATTTTTTGGGATATTTGGGAAGGGGAATTTTTTTCTTTGATGTAAATCATCATACCGACCATGCGAGTCCGGCTCGATTTTCGAGATAAAATGCGATCGATGATATCAAAAAGATTGAATTTTAAACCAATAAATTAGGGGCTGTATGTGATATCTGAATACTTGTTCTTTCCTTTCTCAAGCTATTTCCTCACTCTGAGTCTTTTCTATAGCAGTTAACACTTCAGCACATCCCATTAACATCCCATTCCTCCCATTCCTCCCATCCACCCCTCTTGAGTTTCCTAATCAGGAACTTGGAACCATTGATAAAGAATAGTAGTACTACCATATCTCCATCTCCATCTCATCTCCATCCCCATCCACCCCCCCTTCCCCCTCTTCTCCCTATCTCCTTTCCCTTACCTTACCTTCCCCTCCCCCCTTTTTCTTCCTAAAAATACGCTTCAAAAACAAATTACAACACCTTCTCAGCTTCTCAGCTTCTCACCTCACCTCACCTCACCTCGCCTCTCCTTATCCTCATCTCCTTATCCTCATCTCCTTATCCTCATCTCCTTATCCTCATCTCCTTATCCTCATCTCCTTATCCTCATCTCCTTATCCCCATCTCCATTTCCCTTTCTCCTTTCTCCCCTCCCTTTCCCTCCCTTTCCTTCCTATTTAAACCTCACCTAATCTAAACCTCATCATAGCTAAACCTTCTGCACGAAACTCTCCCTACAAACATAATCATAAATATAATAAACCACAAGCACAATCCCAGCATCCAATTCCAGCATCTGAAAAACAGAATCATGCCACGAGAATACTATACCATACCATACCACTCCACAACCCTGAATACCACAGCATACCACAACACAACACAACACATCATAAAATAGAATAAAATAGAATAAACATCTCAATTAATCATATCCTATATCCTATATAATTACCTAATACGTTTATATACGAATATCTCCCTCCACCCACTCACCTCACCATCGGCTTCGGCTTAGGTTTCGTAGCCATGGGTATCGGAGGCGGTGCCGGTGCATTCGCATAATCCATTCCCGAAACCTGAACACCCGCGCTTAATTCAGCCCTCTTCTTTGGAGGAGGCGGAGGCGCCGGCTTCTTTTTTGCTAGGACTGGTTGTGTGTTTAATCCATTTAATCCCCCAATCCCATAACCCACCGCAACCCCATCATGTCCAGAAGAAGAAGAAGAAGAAGCATCCACATGCCCATCTCTCCCCCTTGACGATCCCGCATATGACGATCCCACTTTCTCCGCAATACCATACTGAGCATTCAATTTATTAGCGGCAGCAAAACCACTCTTGGCTTGTTCACCATGTCTAGCGTGGAAATTATGGGCCGTGCTGGCGGCGGTGCGGGCGTCGGTGAGGGAGATGGAGGTGGGGTCTTTGTGGAAGGCGGAGGCGGTGCGGAGGGCGGATTGTTTTTGTGCGAGGGTTGTGCCTTGGGGGGTGTTGGATGAGGGTGTGGGGGAGGTTGTGGTTGTGGATGTGGATGAGGGGGAGGATGAGGATGTTAGTCGGGAGAACCGTGATGACAGTTCTTGGAGTTGGGGCGAGGAGGTTCGCGAGGGGATTTGGGGGGAGGATTTTCGGGCGGGGGGAGGTGCGAGTGATGAGTTGCTGGATGAGGTTCGTATTGGGGGTGCGGGGATTGCTGCTTGGGATTTGGAGGTTCCGATTCCGAATCCCGGGACGGATATTCCTGCGGCTCCTAATCTGCTCAATGCCCCTTGGTTCAATATCCCTTTATGTGCATCGCCTTGAGAAGTAGCTGCACCATAAGTAGGAGGAGGAGGTGATGGAGCCGGACTCGAATTTTGTCGTGGTGGTAATCTGGGTGGTAGGCCTGGCGGTTTCGATTTTCCGGCTACAGGAGCTGGAGCTGGAAGTGGTGTTCGACCATCAGCACCATCTTTCCTACCGGGAGGTGGTGGTAAATGTGTGGTGGATAATCCGGTCGTGTTTGCGCGATAGGGCATTGGTGGTGGTTTGGGTTGGAGAGCTTCTTCTTCTTGTCTTCTTCTTTCTTCTTCTTCTGCTTCTTGTTTTGCTCGGATTTCACTTTGTGGTACTGCGGTTCCCCATCCTCCTGTATTCGATGGGGTGTGATGGTTTTGAATTGTAAGTTGGGTTGGTGGTGGTAAGGCGGTTGCTCCATGATATCTAACACTTTTGGGTGGTGGACCGAACGATGATGGGTCTTTTAATGAGGTTATTGGTGTGGATGTATGTTCTTGAGATTCTTCATTTGGATCTTTTCCTTTTCCCATCCTATTAAATAGATTGTTAATTTAATAAGTACAAGTAATCTTACAGTAACCCAGGGTTATGATCTTCGCCATCTCTCATTCGAAAGGGGATAAACATACCATCCAGCAGCTTTTTGATTGAGACCTTTCAATTTATCTTTAGGTTTTGCATCTTTACCTTTTTGCCATCCACCTTTCATATGATCCCTTATTCCCAATCCCGATATCGACATAGTGGTTGATGTATGATGTATGATGTATGTGAGTAGAGTATAAATTGACAAGTAAGGGTGACGGTTTGTGGGGAGTTTACTGGTCAATGTTGATCAACGTTCAAACTATGTAGTAGCTTGATCTGCTAGTTCCGAATTGTCATAGCAGTTATGTGTACCCGTCTGATAATGTTAGAGTGAAAGAAATTTCTTATAGATATTGTAAATGATCTAATCTCTACCGGAACGATGCATATGAATGATTTGATTAGAGTATAATTGTTTCCAAGGTTCATTTATCCCGAAAAGTCCGAATACACATGTGGGAGGGGAGGGAAACGGAGTACTGAGCCATCAGATTCCACGCCACCAATGTACAACCGTGGCACAACATCTGATTTCCCCTCATCCCACATTCACCAAACAATAGAATAGGAGGTATATATAACAATCACAAGCATCTCAAATCATCAAAACAACTAGCACAAGCTGGCCTAGTGGCCTAATGGTTAAGGCGCCACATTTCGGGTATGAAATACTGTGGAGATTGGGAGTTCGAGTCTTCCCTGGGTCGATATATATATATATATATTATTTTTTTTTGGAGTAATCCCAGTTTTGTTATAGATTTTTGGTCTTTTTTGGAGGGGGATTTGATTGTGTTTTTGATAAGGGGGAAGGGAGAAAGGGTAGAAAAGGAGGGGGTGGACTTTTGGAAGATGATGAAAAGGCATATGTGTGTGTAATGCGAGATTACAAAGGAAGGTCCAATCAATCAATGTTCATTCACCCCTTTTTTGGTTATGTAGGCTTTTGGTCAGATGATCGATCTTTTCTTGGTAAATGGTACTCGAGTAGATAGAGTTGAAGTCAACTCTAAATACCGGTACTTGTTAATTTTGATTGAACAAGTATCTATCGGGAATCAAAATTGCAATGTGTTGAATACTTCATATGTCAAGATGATAACCATATACGAAGAACTCTCTCACGTCTGAGAAATTGTCCCTCAAATGCCGGTTGTAGTAGTAACTTCAACCACAGAATTGAGTAAGGAATTAAAACCTACAAGAAGAAAACTATCACTATTCGTTCTTCCAAGATAGCTAATAATTCAACCCACATGAATCATTCTCCTACCACCAAATACATCCTTTATCTTGTCTTATCTCTTATCAATTCTCGAGAAACTTTTCTTACCATATCTTTTTCATATCCAATAATATGCTCTCTATGATCAAGCTCATTCATCTCTTTTCATCCGCACTAGAATTACGGGGGTCTCCTCTTGAGCAGCAACTTCAGCCTTCTCTATTTTCATAATACCTAGCTATCTGGTCTTGACACTTGAACTCCGACCCACTCCTTTAATATCGTACCTCATCAAGCGATGAACTTCATACTCATACTCATACTCATACTCATACTCATACTCATACGTACATCAAGATCTCGTGATTCTGAAAGGCTGCGAATCAATCTGGATAGAATTTTTGAAAATACCATCATCAACTGGAAATCATGGCAATATCATTTTTCAGAAGCTAGATCCCGGTACAGAGGATGAATGAACTCCCAAGAATTGGGGTATAGGGAGAAGAGGGAGTGGAGTGGAGTGAAGTGAAGGTTAAGTGAAGATTAAGTGAATGTTATATTATATTCAACAGAGTAAAAAGTGGAGGGCGGAAATTTGTTGGAGAAGAGATAAGTGGACAAGTGATTCAGTTATATATAAATGCCATTGGTACCCCGAATTGATGAGTTGTTATGTTTTCTCGGTGACTGTAGTATATGGTTACTATGCCTTTGATACTCGTTGCATGCTATCTAAGTAGGTGCTATCTGTGCATTTCCGTTAATAGAACATACAGATGGGATTCTCAATACTTCGAAGACAGATAAGTTCATGGATATGTTTATAGAATGGATCCTCTTTCGCTGTCGCTGTGTTTTACATTTACATGTTGACGAATAGTTTTTATTGCTATCGCTATCATTGAATCCATTAACTCCATTCTTTCTTTCCTACTAAGCATTGTGTCTGCCGGTGCTCTTGCTCTAACTCTTACTTTCACTGTCTTCTCCCACACCCCCCATGATCATGATTATGCTAATCGCAAGAGAATCTGAATCAGACCTCCCTCTACCCCCCCTTCAACCGATCATCAATCCAGCCCATGGTAAGCTGGGTACAGGAGTAGTCTAGTCTAACCTTTATCTAAACGAGAAAAAAGGCTGGTGCTCAAAATGTCTATATTTATACTCGAGTACATACCAGTGTTCAAACCCCAAGATCTCGATTACTCATTACTCACTCATTATACTAGACCCTGAGTTCAAGTATCGAAATTCACCTCAATACTGTCACTTGTCCATCCCATCTACAGTACTCAAAGAATATAAAAAGCCTTTTAATCTAATTACTTTCCTTTCCTTTCCTTTCTTTTCCTCACAAGACAACAATAGGAAGTTGGGAAATTCAGTAGGTCCGGATTTTCATGTGCTACTTACTTATTCTTGTGATTGAAGATTCATTTGGGTGTTTGATGACGAGAATGACTGGTTAACTCGATGTAGCTATAAAGAGCCCACTGAAGGGTCGAGGGGTAATTTCCTGTATATAGAAGACTTCCTTTTCGCCGTCGCTATTTTCTCAAACGCGGTTATCAACATCAAAATCTACAGGTTGTCTCGTCATTGTCTTTTATCCATTATCGCTAACCTCTCACTAAAACCATTCCCAAGTTACTAGGTACTTCTGACGCGAATATATCCATCTATCTATCCGTATAACAAATCAAAAACTACAACACCTCCAGACCTTTCTTCTTTCTTCTTCTGTCCTTCAGAAGTATCATTCTGTCCTTCTGCCTTGTACTTGTGTTTCACCATACTAATCAAAACGTTCGTCCCTCAAGCGAAATACCTAGTAGTATGTATCACTTATATACCATTCTTTATAAAAAATAACTGGGCTAGTATCTTGATCTCCACTTCGACGCCGATCTCGACTATCTCACGCGTGTTGATATTGAGCTCAATGCGGTTACAATTATATTCACTTCAATCTCAATCTCTCCCCCCCTCTCTCCTCCTTCCTCACTCTCTCCCTCCTCACCCTACCCACCCTAGGTTAGAGTAGATTAAAGTATATACCAACCCGTACTCTTAACATACCCGCTATCTAATTTGTGCACAAGCAGATGATAATCAATATCCATTATATTAGTCATCAGAATCTTGTGATAGGTCTGTTTGAATCTTCTGATATAAAAAGTTTTTGTTGCATATCTGTAGTCTGTCTGACGTCTGCAACGTCTGCTGGATCTTGGTGGGATTTTGATCGTTCTTGACGTTCTTGACATTCTTGACATTCTTGACAGTATTGACTTACTAACCGTATCTATGAATTTTGCATTTACTACTCAAGTCATATTGCATTAGTCATATAGCATATATATTCTGCCTGGTCTAGACTCTACATACAGTAATATAACTAGACTACATATACAACTGCGCAATCCGGGGCAAGGGCAAGCCGGGGATCATATTACATTATCTGCATCATCTGCATCAGCGTCAGCATTATTTCTGTGTATTCTAGAGTACATAGATCAATGTAATCTACATGATCTGCGTGGTCTGCGATAGTAATCTTTAATATATATATATAATATATATAACAGAATCATGACTGGGAGATCTCCTAGAGACTAGAGGTAGATAACACATGGTACGGTATACTTTACACATTTTCCTCCCAGAAGTACTATATGCATCTCACCATGATACATAGGCCTAGCCTAGTCACCACAGTAGTCAGTAGCATTATATCAAGCGGTGCTGCTATTAGACAATCTGCTACCCAGAGTATATCTTGCATCTTTACTCCGCACACAGATAAATTATCATATCAGTATATCAGGTATTTATGAGAAACTTGTGTAATTAGTATCTGGCTGTGTATAGACTGTGTAATCTAAAGTTGGCATACTATATACACTACACACAGTCTGCGCCATCTGTGTAATCTAAAAAAAAAGTACTTTTTCATCTTCAGTAGGCAATAGGCACTGAGAATGCAATACTTTACAACAAACTTAATCGTCGAGAGATAATTTTCTAACTTGAAAGTGCACAGTATATAGCATATAAGCATATAATTGCACTAAATTACTAATTCTTCCAGGCAATATAGGTAGGTATCTTTTCAATCTTAGACTTACTAGGTGGGTACTTACCATCAGTTAGTTCTATAACCTCACTGATAAGTAGTTCATGGTATCCGGTATCTGGTATCTAGCATCTCGTATCCAAATCCATATCCACATCTAGTACACCGAATACAATACAACAACCAACCTACACAAAACCCCAACTTCAGACATCACATCTCAAGTTCTCAACAATACCAACCTCTCATCTCTCACCCAAAACATTCATAACTTGTTGCACAACGATCTACAGAACAAATCATGAAACCCAGACCCAAACCCAAACCCCTTCCAAGAAGAGTATATACACCTAAGGTTATCTAAAGTTCTAAATGAAATACAAGTAGCTATACAACAAACACAATGACATTCAAATCCTACTGGTTAGTATTATAAAGATGATAGATTGCTGGAGTTTTTTTTTTAAAAAAAAAGTCTTACTTTTTCGAGCCTCTCGAGAAGTTTCCAGTTTCAAAGGGTTGGAATTCAAGTGTATATACGAGTATATACTCGAGTTTGGCAAAGTTATTTATTATCTACTCCATTAGGTAACCTACCTACCTATTCACACCATCGCAAAATTCCCCAATACCAATATCAATACTAACCCCCCCCAGGCTCGCATCAAGGTCTTCCTTATTGCCTTTAGGCATTGACCACAGATATGCAACAAAACAAATTTACAAACTATAGATATCCGATCATACATGAATCTCTACTCGAGTACTAATACCCAACTAAATATAAGCAAACAGGGAATAATCATTGATTGGACCATCTCGCAAATATATACAAAGCACATAGAAACTTGACTCTCTCTTCAATCTCCGTCTCTGTCCCTTTCGTATATATCATCATATGTAAATTATTAAACAATAAAGTAAATCCCAGCACTCCAGCACACCCGATCCCGTAGCACAATGAAAATCGCAATACTTAAGAAATAACAGTAGGGCTTCTAATCTAGTCTCTAGCCACTATGAAAACACACCAGATCCGGTCTAAAACCCAATCCAGTCCAGTCCAGTCAAAAAGCACTTTTTAAGATGAGCAGTGCAGAAAAACACTTCAAGGGGTGAATATTGTCCTTTCATCATCATCATGAATAGCTTTAGCCTTCTGCCCAGTCTCTCATGATAAATAAAACCCAGTCAAGAAACAAATATCAACACCCAGCATCCTATTTTGAATCTCATCAGCACAATAGGAATATGGATTGTTTAATCAGATTTTTCGATCCTGTCCTGTCCTGTCCTGTCCTTTGCGGCAGGATCTGAGGAACTTGTTCGCTTGACCTACTAACTAGGCACGACAGGATCAAGGCAAGTGAGAACCTATTTTTCCATACTGTAATATGCAAGAGTTATTTCTCGAGAGGCTAGTTTAATATACTCACCCAGCTTCAATCTTGGATATACCCATGTGTGTTACAGTCTTATGGTCGATAAGCCCATATTCAGTGTGTATATAATATGCTTATCTCTATATCTAATTCTGCCGTGACAAGCACTTCTTCTCGATTTTGAGATTTTGAGATTTTAATTCTTTTTAGATTAAATATATAACAAAACTTTGAACTTTACACTTGTTTGGCTGAGACCAAATATCTCCTGTAAGGAGTATAGGAGGTTCATATTCAGCCAGAAGATGATAAATTCACCATGTATCCGATTCTGCAATAAAAGCAGTAGCGGCCAACATCTAGATTGGACAAAAAGTACATTCATTTCCAGTTGAATTCCTTTTTCAGACGTGTAACAAAAACTTTTGAATTCTCATTGGGACAGATTTAAAACTCGAATGTATTCTCTATGCAAGCATGTGAGCAGTTTAGATTCGAGCAGAAGTCAACTAACTACATGGTCTCCCAGATCATTCCGCGATTCTCAGATAAAAGTACCCAGCAGACAAAGTTTGGGAATGAAAATCGATATCTTGAGAAGTATTTCCTCCCAATTTCAAACACACAATGTAAGTAGTCCCTGCTGCTAAGTTATATATTATGCCCATTTGAAAATGAAAATCAAATGGCTCTTTGAGGGAAGTGTTTGGGAAGCTCATACCTAGCCAGGAAGGAAGCAGAAACCTATTTCTAGAACTGGAAATACACTCAACGCACAGCAGATTTGGGGCGAAAAGTTGAGGTCCCAAAAACTACTTTTTCTATAATTCAGACATACAATAAAGCCTCTCAACTTCTGTTGAGGGCTTCAGTTCTCTTACTTCGGTTATTTTGGGTGGGGAGTGGTGGGGGAGGAGGAGGATGATGATGATGATGAGAGAAGAAGCAAAGGAAACACAGAACTTACTTACTTGCTTGCTTGCTTGAAGTGCGGATTAGCCTATTAGTATCATTTTATTCCCTTGGTTTGGATGTTTTTGAGCGGGCGAGAGTGTATATAGTTTTTAGTTAGTATACATGATGTTATGGTCTAGGAATGAAGGATTCTATTGATGATTGATTGAAGTTTCTCGCGATATGTATTTCCTGTTTGTTGTATATTGTGATTATGGTATAATAGTTTTACCTGTATATATCGTGCTACAGCAAAACCTCGATATATCCTTATCTTAGGCGCTTAAAAAAGTACAAAAAAGAGGATACTCTATTACTTACTTGTCATAAACGGACGGTATGTGGATCTTCATTTCTCGTTTAATATTACTTCCTAAGATAATGTGTTGTATGGATTCTTGGGATAGCATCAATACCGATACAGTTATTACAGTAGTAAGTAGTAATTAGTATGAATACAAGTTTTAGGTATATATATATATATCATACTTGAGTATCATGATTGATAGTTAATTGAACTTCTGAAGGCAAGATACACCATACCGATATGCAGTTGATAGAGTGAGCCTCAGATAAATCATAGACATACCGGTACTGTACGGTAGTACTAGACAGCTGAATAGGGATTGATTGATATGTTTGTTGATATGTACCTAACCGGATAGTTTGAATGCGCAGCAACAGTAAATACGCGTACAAATAGTCAACTCGGTCTCTGATGAAGCCGATACAGCACTACCACTAGCTGTTGTCTACGGAAGTAATGGATTCCTTAATAGTATTAGCTGACTCGACTAATTCGATCTAGACCTTCTTTACCAGGCATCTTAGAAGGCATTTTGGAAGGCGAAAGAGAATTCTGATTCTTATACAGTAGTACTAGTCTTCGAATCTTCGCTTGGATACCTTTTCTTTGCTTAATACGTCTCTAGTGGAAGTCTAATGGAAGTGATATCCCAACTCCATGACCCTCCTGGATAGTCTGAACCCAGTTGCAGTAATGAAGTAATAAAGAAAAAAATTATCCAATCAATTATATTTTGGTTGGTGAATGGGATTTATTTGACTTTTGACATTTGATAGGACTAATAAGATTACTCATAAATCAATCTCATTATGAATGAGAGTACTATATATCAACTAACTCTTAATTAACCTTATTCCCTCTTTCACAAATACAATAATAACATTACGAAAGGAAAGGAAAGAAAAGAAGGTTTTTATATAAAAAATCTTTTTCTATAATTTAAGATTAATATTTGAAGAGATCAAAATAAAAGATTTATCCTAATTTCGCTTTCCCCGGCTTTTTTCATATACTAACGTCATTCGACCCCGGGTCTTTTACTACAACAACAAAGTCTAATTCCTTCTTACTTCTTCCTTCCTTCTTCCTTCTTTCCTTCTTCCGACAACGACATATTCATCTACCGAAATCCTTTTTTTATCATTTTGATCGCAAACAATTGAATGCAAAATATTGATATTTGCAACAATTGATTGAAACAATATGTCGTACACTCAACAATATCAGGGTATCGGTGGAAATCCATATCAGAATTCTGGCGCCGCTGAAGCCGGTTATGGAGGTGTAAGCAGAGTTCAATTTTAATACTCATTCTCTCTTTATTATCCAATGTATGCGCAAACCAGCTCAGAAAGACTAACATCATCCTAGAATAATTCAGCCCAACAAGGACTCTCCCACGAAATGTCAAATTACTCCAACACATCCAACTATTCCTCCGGTACACCCGGCGCCGCCATCCCACCCCCCAGCAACAATATCCTCACCCAACAAGCCTTCCTCGACCGCGTCGACTTCGCCAAATCCGAAATCCGCTCCCTCTCCTCCAACATCTCTCAAATCGCCACTCTGCATCAACGCGCCCTCTCTTCCCCCGATTCCTCTTCGACCGCTTCCCTCGAGAACCTCGTCACGCAAACCCAGCTCAAAAATACCCAAATTCGTGATCAAATCAAATATTTGGAAGCCGATGCTCTCAAGACGCAAGATGGGACTAAGAATGTCAAGGTCACGCAAGCTAAGAGACTGAAGACGGAATTTGAGAATCAGTTGCAGCAGTACAGGGAAGAGGAGTTGAATTATAGAAATGAATACAGGCGTCAAATTGGAAGACAATATCGTATTGTTAATCCTGAAGCTACGGAGGCTGAGGTTGAAGAGGCTAGTCAGATGGATTGGGGTTCGGAGGGTGTTTTTCAAACTGCTGTATGTTTTGTCCTACCTCTATTCTATTCCCCCCCTCTTTTTCCAAACTCGAATCAATATCTATATATAAGAAAACCATATTAACAAACCTCCTCAGCTCAAATCCAATCGATCCGGCCAAGCCTCCTCGGTCCTCGGAGCCGTACGCGCCCGTCACAATGAACTCCAACGCATCGAAGCTACCCTCACCGACCTCGCCGCCATGTTCGCCGACATGGCCCAAATAGTCGAAGCCCAAGATCCCGTCGTCGAACATACAGAACAAAACGCCATTAAAACCGCCGATGATGTCGATAGAGGAAACACGGAAATCGACAAGGCGAATGAGCATGCGAGACGTAGAAATAGATTAAAGTGGTGGTGTTTGTTAGTTACGATTATTATTGTCTTGGCTATTGCGCTGGGAGTCGGGCTGGGTGTCGGGTTGGCGGTCAAGGGGGCCAAGACTGCTACTAATTAAGGGATGGATGACGATGGATGTTGTGGGTGATGTCGGGGGTATGGGAAGGGATCGAATAAATTCCACGAGTGAATGCGATCACCACAGAACCAAGGAATGAAATGTCGAGGGAGAATGGGGAGGGATCTTGTATGTTGTATATTGTCTGGGATATCATTTTCTAATTTTTTTCTCTTTCTTTTTTCTTTCTTTTTTTGCGTGCGCGTTCCTTTTTCTACACTTTTTCTCTTCTTCTACAAACTCTACAAACGAGCTGGGTTTTCTAATGCACGATGAGATGGATGAATTACATGTCACGTTATGCAAAAAGCTTGGGGGTTTTTTACGTACTTTAATATTATGAAGGATGGGTTGGTAGGGAGGGGCGGGGTGGAATGGGATGAGAGAAGAGTGGATCGGAAGTTATGATGGTTGGGTTACGCGATGAGGAGAGAGGGAAGGGAAGGGAAAGGGAAAGGGTAGGAGCGAGATGAGATGAGGTCGGAGGAACTAGAGGGGCAGGTGGCTTTTTAATGAACCATAGTTGAAGTTGAAGTTGAAGTTGAAGTGGAACGAAGACTGGGAGACAAGAAATGGCTGCGAGATGAGGGCAGTGAATAATGGAATGGAATGCAATAATAAACGAAGTGTGGTTTAGAGATCATATCATGAGTAATTTGCATATGATGTTGAATGAATGAAACAAATCCCTCCTCTCCTCTCTTCGTCTTTCTTCGGTGGTAAACCTATGTATGTATGTAGTCTTGAGAAGTTGAGATTCGAGATGGATGGATGGATGGGCTGGGCTATTCCCAACTTTTTCAAAGTACTCGAGTTAGGTGAGGCAAGGTAAATGTGGTGGGTGTAGTGTTATTTCCCTCCCCTTTCCTTTCTCCATTAGTATGTCCTTCCTTGTCTGTCCTTCTTGTCTGTGATTGTAATTGTGTTTGTGTTTGTGTTTGTACTTGCATACATATATATATACCTACTTACATACATATCAAAGAATCATCTTTTTTCATCTTTTCTCTTCTCATCTCATCTCATATTTTCTCATCTTTCCTTTTCTACTCTTCTACTCTTCTCTTCTACTCGAGTATTCTATTCCTTACTCATTAAAAAAACAGTCAGTGTATTCGAACATGAAACCCGAGCTTGAACATAATAAGTATAAGTTTATGATAAGTATGGGTTGTTTACTATACCTTTATATACTCGAGTAATATAGCATAAGTATAAACATAAAGATAAATATAGAACAATTCTTGAATCCCTATTGGCATAATACACATAAACCTAAAACGTGATATGTGATATGTGATATTTACAGTCCATTTAGAGTTATAGATCCTATCTAGGTACCTTTTGCACTTGCAATTTGCCTTTCCATTTCCAGTTTCCTTGCCCAAACTCCTGGTCTGTGTTGATATAGCCAATAAAAAGAAATGTCTCCTTGCCTTGCCTTTTTTCCTGTCTTCTTGCTCTTTTCTCTTTTCGACTCTGCTCTTTTCGGTGGTAATTCCCGCTGTCAATTCCTGGCCATACTATCTCGATTCGCACGTATGTTCATCTCCTCGCCCAAGTGATCCCCTCCCCCAGCCTCTTTTAAACTAACTCCTAATCCTCGTTATACTTCCCACTATCTAACATACCCTTCCCGCCCCTACCCCCGGATCTGCGTCCCCAAACCCTCACCACCCATTCCGTAATCGTGAATCCCCAATGCCCTGCCACCAACACTCCACTCACTACATTAACCAGCTTAACCACAAATCTCAAAAACCCATCTCGGCTCTCCTCGACCGTCAATAGTAATGGTTCAATATCATATTTGAAGAATATCCCCGGCACAGAGCGCTCGCCTACAATGTGTTCTTGCGACGTGACGGCGTATTGGTTGGTGCTGAGTAGAGTGGGAGAGGAGGAGGGGGAGAATATGGAGGGGGAGAGGGAATACAGGGTGGGGACGATGGAGAGGAAGTATTGGTATTTGTGGAAGTGGTTGGGGGTGGATGAGATGGTGCGGTCGAGGGGGTTGAGTAGGGAGGGGTAGAAGGCGCCGAAGGAGAGCTCGTTGATTATGTGTGAGAAATTGAATGCTGTTCCCATTTCATTAGCCATCATTCTCAAAAAATTTGCACATTTAACAAGATTAAAGAGGGAGAGAAGGAAAACAAACCGCTATGATCCAAATGCTGCCCCATTTCTGGATATCCATGCCCTCGCGCCGTAATATGAAAGTCCCCTTGCACCTTATTAACCTCCAGACTCCCATAAACCCTACAACTATCTCCACCCCTCGGTCCCCCCTTCACCCTCGGCGTCTTTGCAAACTTCGCCCTCTTCCCCCCCAACGCCACAATATCATGAACATGTTCCTCTCCAAACCCCTCCTCATGATATTCTTCTCCCGTGACCACTCTCCCATGATCATCTTTCCCCAGTTGATGCACCCCCTTCGCATCCACCCATTGTTTCCAATTCGTCGGATCCTCTTTTAACATGCTCCCAGCCAAGATGCGATCGCCGGCTGCATCCTGCACGTTGAGATGGAGCTCGGGACATTTCATTTTGATAACCATATCCAGATTTATTTGGAGATTATGCCCGATACCTTTTTCAACCACAAAAGTGTGCGTTTCGTGGCCCATCCACCAGCGAGAGAATTCCGAGAAGAGGAGAGCGAGCGAGATGAGCATCATGGCGACGGTCCATTTGCCACCGCCAGAGGTTTGCGTTATGTATTGGGGTTTTGCCTTGGCTTTTTGAAAGGGGTTTCGTTAGTTACTCTTCAAGTTGGTTGTGCGCTTCAAAAAGAGAACGTGGATACATAGACACAATGCAGTGTGTCGAATATTCAAGGACATAAATGCATGCATGCAAGTAAAAAGATAAATGAGGAGGAAGATTGATATAAAACATACGAAAAGCATCAAAAGCCTTCACAATCCCTCCTTTCTCCCCAAATGACCCCTCATCCAATCCTCGATCTGCAAATCCATTCATCGTGTCCTAAGAGTTCCTATCTCCCTTTGCGCATACAGTCCTCTTATATCAGAGCACTTCCTTCGATCAACTAAATCCTCCTCTGCGACTTTCACATGCGCAGTAATCCTGATCCCAATCCTATCAATTCGTACAGTTTTCAAAAAGTCCAGCTAGATCAAAGAATGAGAATAGAAAAGGAATGCGGTTCACAAAGTAACAGCCATCGAAAACTCCTGCAATTGGAAAATACCGGTGGTGCTCAGGCCTAGAATCAGCAGTTGAAAGCTGTCCTTGAAGATGAACCGAGGATATACCGGGGGGGGATTGATTGGTCAATTTGATGGTGCTTCGGTACGGAGTACAAGGCTGACGAATCTTTGGCTTTGGTGCAGGGTCATTATGTGGACTTCGTGCGTGAAATGAATGCATCAATGTGTGAAGTGCATGAGCAGAGGGTCGGTGCGGTGTTGGTGCTTGTGTTTGGTTCATGTATTTTGAATAACCTTACTTACTGGTAGAGAGGGGGGTTTATCTAGGTTTAGGGTATTTATTGTTTTGATGCGTGAAATGTTGAGAGATATGGCGAACATCACTATGTGAGTCAAAAGGTATGTATGGTACTCGTTACCACCGAGCAGCTAAGGTTACTCATCACCAGTATTCATGGTCACGAAGAAAAGAAGAAAAGGTGTGCGTGACAGGTATGGGAAATGCATCTCAAATATGTTCAAGAACAGAACCAAAAGACTGAAGTCTAAAAGGAAAGACCTGATCAATAAATGCAAACTCTGTAAGTAAAAGGACTAGCTTTTCCCCTCTCTATCAACTCTGCGGAAAGAATTTGACGCATTTCCCAATAGATACTCCTTCCAGAGAAGATATCCACGAAAACAAAGCATGATTTGAAGAGTAAGTAAGCAAGTATTTACACGTGAATGAAGGTGTATGAAAACGAACACGGATTTCCTAAAGTTAAGAAAATATGTTCATATCAAAAGAAAGAAGCAGTCACGGTATTGTGTAAGCAGGAACATCCAGAGCTGATATGATAAGCAGCATTGGATGTGAAGTCGCATCCAGAGAAAAAAGTTGGTGCTGAGCTGTGCTGTGGTGGCTAACCAGCTGGAACAGAACTCTGAGGCGGTGGAATGCTTTAGGGCGCGAAGACAGTTATCTTTATTGCGAGTGTTCAAAAGGGCTAAGAGACTGTTGCGGTGACGGTTGTCAAAGTTGATGCTGTTGCTGTAACGACTGTTGTAATTTTGATACCAGAATTAGACGATGCCGAGCTTGATTTGGTGATAACTTTGGTGCCAGAATTAGAAGATGCCGAGCTCGATTGGGTGGAAACTTTGGTTCCAGAGTCAAAGGACGTCGAGCTCGACTTGGTGGTAGCAGAGGTTGCCACAGGCACCGATATGGAAACACTAGATGCCCGAGTAGAGGCTAAAGGATTGTTAGCCGTAGACGACAATGACAAACTACTTGAATTTGGCATTGCTGGCATTGACAAAGGCGACGTTGAAGACGCAGATGGATTTGCAGAAGCAGACACATACGCAGAAGTAGATGCAGAAGTAGAGGAAGCCGGGATACTGCTTGAGGAGCAAACAGACTCGCTATCGCGTTTTTGACGTCTCTCACGTTTTTCTTCCGACTTGCGCTTCTTCAGACCAGCATTGAATGGATACCTGAAGGAATCAATCAGTAAGAAGTTTCTGAGTTGGAAGTGTTCGGAAACTTACTGGATGTTGGTGCAATTCTTGGAACTTGAACACTTTTGGTACAGTGAGATTAGAGCCGCTCCTCCACAAATTTGTTGGTTATTGCCAGAGCAAGGCATGCCACATTCTCCCACAAGGCCAGGGACTGGGGATCTACCGGCAAGAATAGTATTATCGCAGAAGCATTGTGTAGAATATTCCAAGCCAGCGATACTATAGCCTTTGCTGTTGCAGAAATCAACACAGCTTTCGATTGTCATACCTGTATTGTTGGTTAAGCTAGCTCCTTGAAGTGTACGAGCCTGACCAGCTATATCGACCCCACAACCTAAATAAGCAAAGCTCTTTGATTTCGTCACGTCAGTATATGGCCACATTGGTGTACCGATGGTAGTCGTGGCACCACATCCAGTTTGCTGAACAGCGTTTGCAGGACCACTTTGAACTCCATTGCAACCGGGAAGTCTAGGAAGAACACCGGAAATTTGTTCATGGACTGATGGAGGAACTTTGCAACCATTTGCAACGGCATCGGTTTCGAATTGGAAAACAGGACAATTTTCAATAACTCCATTTGGATCGTTACATTCGTTGATAGCCTTTTGTAAAGTTGGCACATCCCAGCCATTGAAAAAGTCGCCGTGGTATCCGTAGCCAGTAGGGTCTCCCATAGACCAAACGAATGGTTGCGAATTGCCGTACCACTAGAAAGTTGTTTATTAGCATCGAATCTTGGTCTATAATAGGAAGACTTGACGTGTAGTGGAAAGTTCTATGAACTTAAGGAGAACTAGGAGGTCTAAAAGTACCAGGAGGCTTTTGATCATTCGATAGAGAGGAATAGCCAGTTGAGATTGTGCTTACCTTATCAGCAAAATCAGGAGTATTCCAGAGAATCTCGTAGAAAATAGAAACGAAGCGCTTTGGGTGACTGGCAGGGCAATGTCCACTATCTGTGCCACTAGGATAAGCCATGTGGCTTACGTAGGTAGTAGAATCCATATTGACACCATCCCAGCATGATGGAAAGAAGACTTGTGATCGAAGCCCATAGGGGCAGTTGTAATTCGGGAATGCATTGGTTTGGGGCTTGCCGGAACCTAGACAGTTATAGGTGATTGCAGCTTGTTCTAAAGAGCTCGAGTCGAAGGTTCGAAGATATGGGTTGCCAGCAATCATACGGAAGCCTTCAGGAAATGCTAAGAGACCATTTGAGTACTCGGGATCCAATGGATCAGTTCGCTGTCTAGAAATTCAAATTTAGCAATTATCTAATACAAAAGGAGGGAAGAGGGCAAACCTACATGTAGTAAACTATAACACCACCATTTTGATTGACAGAGATGAAACTACCATTTTGAGCTCTGTAATACAACGTCGGAGTCCAATAGTTGGAAAGATCCTGTTTGGATTAGCGAGAGAATATAGCTTTGCATTTTGTGGAAGTTTTACCTTTGTCACGGTGCAAGTAGAGCAAGTTGATGCTTGAGTAGAAGCGTAATTCATGGAAAATCCAAATCCATTGGCTCCCATGATAGTGTGCACATGTGCAGACACGCCACCAGGAGCGACAATTGAATCAGCTCTCTGGACCACAACTGGACTCTTGCATGGTAGACGCCAGAATGCAAAGGCGGGGTTGATGAAGAACGTGAGAAAGTACAATGCCAACTGAAGCAAGGCAGTTGTATGCATATTGAATGATTCAAATCAACAACAAGAGATGAATGTATCGTTTAAATTTAAAGAGTGTGGGGAGTCAGGGGAAGGAGGTAAAAAGGTGTTGAGTGGGGGTTTTCAAAACCAGCTGCTAAGATCGAGATGATTTTGAAATTGTAGAGATTGAATTGAAAAGAAGTGTCACAGACACGAAGTTGTTGGAAAGGTTTGAATTGATAAAGAAAGTCATGCAAGCTTGAAGGTGTGAATATTTAAGATATTGCCAATAACAAGAGAAGATAAAACAAACAAATCTCTGTGGAACTAACCGAGCCAGTGAGAGAGTGAGCCGGCCAAAGAAATATGTGAAAATACGGGCAGATATTAATCTTAAAGAGAGATATGATATCTTTGGTGAATGATGAAGGTCATTCCACCTCCTTAATATTCTTCAAAAAGTAATATAATGTACTGCGTATCACACCGATTGGTGTTCAAACGTTTGAAGATTATTAACTTCTTCAATGTGATCTTAAAAGAGGGGCCGATAAACAAATGCCGTCACTAACAAACATCATTCTCGGCGGAAGTGAAGTTGACAAGTCGGGCTAGGATGACAGCGAGTATTTTTTTTTTTTGAAAATAGCTTCCAGAAGTCTATGGTGAATGACATGTTCAGGTGGTGCAAACTAAAAAATCAAGGGGAAAAGATCAAATTCCTAAAGCTATGCATCAACCCTTCCGTTGATAGACGTGGACGTGGATATTGATGTTTTTGTTTCGAATCTTGGTGATCCCGCTGCAGGTATCCGATGTGTACTACATCAGAGCGAATGGCTAGATATCACTTGATACTTCTTGATTTTCATCAGATTTATCTCGGATGTTAGAATGGGATGGGATGGTGGAAGAATCCTTGAAGATTTGGAAGCCTATCACAATGGAGTCCACCGCCTTGAAATATCGATCTTAGAGATGATGACCAAGTAGTCGGATGTCTTCCAAGTCCGAGATTGTTTGAGTAGCACGAATGCTTGTCACTGAGAGGTAGGTTTCCCGTTTGCAGGGAGTTGAACATCTAGGTAGACCTTACCTATCATATAGACTAGACTCAATGTTCAGAAGTCTTTCGTATATTGCGGTGTACATTGAAACCTTGAGTCATCTTTCAACATCTCCCAGTCTGGATTCTGATGTATACATACTTTAAAAATTCACATTGTTATATGTAAGAACGTGAAAGTCCAAATTAATTTGTCTCAAGCATTGTGCAGGAATCTTCACTTCGGTACCCTGCTGCTGGCACATCTGATATCCATAGGGTTGGTAAAATGTTGCATATACCAAGTACCAAGATCCGGCATGAGATGTTGTACTATTCTGTGCGAGATCAAAGTGAATTTAGGCTTATGTCCAGTCAAGATGTGGAAGAGGTGTGGTGTTCCATCAAGTTGTACTCGAGTGTGTCGTATTGTATGTTACGGTGACCTTGACGGAGAATTTATGTTGTGCACGCATTTCCAGCTTGCTATACTCCTCGTAGTACAATATAATCTCGAAGCCAAAAGAGCCTTTGATGTTGAGAAAGGTTTTCATAGATTGATTGATAGATTGATTGATAGATTACACGATGGAGGCTGAGGGTGTCGTCTCAAAAGAAAGCGCCAAGTCTGGGGAAATGCCAAGTCTGAGGAAATGATCAAAGACTTTAACCGCCCGACACAACTTCAAGTCGCTCTAGTAGTAGCCCTTATTGAATCAATGATTCAACGATTTAACTAAATCTTCGGTCCGAATTATAAAGAATGAGATGCATTATAAGTTCCTCTACACCATACGGTCTATACCTTCCTTAGCAGCTGTTTCTCATAACTCTAGCATCTCGCGCAAGACCTATCAAAGGATGCAATACGGTATATGAATACGAAGACGTGGCAGATCGGCATATTACAAGATGTTTATACCCAATGCCCGGTTTAGTTTAGTTTGGCTTGTTGTTACAAGCTCTCCCTCTGTCATCTGTGTAGTCGTCGTCCCATTGTCACGGTATCTACTCGTATTTCATTTATAGCTCCATGCTGTCCAAAATACACCTCCATCTCTTTCATTCATACAATACGCTGTCCGGATGCAACTTCATATCTTTCATTTATAACTTCACGCTGTTCAAATACAGACTTATCTTATTCGGCCTCATTTACACTTGTCGGCTGACACAGCTCAGGCTGTAGCGAAAGTTTACAAACTTTTCTTGGGCATTGATGCTTGACATCACTGTTTCTGATATAAAGATCAGAAACCATGATAGGAGGATCATTTCAACCAATTGGAGACAGTAATTGAGAATTATATTTAATATTTAAGAGGATTTACTACAGTCACCAGCTCAAATGGTAACGACAATCAAAAAGCAAGATTTACTACTATCTTACTCCACAACCCGAAGATCATCTTTTTGACCAAGACGACTAAATCGATATGCCATGGGCACTCAGGGTGGATATTGTGCTTGATTGGCAGAAAACATCTCATATTTTGACCAGATTTAAAGTTATCGGTTATGAATACTGGAATCTTACAGTCGAGAGACACATCTCACACCTCAAATCTTCATGAGCATCTCACTGCGTTGCCGGGTAATCTCTACTATTCTTTATTAGCAATCGATCTTTCAAAAGGGCCGAATCTTCTCGACAACCGAAGAAACTTAAGCATCTTTTCTAGTTTCTCACTCTCATACTCCAATCATGTCTACTTTCAGTATTTCCTCTGACCCCCGATTTGGATCATACGGGGACATGTAATGGCCAGAATTTCCACGGGGACTACTAGTTGCAGCCCGAAGAGAGACCCTCCTTCTTTCTGGGAATGCATCATGATGAGTATGCATATGGCCCTCAAGTCTGGCTCACTCAACTTTGAGAAGGACATACGATAGAAGCACACTTCGAAGCAATTGGTGTTGGATTGCCTTTACGTACAACTAATTTCCGATCGAGAACTTCTAGAAACTCTTACCAAGCAAGCAGCCAAGGCTTTGATATTTGGACCATTGATGAGCTCATTCGTCATGGCCAGTGTAGTCAATAGTTCAACCAGTCCGTTTAGTTTGACTCAAATTGGCAGTTGGTTTAGTTAATTTATACTGCCAGTTTCCCAACTGGTTGAAACTACTGACTACTCGTACACTGGAAACTTATGGCTCAGAGGTGGTATTTACATTGTTCATGATAGGAATGTAGTGGACCTCAAGATTATAGATTTGATGGCAAAGAGGTTGAGAATATTGAAGTCTGGATTCACACAGACCCTCGGTGAGAAGAAATGTCACGTCACGTTCAATTTTCGGCGAGCGCTGTCAGTCGTTCTTTGGTTGGGATATGTGCTAATTCTGACTCATAGTATGTTATGGGACGAGGATATAGTCGCTCTGTATTTCTATCTTTGAATGTTTCAATGTTTAAATATTTCGATATGGTAGCATCTCAGGCACAAAGTATAAAGCCAGAAATCTGATCAACAATGTGTTATCGACAAAGAAACCGCCCATCTAAGTAGCTTGAATTGTAACACCGAGACATATCCAGATATTTGACACACAAATCCCTTGCACTAAAATGCTAACACTGGAATGCGAGTAATTCGGAGAAACAACTTCATCTTCACTACCTACTGCCTTATTCCCCCACCTCTTCTTAAACATGGCCCTCAATTCATACACTTCCTCTCCAGTAAACTTCTTAGAAACCCTCTCCTCAGAATCAAAGATATGACACATAATATCAACAGTCTTTGCACCAGCCAACTCCATTATCATTAGCCCAAAATTCAACCCAGCCCAACCCAACCCAACTATCCTCATCCCATAAAACATAAGAAGAAGAAATCCCACCAACCTCAAAATCTCCTACGTGTAACCATCACCACCTCACCTCTTTTTCTTTTCCCTTTCCCTTCTCTTTCTTCTAATCTTTCTCCATCACTACCACTCAAACTGTAGATCCCTCCTAATACCCTCAACCCTGATCCTCCACTCTTATTCCCACTTCCATTTCCACTCCCCTATCCCCCATCCTCCCAATTCTTCTCTATCCATCCTCTCTCCCTCTCCTCCCTCCCGGGAGTACTGTGGCGTGACGTCACGCATAAAATGCATAATGATAATGAAAATATCGCATCTCCATTTAGAAATATTAGTTTCTTTCTCGTATAGAGTAGTTGAGATACTATAGTGATGAGTCAATGTCCAGATTTATATGATGATATCTGTATAAATTTGTATGAGATATAGTCTATAGATTGTATGGGGATATAAATTTGTATAAGATATAATATAAATCACATAAGAATCCTCACAACTATGCACTGCAATACAGAAAAGCAAAGTTCGAGTAACATAACGGAGTAACATAACGTAGGAATCATCATATAATATAAAATCAAAGAGTGCAATCTTTCACGTGGAATTGAAAGTTTGAAACAAAGGGGTCAAATTTGTAAGAGAAATACTCACTGACTGAAGGAAAGTTCAGAGTTGGAAATAGTTCTAGACGCTTGTAAGTTATCGAATATTCAAAGATTGTTTGAAAAGTTATTTATGACTACCTATGTATGATATCGAATATTCACTCTAGAATAAGACACCGTGATTATACTTGTACAGTAATACCTGCACCAGAGGAAAACATAACAGCAATTACCAATTAATGCACATTCAGATATATTTTATACATGTCACGGAGAAAATGTTCGACAGAAAAATACTTGTAGACTGGATTGAGCTTTCTATGTAATCTATGTATAGCTGGTAACTTGTCACCATGACATGACTTCCCAATTTCTGCCGTGAGACTCTGAGGTTGAATTCCAGAAATCTTCATTGCAATATCGTTTGTCAAAAATCCATCATCCTCCAGTATCCCGTTGCCAGCTTGTAAGATTATGTATACACCATATTCATTCCTTCTTCACTTCACTCCCTGACTTATTCTCTTCATATCGAATGGTGTCGCAGTAGATGCGATCAACATACGAGTGCAATGATTGGCCTATAATAATTAGTCAAGTGAAGCTAAGCTAGGTTGAAAGATACATTTTCAGAAAATGACTCACCAGTGGCATTTATAAGCAGAGATTGGTATCAAACCCGCGATTCTGAAGTGGCGAGAACAGGCAGGCTTAGGAAGTAGCAATGTTTAAAGATGCGGCATGCATTGAAGTCGAGTGACTCGAGTCTAAGAATACCAGCATGGTTCTCGTTTAGAGGAGGAAAGTAGGTAGACAAGGGCATCCTGAAGTGTGTAGGTATGCTTCGAAGAGGAGAAAGATGCCAGAGAGGATGCTTTATGCCAATAGAAAGTGAGTTATTAGCAATTGCATATGCGGCCTTGACTTATCCGTGTATGAGTTTCTTCTCTCTTCTCTGCTTCTACATTTCGAAGATGTTGTGCAAGAGCAACTTTGTCGATTTTCGTTCGATATTTAGATCGTGTGAGGATGTTCGCTTCCTTCCCAATGCCTCATGTTGTAAAATTGTTAGAGAATTGTTGTTGGCGAGGCTCGAGAGCATCCTTTGGTGCTACCAGATCTTCAAATATAAGCAAAGAGTCTGCGGTGGCGCGATTCGAAGACAAGCAGAGAATCTGCGACCGTGGTAGATCCATTGCTTAGAGCCGATGGTCACTCTGTAGTCACCTCAAAGGTAGATGGAAGAATCGCGGGTGATAGTGATTGAAAATGGTTTCGATGGAATTCCATGGAACTTCTCGTGTAAAGTGTAAAGCATCAGTCTCCTGTCGTATTCTCTCCATGTTCCATGCTCGATCATGCTCCTCTCTGCTTGTGTACCAATTTTACTTCTCAGAAATTACAACCAGAAGCTTTCCTTGGTAAGTGACTTGCTCCTCAACACCCTTGATACCCAGCGTTCATACGCTCCGCTTTTTGCATAGTGAGATACCCAAGATTGTCCAGCGATGATATACCAGGAAGCTTGCGCCCTTCAGACTGAAAAGGTTTCGATGCAGAAGGCAGAAGGAATCAAAAGAAGAAAAAATAGAACCATCAAGCAGTAGCATAAGCGTGGATAACGAGTTCTGCGGGAATGCGAACAATCTCCGGGAGGAGTTCCCAATACAAGTAGTTTGAGTATGGTTTTATCGTGCCATTAGGTCCGACCATTTGAGATCAAGAGATAATCTCGAATTCGATGCTTCTCTCCATCACCTCTTGGATCTCAGAGTGCAAGACCTTCACCAAAGGGTGTATGCACTAATTTCAGAAGATTTTCAAAGAGTTAATCTCAGAGAAAACACGTTAGGGCAATTCACACGAGTAATTCTGCGGAATTACGAGAAATCTCGGTGAGAGTTCCTAATAAGAATGAAATTGTGGTCCTTTTTGAACCAGCGCGTGGATACAAAAGGACAAACAAAAAGGTAGTACTCACGTTATCACGATAACATGTAAGTTCAACAAGAGTGTCAAACTTTCTTGCCTCTTCCTTCTTAGGGTTTTGGAAAGGACAAATCCATCAGATGGATTCCTATTGCGAGGTTCACCAGGTCCAGAATCTCACCAATGAGGGACTCCCAAACATTTATGGACAATCCAGATGGCTGTATACAGATCAAAGAAAAGTCAAGCAATTCCGATGAACACTTCCTCAATATGATGAGATATTGCTGTAAAGTGATTGCGCCATTGTGTATCAACTGAAATTACTTACTTGCTGAAGGATTGCCAGTGAACTTTCCATTTAAAAATAAAGGTATCAACACCTTTTACTAATGCGATGAAGCCGTGAACGAGAAACTCAATGAAAAGTTCTCGAAAAAGGGTTTTGTAGTGACGATGACTTGCCCGATTTGTATCAAAAGATCCCATTCAAAAATCTCATTAGCACATAAATGCTTCAGAGGTCCTCAAAAAGAAATCACCACCCATCAGATGAGTGTATTGATGTAATGCTATATCGAATTCCAAAAGAAATTGGGCAAGAAGCTCAATAAAGAGCTCGCAGGAAAAAGTTTTTTGGTAGGACTATGTCTCTGTCAGATGGGTTGCAAGAACCAGAATGAGGCACTCAATGAAGAGATTCTCAGGGTGAAGAAGGATTTTGGTTGGTAGGACTATACGTCTCTGCCAGGTTGCACGAGAATCTCCAACAAAAGTCAGAGAAAAACGCGACTTGAGGAGTGGGGGGAGGAGTGGGGGAAAGAGTGGGGAAAGAGGAGAAATGGTTTTCGAAGATGAAGTGTGTAACATCACCTCCCAGACTCTCCCGAAAGAAAATATAGGAGGTGATATAAATGAAAGAAGTAGAGGTTGTCAATCAAGCTGGGACAAAATATACAAATAACTGCCTAGAAAGGAGGTTATGTGTAGATTTGAGGTTGTTGATTTTTGTGTTGTTGGTTGTAGGAGGAAGGAGGAAGGAAATTTTTGCGAAGATCGCGAGATGAGAGAAATTTGATGCTGGGCTTAGCGAGATGTTAATTAGGGTTTGGGTTAGCGTGGGAGTCAGGTGAGAGGAGAGGGGTTGAACTTGCTGGGACGCATTGATGTGGGAGTTCACTTGAGGTCTGTATGGGGAAAGGAGCCTTTCTTTCAGATCCGTTGGAGTGCTGTGTGTGAGAGGCTGAAAGTGATTGAAGAGAGATGATATTAAAGAGCCTGTTTCGGTGAGAGTATATCATCTTATGCGTCTTGTCAAAATATAGATTCTGCGACTGTTCAGCGAAGACTTCCAGACCATTGAAAGTTTCTTGAATGCATTAACATCTACGCAGAATATGCTCAGAAGATCCCCACCCTTATAGACATATAAACCACTGTGACGAAACATACATCCATCTAAAGACTATTTTCAACTTGTTCCAACTCCCCAATAACCCCCTTCCACTTCTCCCACTCGGCATCTCTTCCAGGAATTCCTCCAGCTAGCGGTAACCTCGTCCCATCCTTCTCTCCCATCCTCAGTATTCTAGATATACACTCTTTAATCCCCACCGTTCCATACTTCACCACAATCTCCTCTACTCCGCTCAACTTCCACTGCAGCAATCCTCGTTCCTTTCTCTCCTCTTCCGTCAAGTTTTCCTTAACACTCAATGCATAAAGTCTCACCACACTCTTTGGGAAGAAACCAGCACTACCATCAATAGTCCCCTGACACCCAATACTTATCGCCGGCAATAATTGCTGTCCCAATCCAGTAAAGGTATGGAAATGCGAATGATCGATATGAGGAGAAAGTGCTATTTGCGCATGATATGATATATCCCCATGAGAGAGCTTACAACCAACGATATTAGGGTGTGCAGCGAGAGTTGTGAAAGTTTGAGGAGTGACGTGGACGGAATTGGAGACGCCTGGGTAATGGTATACCATGATTGGGATTGGACTTTGATCTGCTACTGCTCTGAACCACTATTTTGCAAAAGCACACGTCTTAGCAATGAACCAGCATGTCACCTTAGACATTACATCCCATTATCCCCGACAACAACAAATCTCCCATAACTCTCAAACAAAAAAAGAAACTCACCTCCACAATCCCCTCCTGCGTACTAGCCCCCGCAAAATACCCGGGCACAAGCACCAGTCCCCATCCACTACCCGCCTTCTTCGCCTCTCCCAACTGCTCCACCACTTCCTCAATATTCTGACTCGCCGTCCCCGCAATAACTCTTACATTCCAAAAACCTTTTTTATCCAACGCATCTCTACACCCTCTCAAAACCGTATATCTCTCCGAATTAGAAAGATGTACCGCTTCGCCGGTACTCCCTAGCACCACCAATCCCTTGATACCTGAGCGAGCGAGATGGATTGAGTGCGCTGCTTGGATTTCTGTATCTAGAGGTGATGCGATTCGAGAGTAATAGGGTGAGGAGCGCGGGAGGAAGAAGGTGGGGACGGGGACGTAGACGCCGGGGGGTGGTGGTTGTGCCATTTTAAATTGTAGGTAAGTTTGATCAGTTTCTAGGAAATGCTTTAGAGATTAAATAGGAAACATATGCTTATGTGATTTTGTTGAGAGCGGCGGCATCTGATTACTCCAGATAAATTCGTTCGGGGCATCAAGGCACGAGGATCTTTACATCCCCACTGAAAGTTCATTGACCCGAGGCGAGGCATGGCGGGGTAAAGTTGAGGTTAGGCGTGCTTGGATTTGAATTTGAGGTTGATAAGCTGGAGTGGAATAGTGGAATTGAGATTGGAAAGAGAATGGGGTTGTTTGTTGGGAATGGAATAAAGCTATTTGAGGTTGATAATATGCACTGTGTTCTGGGGCAAGAAGGATACATTCATTGCATAATCCTCTCTTACGAACTTGTAAAGATAACTGGCCGTCAAACTATTATGTTCTTCGAATACCCAGACTCACTTGGAAGGATCAGAATACAATCATCCCAACTATTAATTGAGGATCTCCAAATATCTAGAACCAGCTCAGACATTGAAACAACGTACTAACTTCTGCTCCGTATTTCCCACCCTGCCTCCACTCCCTCCTCACAATTGTTCTCCAATCTTATACGCTTTAATCGCCGTGCCACTCCAAATCATAATCTGGTTCTCCCTACTCAAACTAGCCAAGTAGCAAAATCTCATAACCACCTCCCTCCATTTCTCCCATGCCCCCTCAACCCCAATAGTACATACCGGCCAATCAGATCCAAACATTGTTCTGAAAGAACTAAATGTAGCAAGAATCACTGCTAAATATGGTTGTAGTGCCATGACAATCTCATCTATAGGAGCTTTCTTCAAAGAATCAGGCATTTCGGAAAAACATCCGCTGAGTTTCATGTATGTGTTGCTGAATTTGCTGAGTTTGAACATGGCGGTGCGCCAGGCGATAAAAGATGGATCGGTTTGGGTATTGTAGATTGAGAAGTCGGGTTTGCAGAGGTGGTCTGTTCAAGGAATGTTGTTAGCATTGTTCAAAAACGTAGCGTGAAAATCGAATGAACCAAAATTACTAATTATGACCGTGACTTTCTCCCCTTCCTCAACTCCCTCATGGGCCTTTTTCATCATTTCCACCGCTTCCTCCAATTGCCATTTCCCCCCAGAATGTAAATCGACCCCCAAATCAAACACAAACCCCTTCCTCCCAAGCCACCTCAACCCCTCTATAAACCCATCCGAAAGCATAGTCCCCTTCTCCTTCTCCTGCACCAAATACCTAAATCCCTTCACCAATCCCCAACTTCCTTCCGCCTCCCTCTCTACCTCCTTCACATATTTCTCCAACGTCTTCTCTCCACTCGGCATCGGCGCCCATGGTATAATAGCCTTACAAAGCTTCGCATTTTCGGCAGAATGTCCTTCACCTTCGAGGGGTTGGCCTAATGCTATTCGTTTAAGCCATGATACCTCCTTAAGGGGCATTTCCCATCCCGAACCATCTGATTCCCCACGGTCCAAATCATTCTTCCGGTCTGTCTCGACGAATATAAATCCTTCGAGCGAAGGAGCAGAAGCTGTAGCAGCTGTGTATTCATCGAGAGATTGTTGTTTGTATAGAGGGTTAGAGGGAGTATTCCAGGCGAGGGTATCGATCTCGCTTTTGGGAAAGAGATGGATGTGGGAGTCGATGATGGGGTAGGAGACTGAGGGAGCAGAGGTATCGGAATCCATCGTTCTATTCGGTTTCGGTTTCGATTTGGATTTCGATATCTGAAAACGAGTGAAGAAATTGGGCTATTCGAAGGCTGACTGTAATATGACAACAGATATAGAGATCCAATGAAAGGAAAGGTTTGTGTCGTAAAATGCAAATGCCAACAATGATTGATACAATATACAGCATAAAGTAAAAGTAAAAATAAAACCCCCACATTGTTTTACAAATGTGTGTGACAACACATGGTATGAAATACATATGTACTTACTGAGTACATACAAAGGCACTTATATTAAAAGGACACTGTTTTATTTTTGCGACTCCATTTCAAGCACGACCGACAGCTCTTTCTTTTTAAGAATTCTTGACTTAAGAAATTGTTGCTGGTGATGCAGAAGTTTTAGTGGAATAATTCAGGGTTTTCATTAACCTATCAAATTCCTAAAGCTATTCATCAACCCTTCCTTTGATACTTCACATATATGACAAGAGAGCTCTTTCATATCGTCTCTAATTATATCTTCATCTTTCGTTTTGCACGTAGGTAGTTCCTCTTATATTTTGGACCCAATTCGCTCCAAGATAGGTGGCATGTCAATAATGATGGTGGCAATGGAATTTTAGTTATATTCAAAATTATATGAAATACTTTACGGTTTCCTCCTCTTCACATCAGTATTATCTACCTCTCCTCCATAATACACCCCCTGTTGTCCCCTCCTCTCTTTCCCCCCCCCAACCCCTCTCTCCATCCACATCCACATCCATATCCATTCTACCCCGTCCCACCTATCAAAAATTTTCCCAACACTGAAGACCTCTCAAACCACAACATCCTCAAATTCCGCTCCTTAATCGGCCAGTGGCTACAGCCTCGATATGAAAATAGCCTATCGATGGAACCCGTGTTTGGAGGCACAAGTCAATCTAATACCAACCGCATAAGGCAATTTCGTCAACGAATTACCAAACTATTTAGAAGATGCTCTAAAACATCATCGTGTAATTGTCGTTGGCATGTTTGGAGGGGGAGAGTGCGTGCATGAGAAAGGGGTTGTGGAGAAAGACTCGGTGGGGCTGAGAGCATTTGGCAGGGCACATGCGGGGTTATTGACTAGTCCCGAACGGTTTCGATGAGAACTATATAGGGAACTCCCGGCCTCTGGGGAAGCGGCGGTTTTGAGAGGATACTTGGATTCGCCGGAAGGACTACGACGTTTGGATGTGTTTGAAGGGGAGGCTTTTGTTGGTGGGGGAGGGGGGATTTGGCAAGCGGGGATGTGAGGAATGGGCGGTGGTGGGAATTGGAAGGCTGCTTTGAAGAGGTGGAGGCGAGGGTCCTGATTATGCCTAGTAGGACTGATCAGTATGTTTATACTTGGAACGATAGGGCGGGCATGATAGCAATTTTGACTGTGTGTACGCACTTGCGTCGGGAAGATAATGAGGAAGACATTAAGTATTCGAAGAGAGCTGAATACAAACCCATTGAAACGATCTGCGGTCACATTGTTGGGAATGTGGAAACTCTTGATACAAATCTTTCAGACAAGAGAATTGCTATATTCCTGTCTGATTAAAAACTTCCTTCCGAGCATACTGTAGTGTATCGGGATAATCTCAGACAACACTGCTTGAGACACAATTGTCAAATACCTCAAGCGTAGCAAGAAAGGGAACTCGTGATGAGCAGAGCCTTTTGATCTGTCACTGTGGACTTCACCATAGTATTACAACGTGAAGATCACTTTGATCCGTTCATCTTGGCCTGCTCATGAGTGCAATCCCATGCTTGAAAACAACTCTTGAGGAAAATGCCGGAGGAAGCACTAACCACCCTCTAAATGTTTGTCTCGACTATGAAGACGAAAATTCTACCACCCTAGCTATAAATATTGTAGCACTTAAATATACAGCTCAATTTTGAACATTGCATTATGAATATCGAAACTCTGCCCCCTAACGGTTCAGATCATCACCCCAATCATTGAGCCGAATGCCGTACATTCTTAAACAGTTCGAATCCTCCGGTCCATTTTTTAACATCAGAGCCTTACCACAGAACGCGGAGTACCCCGGATTATCTCGATCAAAGATGGGCTCCTCCATCACAGTCCTTGCAACCAAAGCAACGGTGAAGCCATCGATTGTCCATATGCCATCATATCATAGCCAATGGAGTCCCCACAGAACCCCCGTGCTTCCATCTACAACATGATGTGCAACCAACAGTCCCATTGAAGCCACTTGGCCTTACGAGAAAGATAAGAGTCCATTCATCGATACGGCACTGGTCTCTCCCATAAATTCAAAGTATGCCGTCTTTGCCAGGTCCCGAAGATCATCACGGTTTCGGTCCATAATCAGTAGAAAAAAGAAGAACACCTCTCCTCTCTTCAAAAACCATCAACCCCGCAATAGCCTGTCAAAACTTTACCGGGAGTAAAAACCGCGGGGTCTTTGAAAGCTGGGGATTATTGGCACGGTTGAAGCAAGGATGCTCCCTCCAGATGATGCTGCATTGCTTTTAATATACTGACTCGTGCATTCGTAGCTCCACATATTTCTCTGCAACTCGCCGTTTCAGGCAAACAATTGCATGGATTAAATTATTTCTAGATAATTTCTGACTGTTGGTCTTTGTAGGAGAGTCGTGGGGAAATCTGGAAAAAAATTGGAGGTGATCATAGTTATCAAAACTTTCTGTGTTAAAATTCAGGGGGACGTTTTATTTGTCATTACATGGGGCATTGGGGGCTTGCGGTAAGCCGAATGGGGGAGGACAGGGCATCTCGGTACTTTGTTTGCCGTTTCCTTAGAGAGATGGCAGTTTCGTTGCTTCGTTTGCGTTATCTTTGTTGTCCCATTGACGCGTAGTTACCTTCCCTTTTGATTGATGCATGCTACCGAACATAGGTAACACAGAGAACCTGATAACAACAACCCTTCAATATCAGCGTGTGCATGAGACTACGTACTAAAGACGCATTTATCCCTGAGCAATTATTGCGGAATGTTTTGATTGTTTGATTAATCTAATCAAAATTCATGTATGATGATGCTGCTGACATTGATGTTTTGATCAGTAGTGAAAGCTATGCATGCAATGCAGGGCCTTGATATATTGGACCCTTGTTCGTTTTCTTTCCATATGTCTCAAAGTGAGGTGAGATCACTGAGATGGTGAGCCAGAAAGCCTTCACATGTCAGAATATGGAGTAGAGTTCTCAAACACGACGGGGGGAGAGAAGGTCTATAGAGCAAGAAGGAAGTCGGGGATATCCAAGCATTCTGTGTAACTTGCGAACACACAAGCCAACATAATAAGCCACAGCAACTCAGATGCTGTATCTGAGGATAACGCCTTGGCAAGATTCAAACTAACATGAAAGATCCTCAAGGAACGGCGTTGTTTTTCGGCCAAATTGAAAGGAATAGTGTCCGAATAACTCATTCATTGATGAAGATCGGATAAAGCATGGAATTTTGATTCTTATTCTTATCAGTACATACATTGATAACACATGAAGGGGCATTTGGCTTAATTTAATTGGCCATTAGACGAGAAGATAAGTAAGCACTGACAAATGGAGGCTAGCTTGAGGCTGGTTTGTATCCTTACCTTTTTATTATCCACTCCCTTGTAAAATCTAAATAATTAAATAATTGGCAGCATTCACGGACTCACATGAACACGAGTCACGGTCATGACTTAACCAACATACCGGTAATCACATTCCTCTTTTTGGACAAAAATGTTAGATGCTCTAAGCCTCACTGCGGCAAAGTCCATTACTACCTACTCATTCTGCCCAAGCGGCAGGCGTATCGATGCTCCTTCTCTCAAGGATTCACACACCGAACGAGGATATACATAACTACCTATAGCGGTAATTGTCTGGGCTTTTGTTACTTTAGAGCTACGAAACAACTTCCAAATAACAATTCAACGTCGATGATACGGACATGTCGTTGGTCTTATGGATCAACCGCTGTGTCAGATAGGTGGCCGTGCAAATCAAACTTTCCCACTGCTGTTGCCTGGGTTGATATAATGGGTTGTCTGGTTGGAATCATTTTTCCTGCAGTCAGAAAGCGTTCATTACCTCGGTAGGTATTGACTATACGCTCTCACTCTCATCAGGATTCCGCACAATAAGTTCGTTCTTTCTTCCTTTTTATATGGTCAAGTGGATCTCTACAGCAACCAGGCAATGTATTTTCCCCGTCCCTCCATCTTCATCCCACCCATCATCCATCCCACCGATTCCCACGTTTTCCACCATCGTCCATCCCACCCATCATCCCACCAACCTATTGACCCACCGACCCACCAACCCACCAACCCAGCATCCCACCATCCCATCCCACCATCCCACGCACTAAACGAAACTGGGTATGGTGGAACTAATCATGCAAAACTGCGTCATAATTATGAGCCTGGATCTAACAGTTTCTCTTATCTGTATTCAGATTGCTCTCAACCACCGGTAATAATAAACAGCAACAAAACAACTACAGTGACATGAAAAGTTAATGCACGGTGGATTTCAGAAAACTATTCACAAGGATCTACAATTTTTAAAGGGAGAATGCAAAATGCAAATTTGTACGAGATTGTAGACCACGAATTGATTCATTTTCAAAGGTAACCGCAGTAGAGCTTCTTCTACCCAAGGCTTGGTACTTTGCTTTTCGAAACATCCTGCCGAATACATACAGGTGCAGGGTCTACGCAGTACAGTAGTGGGGGTATACGGTACCCTGACAGGTGAGGGATGTTATGAAATTTGGCCGATATCAACAAGCACGAAGACACCGACTGGCCAGGCTCGATGGAGCATGATGTAGCTCGATGTCATACTAAGTTATTCTTATTCCTATGATGAAGTTGATAGTCATCCAAGGAAAGTCCATCTGCCATCTGGTAGCTGGGGCAAGGGCCGAACACCATTTAAATACACTTAAACTCTTAGAGAGTAGTTCACCCTCTAGTAAAGAGAAGGACCGGACCTATTTTGTTCTGACGATCTAGTACCTAGTGATTCGCCTCTTTGCTTCATAAAGCTAGAAGACTTTCCCTCGAACGTGTTCGGTTAACATCATCTTAATACTTGGTGTCCTTCAAACGTTCAGCTCTCCAATCACTTACCGGTATCACATATCACATTTACACTTAAAGGTGCATCTTGATTGAATAAGACTTAAGCGCATTATACCTCCAGCAATCCTAACCTTTCCAGGTCAAACGTTTCAGGCCAGCATAGCATTAGACCCATAGATTACTTTACACCCCTTCCTCCGCAATCAGACAAGCGCGCGCAGTTAATCGCAGTGTCCCAATCCAACAATCAAAGGCGAAGCAGTTCACCATAGCCGAAAGTCAATCATTCGCTACTCTACCTTGCCATAAATCAGTATTACGCTTACATTTAAGATGGCGCCTTCCACCCTTAGACCTCCCGCAGCTGGTAGACCAGTTATTCGCAGACTTTCAAGTATGACTACCAACGCAAGAGAAGTTACTGCTGGGGGACCAGTCATTGTTGTTCCTGAAAGATCGATAAGAGAACCTTTATCTCGAGGAACTTCGTACCAAGGAGGAAACTTTGCGGCTTCATTGGAGAATGCCAGAAAGGAACTCGATTCCCTCAATCTTGAGGAGGAACAATCTTCGTCAAGTTCCCCAGATTGCCCCGCATCTCCACTCACCCCAGCCGATGTTCCTACCGCCGATTCTTTTGCATTTGCCTTCGATATCGATGGTGTCCTCATTCGTGGTGGTAGACCGATTCCAGAAGCTCTCGAGGCTATGAGAATGTTGAATGGAGAGAATGAATATGGAATGAGAGTGTATGTTAGGTTCAAAGGAATTTATAGAGCAAGCATTGCTGACGTACACCTTTAGCCCATATATCTTCTTAACAAACGGTGGTGGAAAGACTGAAGCAGAACGTTGTATAGACCTTTCAGGACAGCTTGACATTGAAGTGTCACCTTCACAATTCATTTGTGGTATGTTATCACAAATAAGAACTCTTCGTTTGACTTACAACTAATCGAAATGCTAAATTTTACAGGTCACACACCCATGAGAGAAATGGTCGAAAAATACGAAACTGTTCTCGTCATCGGAGGTGAAGGTGAAAAATGCAGACAAGTCGCTGAAATATATGGATTTGCGGACGTGATAACGCCCGGTGACATCATAAAAGACAACGAGCATACCACCCCCTTCCGCACGCTTACCAAGGAAGAAATGAAAAACTCTCGTGGTGGCCGTGATTACAGTAAGATCAAAATCGAAGCTATATTTGTCTTTGCCGACAGCCGTGATTGGGCCTCCGATGTTCAAATCATGCTCGACCTCGCCATGTCCAAGGGTGGATACATTGGTACTCTTTCTGAAACCTTTGATGAGGGTCCACCTATCTACTTCTCCCATAATGATATCGTCTGGTCTGCTGCTCACGATAATGTACGTCTCGGCATGGGTGCTTTACGAAAAATCACCGAAATGCTCTTCAAAGATCTCACCAAAGGCAAAGAACTCGAAACCATTGCTTTCGGAAAGCCCCAAATTGGAACCTTTGAATTTGCAACCAGATTATTGCAACAGTGGCGCAAAGATGAACATTGCTGCAATCGTCCCCCCGAGACTGTCTACTTCGTCGGCGATACCCCCGAGTCTGACATCAGGGGTACCAATCAATTTAACGAAAAAGCTAAGAATGAATGGTATTCGATCCTGGTACGAACTGGAGTCTACCAAGAAGGGACCGAACCGGCATACAAACCCAAGGTCACCGTGGATACCGTGTTGGATGCGGTTAAACACGGAATGAAGAGAGAATTCAGCAAGAAATTGAAGGAGAATATTCCAAAAGGGTTGGCACTCAATAGCTTGGGTGGGTTGAGTCTGAATGGGAAACCAATGATTGGAGGCAGACAGCCAAAGATTTTTGAATTGCCTAGCCAAGTTGTCAGTGAGTCAGTCACTCCTGAAGCTACCGATTGAAAGGTTCCTACTTTTGAAAAAGTTTGGGTTAAAATGAATCATGATGATTGGTTCATTGCCTCATTGCCTGCCCGGTACTTCTCCTATAGAAATTATTCATCCATTGGTTGCGATTGATCTATCATACGAAGAGGTTTGTTGGGTTTACTGGTGTTACATTGGGGGAGATACATAAGGTTGCTATGGATGGAAGGGTGGGTATTGGATGGAGTTTAGGGGCCTTCTTTGGGGGCGTTGGATTGATCCACAATATCCAGAAAGCAGCATATGAAATTTCCTTGGATAATTTGAACAGCGAAGAGGTGAGGAAAGATGGATAGATTATCGATCGATAGCGTGAGGGTGTTTAGATGGTGAATATATTTTGATTTCCAAACTATTTGTTTATTCATCAATTTGTTTATGCGTGAAATGAATAATGCATACGGAAATCTATAGACAAACCTCTTGATAGACCATAGATCTATCAAATAGATCGAATCTTCCACTGGAGTTGAATCGTCAAAAATCATTTCTTTTCATGATCGAGCTCTTACATGGACAATCAAAACAATAGTAGGCAGGCATTATCACCACACTTCAGCAAGCATAACCCTTCAATTTCATCGATTATTACAATACTACTCGAGTATAATTTATGGGTTCACATGGGTTCTGAGTTCATATTTCTATTTTGTGGCGAGGAGGAGAATTGAATTGAAATGAATTGAATTGAAATGAATTGAATTGAAATGAATTGAATTGAAATGAATTGAATTGAAATGAATTGAATTGAAATGAATTGAATTGAAATGAAGGGGGGTCTTCGCTTAAATGTGAGGGTTAATAATGTGCAGTGTGCAGTGTCCGGTACCTCCTTTGTTATGGTATGTACAGTATAGTATATACAGTAAGTCCAAGTCATTTATCCCCGAGTACAATAGTGAATAGTGAGTTGTGAGTGGGGAATTGGAGAGTTGGGGAATTGAAAAAGTGTTCTTTGGATTATTAATACGCTCTGGGCCCTGGGGGATAGATTAGGATTGCTCCTTCTATACTCGTAGAACATTTGGGTACAGTGTGTATGTAAATTATTATCGACGATCGAAAGGTGGAGGATGGGATGATTCGAGGATCGAGGGAGAAGAGAATGCGGAAAGGGAGTGAAAGGTGAGGGGCTGGGTAGGTAGTGTGGAGATACTGTGATATATATCTATAGCTATACTCGTATTGCAGTTGTATATCTGAGAATTGAGATCTTCTAGGCGATGTTGGAGAGAGTTTCTCCTTGGCGGCTATCAACAAACTACATGGTTCAAACCTTTTGAGCAGATTTTGAGAGAGAATGGGAATTTGAGGGAAATATCCTGAAATTTTCAAAGATTTCCTGATGAAATAGGTTTGAAAATCAAAATCTAGTCTTATTGCCGAGTTTTGTCTGCCGGCTTTTGGCGGTTCATGATTTTCTACCAGTTTAGATCATAGGTAGGCGAGAAATTGAGATAGGTAATGCAAAAGAGTAGCGATGATCTGCTTTGAGTCTATTTTGTTGGTCATACCACATTGGGGATTTTGATGTCTAATATGTATTGTTAGAATTTCTTGTAAACAGACTAATTACATTAGACTGTTTTAGACGATACAACGATCGCTAAATCGCGGCACACTTTTGATGGCAGATGCGTCCTTTGGTTCTCGTTATAGTTTGAGTGTTGATATTTTATAAATGTATATACTTATCTTTCGCTTCCGTTGGATTTCGCTGATCAATGGAGACGTGACTCATCAATTGGTACATATACCTATTGATGATTGATCGATCTCAAAAGTTGATATAAGTATCATCCGAAGAGCCACGTATCTAAACGTTACAAGAACAAAAAACGAACGGAATCCAAGTTCTGCCATTTTGAGCCGGGGGCTCACAGTTCTAATGGCTAGGTGATTTGTTTGTTTCTCTTTTGAGAGAGATAAAAACTCAGATTACCTAAGGAGACTCTCGGAAACATTGATCAAGAGGTAGCCGCATCCGCCCGTTTGAATGCCAGCATTACACTATGGCCAGCAGGATATCCTATGAGTCCTTCCACCAGCTCTATTCTCGTCTCTGGAACCGCCACACTTTCAAATTCTCTAAAGATTGCTGCCACAACTGCTTTCATAACTATGTCCGTGTCAATACTCAGCAAGATCTCAAGGTTCGCATTTCACTTACTGCGAATTGCAAAATGGTTTCCGATGCACATTCGTCCACCACTGCCAAATACCCAATACCATCTCATCATTTCCTTCCTAGCCTCCGCTGTCGCGTCCAACCATCGATTGGGATTCCACTCTAGAGGATTCGGGAAAATGTTCGAGTTTCGGTGCAATGCATATGCTGATGCGCTGATGGTGGTTCCGCCGGGTACCGAATAAGCTCCTATTATAGCGCCTTTCTCGGGAACTTCGCGAGTAAAGGGTCCCAAGCCGGGAGTATAGAGTCTTAATGTTTCCATGAGTAATGCATCGAGTATTGGGAGTGCATCGATTTGCTGTGAAGACATTGAGTCCAGATTCACCGAAAGTAGTTCTTTCTGTAGACGTGAAAGAATGGAGGGGTGTTGGGCGACTTCGCACATGAGATAGCTCACGCTGACAGATGCTGCTTTATGTGAAGCTTCGATATGATCTAACATTTCTGCAGCGACGACCGTGTCCAATTGCTCTGTAGGAATGGTTTTTGAAGCTTCAAGTTTCTGTCGTAGTTGTGCATATACTGTTGGATGAGATGTTGTTTTGTTGGCTTCTTCGGACTGAAGGGTATCTCTAGCTCGATTAGACATCGAGAGAATAAATTCCTCCATTGCCTGATATGCGGGAGATATCTCATCAGATATTGGACTTATCCCAAAGCGAGCCATCCACTTTGTGAGATTTGGAACATCGACTCTCCAGAAGAGCTCACTAAAGCTCAACTCAAAATTCGTTAGAATATCTCTCATATCAGGGTTTTCAGTGATGTTGGAGGAATTCTTCAGACCGAAGAGGTATGCGCTTGTTATGTCCATGAAGAGGGCCTTAGTTTCTTGGAAAATATCAACTGGCGTACCCTCTTCGGCCCAAACACGCATTCGAGGAATAGATCGGTTGTAGATGATAGTCCTTAGGATCTCGGTCAAGGCTTCGGATGACTGGATAAAAGAATTCGAATAAACTTGAGATAGCATTCGTTTGCGTTCAGTATGTATCTGTGTCCCCCTCATGGAGAACATAACCTCGTGGCTAAATAGATCAAATCAATTTGCAAAAACGTGACCAACAAATGCAAACCAATACACAAAAGCATCAAGATGCACGAATACATACCCATAATTCAAAAATACCGAATACCATTCTCCCTTTTCAAACCCACCTCCATATACCGTTTTAACACCATCTTCAAGACAATTGACACTCAATTCCCTCGGCGCAATGCGAATAACAGGACCGTATTTCTCATGTGCAGCATCTCGTGCTTTATGTTCGGTTTTTTGTTCTCGGTGCCAAAATAGCCAAACTCTCGAATACGGTGCCGTGAAGTGTGCATTGGGAATTTGGGATAAAGGTGATAGGAGAGCAATTTGAAAAAGTTTCATGAACCATAGAGATGATGCTACAGCTACAACGGCACAAGCTATGAGGGATAACATGTTGATTGCAAAAACTTTAATCGTGCAATATAATGATGAATCACTTGACTGAGAATTCGGATAGAAACACAAATTTAGTCAAGTTGAGAAGTGAGGGGTTGAATGAACTATATGCTTCATAACTTACATCTTGCATCTGATGGTAGCCGTTTTGGTAAATCGCTACAGAGGTTTTTATCAATGGGCAAATCAAGGTTCTGACGATCGATCATCCTGTTGTAACACAGCAGTAAAAACGTCGGTGATGGTTCCCGTTGTTGATAATTGATGCATAGTTGTGAGCCAATAGAAGCAAGTTTGCCGCGGGAAAATACCGGTAGGCTGGATGAATGTGTAGACCACCGAACACCACATTATTTGTGGCAGCTAATCAATAGTTAGTTGAGAATTTCACACCCTCATTCTCTTTGAGTTTCCCGAGTGACTTCGATATTATAAATGAGTTGATAATACAAGAAGGTTCGGTTCAAACATGAAATCAATTCGGAGAATTAAGGGCTCTCATAAGTTGTCAGACTGCAGTTCGGAATATTCGTCAATGGTGACATTTGCTTGAAAATATTCTATACGTAAATAAATCTTATACATTAATAGTCAACTTTTAGCTATTCTACTTTTCGCCAATTCCAATCACCGGAATTTAAGGCGGCTCTTAAACTTTGTTGATTTGGCTTCTAGTCCTCTCAGATGTGGCTAGACTGTGATGATAGTCGTTCTTCTCGTTAAAGTTTTCATACAATCTTGGCTTCTCAATATCCATTCTGAAGACATATCGCCTGACGGGGTAAGTGAATTGACTCCATCCATATGCGGCATGTTTTCTCGTAGGAACGCTGAAGACTTGATCCAATTCTTCCAGTGTTTTGTTTTTTGTTTCCGGGACAAAAAAGAGGGTGAGAAAGAAGCCAACTATTTTGAACCCAGCGTAAAAAGAGAAGGCGCCTTGAGCTTTGAACGATCTTAGCATTGACGGCCATGTGATTGCGAGGACAAAGTTGAAAAATCAAGTGGTGGCAGTTGCTAAGGACATTCCTAGTGAACGGATGTGGAGAGGATAAGCCTAAGAAGTTATTAGAATCATGCTACAAGATAAGACAGATATAACGAAGGGAACAGGGCATCCAATAGCTCGGACTAGCAGACCAGATACAAACTTTCAATGTTCGAAAAGCTGTAAATCTCTTGATTTAATCATTTGAACGGATTCATTGTTTCAATTAGATTCAAAGTTCCAGATGAGTTCAACTATTCAGATGATTTCAATCATTCAAACTAATTCAAGAATTAAAAGCTCTCATTGTGAGACTGCAGTTCGGATTCTTGGACACCCTGAAAGGAACTCTCTTACCTCTGCCGAATAAGTGAAGGGGACAGGGCCTGCTCCGGGACTACACAGGTGATTAGCGATTGGATCAAAAAAAAAGAAGTGATACTCTGGACGAAATGTGCCAAGAATCGTCGGAGGTGTGAGGATGAAATAACATAGCGGGTTCGCTTACTAAACAAAAGAGATAAATACCTGCAGCTACGACGCCAATACGTACACCCTTCTCCTCTGGAATTGAGAAACTCCAGCCAGTGAGGAATAGAAAGGCGGACATCAATGGAAAGGTAAAAAGTAGAAGCCATCTTCGACCAAACCTGTCAATTGTAAACATGGCAGGAATCGCACCGACGAAGTTGAGCACCCCAAAAACCAAAGACATAACGAGAGCCATGATTTCCGAAAATCCAGCGTCAACGAAGATGACCGACGAATAGTATGCTATAACATTGATACCGCAGAACTAATACACATATTGGTTAGCTAGCGCATTCCATGTTTTATTGAGATTAGAAATAAGAAACAAGAAACGAATGAGAATAAGTAAATAAGCAAAGAAACACCGGGTAACCTCACCTGCTGCATAAACATAGTTATTTGGCTCGCGACCATTCCCCTTCTAATGCGGGATGCGGGGTACTGTGAACAATCGCATAATTTTGCCCGATCCATTGCCCATATTCTTCTCGGCTTCGAGAAGCATATGCATTTGAAAGATATCACGTGCTGCCTGAACCTTGATGTTCCTTAATCTGCACATTGCTTGATATGCTTCTCGGTGTCTCTCTTTGCTCATTAATCAGCGGGGAGATTCGGGACAAAAAGGAACCAAGGCCAAAACGAAGAGAGCAGGAACTCCGGCAGATCCCATCATTAATCTCCAATTAAGTCCATGAATATCGGATGTATCAGGAACAGAGTAAAAGATCAAATCAAATGCAAACCCTAACATGATACCAAAAGCCGTAAATACTTGCCATTGCATGGCCATCGTACCGCGTATTGAGGCGGGAGAAGTCTCACAAGCATATACTGGCACAGTAGCCGACCTATAAGAGCGTCAGTATTGATGATTTGTTAGACCTCAACTAAGGAGAAAGGCCGATGGATAGGATATACTTTGCACCAAGACCTATCCCGAGCATAAACCTAGCAATAAACATATGCCACCAGGTATTTGTAAATGCCTGCCAAAAGCAGGTTAAGGCCGAAATTAAACAAGTGACAAAAATAGTGCCACGACGTCCCCACCGTTTGTTGAATGGAACTGTCAGCCAACAACCAGCAATGGCGCAACCAATATATCTATGAGAGTTTGTGATTAGTGATGGCTTTAGCGGCTACAACAAGTGCTACTCCAACGAAGGAAAGCTGACGGAATTCAAAGAACACTTACGGGGCACCATTGGTGATACCCAAGAGCCATGGGTCCAAAGAACTGTCTGCATTATCGATTCCAAACAATTTTGAATAGAAAATTTGCGCTCCATTGACAACACTTTCATCTACTCCTTGAACGGCTGCGCAAACTGAGCAAAGAATAATTGCCCTCAAGAAGACCCACGTCTGAGACCAAACACATCTCCAGGTCGAAGACTCATCCATTTTTTCCTGGCTAAGGATATTTATATCGGTCATGGATAGTTCCACTAAAGCCCGTCTACTGTCGGGATCTTTTGCGAGTAGTGCGCCAGCTTTAAATGCGCATACATCAACAGAATCGTTGAGCCCATGAATTCGAGCGTAATCTTCAGCAATCTGCTCCAGATCATCCTCATCATATGAGGCTAAAGGGTCATTCAAGGCTCTATTTGTGGCCGCATGACCCTCGGCGTCAGTCATTTGCTCAGCATGTCGAGCAGAATGGGGAGAGGCCTTTCCGGACTGCTCTTGTCGAACAGAGCTCATAGTAGTTGCCATGATGAAAGTGGGAGAATACCTCGGTGTATGAGAATGTGAAAAGATTGAGAAGGACAATTGAGACAGTAGTTTTACCTGTAGGAAACAACAAGCTATAAAGTTACGGAGGTAGCTATGACGATGCGATAGATCCTTGAAGTCGAATGTTGTTGAGTTTATAGTGATGTGTTTACATGACTAGTGACTTTTCTATAGGCAATGCTCGAAGAAATAGGTACTGTATCTATGGGCCGCAAGTCCGGTAGGGCGTTGGAAAGGTTAGTTCCTTGCCTACATTATTTGAACGGCTAGTGACATTTTAGAAGCAGTTTCACTTGGAAATTAGCTTGTGAGCCATATAGAAAAACTCTAAGATAAAGATCGCAACCTGTTATTGGCCAGCGTAGTGAGTAGGTCGACGATGAAAAGTCGATCCTTGAAGTGATGCTCCGTAACCGTAGCTTTTGCCAATAAACCCTCCATAATGACCCCCGCCATCGACCCAGACCTACCTGATCAACCCCCTCAAGCCAACTTACTCTTTTTAGGCGGGCTGGGTGGTGATTCTGGGGAACGAAATTACCTGATGCGCATGGAATTATGCACATGTTGATTCTTTGTATGCGTGTTGCATCTCGCCCCAATTGATATCATCAACACTTCAGATTTCTATTGAGGAACTGAGTCTGAAGAAGTCTCTTTTGAAATTGTGAAATTTTTGTATGTCGTTCCGTACCGAAGCCGGCAAGATTGTGTAAGCCGCCAAGCTGTTCCTAACCCACCTAGTCCAAAACCTTCCCGACTTGACTCCGTAGGTTCGCTACCCAGTACAACCAAGGCTGTTACCAAGCAACTCGAGACCCGTTCAACAATGTTTGAACTTTCAATGCGTAGTAAGCAATGACGTTCACACGACTATTTCATCCAAGTCCTAATCTACGGTACTCAAGATGTTGACACTTTGTTGCTAATTCTCTGTAGCTGTCTCGACTTCTCGAGCTACAATCTATACAGGCAAGGGCCGGGGAAGGTAGATCTCATAGCTAACAACTACCGTCATCTCGGTATGCCCCTTGCCGTGCCGACAGTGCAACATTTTAGTATTGAACTTTGTTGATGTGATGGCTGCGATGAGGACTATGGGGTTAAAGCAGATAAACACGATATCACGAGTATCTTCTAACGGTCTTTTGAGGATGCCCGGGCATAACCTGGCACACAATTGAGAACGATAAGACATGGTAAATCTGGAACACTAAAAAACGATTAAAGCATTGAAGTCAATTGAGATATTGAATTTATTTGGAACATTGAAACCAATTGGAACATAAGCTCATACATATCCAATGTTTCCAACACAATACCCAGGTAGCTACATAACATGTCGGAAGAATTCCCCCAAACATCTCTCCATCAGCATCAACTGCTAATACTCTTGACTACGGCTGGATACTTTTCATCGACGATTTTCAGCACCTCTTTCCAAACCTGCTCTTGCATGTTTTGGCCCTCTTCTCCCAGGATGTTATGCTTCCCAAAACTCGGTATTTTCTTAGCACGTGTAATGTGTGCCATGCTCCAATGGAGAAGTCAGAGCCGCAAGCACATACGTTCGAGCACCCCCTTCAGTAGTTTTGCAAGCAAGACCCATCCACAAATTTATGATGATGCTCATCGCCACGCCAGTATTGTACTCTCGTCCAAGGTCTGATTTGACCATTCCTACAAACCATTAGGATTAGGATCGGATTAGGATCAACGAATTCTCTATTTTGGTTGGGGTGCAATTAGTGGGACACTAACCTGGGCAAATTGAGTTGACGACGACACTAGGACTATATTCGTGTTAGTTCATATCAAGTGATTACCGTTACTGGTGAGGGGTACAAGGGAAGATCATTTCATACCTTCCATTAATCCCCAATGCCAACTTGGCGATTTCATTGACCGCATACTGTTGAAGCAGTTTGCTCAGGGCATAACCACCTTGCCCACCTTTCCAATTCTCTTTCATGCTCCAGTATGCAAGCACATTTTTCTTTAGCCAGTTGGAGATGTCAATGCCTCTGAAGACCACCTGAAGGCTCGATGTTAGTCAAACTTGTTCGAGAATCCGAGTGGGTTCTCCCAAGTAGTGGTTTGCTCTCATCAATCTGCCCAAGTCAAATGTTTACTTACTTGTCACGATGCCCAAATGGGAATTTCCTCTTCCAACTTCTCTCATCCAAGGCAAGAATAGCAGTGCCAAGAAAGAAGTGGCGAGAACACCGATCTCGATCATCGTTTCGTATCCTTCCTTGCCAACTTTGTGTTCAGTGGAAATAGTTCCAGCATTCAAGCAAACAAAGTCAATCTCCTTCAAATCCTTCGTTACTTTGTCTGCGATTACTTTTACGCTTTCAAAAGTGCTCATGTCCAACCTGAAATCACGAGTTAGCGGGATAAAAGGATGGACTTTCCTCGTACAGTAATAGATACATATACTGCTGTATCTAACTGTGTGTTTTAAAGTATGTATGAAAGGGGTAATACTTACTCCATGACTTTTACAATACATTTTCCTATTGTACCCGTTTCTGCTTCTATACTAGCCCTCGCTTGTCCCCCTTTCGCAAAAGATCTCCCAGTGATAATCACAGATTTTGCACCCAGATTGACGAAATGTACTGCCGTTGCAGAACCCAATCCAGATGTTGCGCCAGTAATAAGAAAAGGATTTCCTAAAAAGGCATTGGGTGGTGGGAGGCGAAGGGAGGTTGAACCCATTGTTCCAAATGATTGATAGAATGGATGGCATCTTGACGAAAGACGATTGGACAATGTAGGACTTGGATGACTAAGAGAGACTGCTGCTGTTCAAAAATCTACATCAAATTCGGGCATATAAGATGCTCTCGGAGACTTTGTGTTCAGAGCATGGGTAATGGAGGAATGTCACGCCGACTATCTTTATAATACTCACAAAGAGCCATCTTTGACCTAAACTTAAGTTGGAATATAAGGAATCGTTTCCTGAATCTAAGACTGACCAAACGATGAATTATTGCATGAAAAACTCATGCAATATGCAAAAAGTAACATACTCCCACCACAGGCAGTAGCCTCGTCATCAGCCTCGTCCGCCTCGCCTAAAGAATTTCCACTAGGCTGGCTATCGCAAAGAAATATTGCACCACACCTCCAACACCCCAATCACCTCACAACTTCTCCCCCAATTCCCAAATTTATTGCTCTGACAGGGCCCCTTCTCCCACAATGCCACCATCTTCCACGCAACCACTCCTCCTTTCGCCCGCCGAACTCTCTTATCTTCACACCTCCCTCTCCCTTGACCCCCCAATTCGCCCCGACGCCCGCACAGCTACTCAATTCCGTCCTCTCATCGCCGAATGCGATGTCCTGCCTGGCACAAATGGAAGCGCGCGCATTTGTTTCGCGGATGGTACTGAAGCGATCGTGGGCGTGAAGTGTGAAGTTGAGAAATCGCGTCCGACTTATAAAGCTGCCGAATTTGGTACTTCAGAAAATGATGAAGAGGATGAAGATATGAAAGAGGCGATTGAGAAGGAGAAGATTGAGACTGAGCAAAAGGGTGAACGAGATTGGTTGGAGTTGAGTGTGGAGATTCCGGGTTTTAGGGATGATGATAGTATGCCTGTTTTCATGGCGGCCATGTTGAGTGAAGCGCTGTTGGCAGATGCGGAGTTTGTGGGGAGATTGTGGATTAATAGCAGGTTTCACTGGAAGATATATGTTGATGTGAGTTTTCATTTATATCTAAATGTCTTTATTCATGGCTTGTTTTCGCAAATATTGATAATAATCCAGATTTTACTACTTTCACAACCACTATCCTACCCATTACCCCTCCTCTCCCTAACAGCCCATCTCGCCCTTCTATCTACTCGTCTGCCCCGTCTCAAATCTGAAGGCGATGAAGATCCTCTCTTCGATGACGACTGGGAAGCTTCCGTCTACTTGTACCCCCGAACACCACAATCCACCAATTCCCGACCCCCAATTACCCTCCTCGTCATATCCGTAGGCGACAATATAATTTTTGACCCGAGCAAAGAGGAAGTTACGGTTGCTGAAACCGTATTGGCTATCACCATTGGAGAAAGAAGACGGAAGGATGGAGACGTGGATATGGATTCTTGTGCTGGAAGAGATTTGAGGTTATTGGCTGTGAGGACTGTGGATTTACCGGCTAGATTAACGGCGCCTGGCGTACCGAATACGATGAATACTGCTACTGGAGGTGCGGCGGCTGAGACGACGGATTTAGCTTCTACTCAAAGGGAGACAATGAATGAAGGAGGCGTTTGGCAACCACCGAGAGGGGGGATTAAGAGGAAATTGGTCGCAACGATGATTGCAAAGGTTATGGAGCGCGGAGGGGTTGCAGAAGAGGTATTGGATGGTTTGGAGACTGTGGAGTTGGCCTAGTTTCGTGATTCTACAAGGAAATTTTCACAATGATACCCTTCTTCCTCCACGCATGTACTTACTATGTCTCGTCCCATATCGGCTTCATCCTAAAACAGAATTATCATCTGATTTCAAAAAGAATAGGTATAAAAATGTCCCTCTACTCCTCACCAAATTCCAAGCCATTTCTTCCCCGAAAATTGTTTTTCATAAACAACTTTCTTTTCTCCTTCCCGTCCTTGCCCCTCCACGCCCAACTCAGCCGACTCGGCAATTTCAGCAATCTCAGCCTCCTTCTCACCTCCCAACTTAATTCCCGGCCCCATGATCTCTTCATCAGTCTTAGCAGTCCAGCCGCCAAACCCTTGATCTTTATCCAATCCATGAGCTTTTCTGTACGCAGCCCTCTTCGCAACATCTTCCACCTTATGTTTCCTTCTCTCCGTTGTTTCCGCCGTCACATGCGCAGTATGCAAATGTAACACTTCAAAACATGTTCTCGTAAATGCTATTGGGTGTAAGAATAGTTGTGGCCACTGGGGCAACATGTCTCCGAATGGGGAATCGCGTTTAAAGTTTGTTATCCAGACGCTTCCTGCGAGGGTGGATAGTGTGCCCTAGGATTAAGGATTAGATATATGTTTCGAAGAGGAGGGATAGGGAAAGGAAGGGAAAGTACCAATGTAATCCATATGTGAATAGATTTGTTGGTGATAAACCAATGCATAAAAGTTCCTTCTGCTGGCATCATATTTGGATATTTCTTAACGCTTTGTCTGGCTATTTCCTCGGCGTTTAATTGGGGACCTGGGTATCTGGGAGCCTCTTTGCGAAGACGAGCAGGATGTGAGGGGGGGTTGAATTTAGAGGGCTTCTCGAGGACGAGGGGTTTGGGGGATTTTTTGGATGCATTTTTCTTGGGTGGTTTGGAGGAGACATTGCGAATCGTGGTTTTAGGGGACAATGACCAGATGGGAGATCGCAATGGTAGGAGAAACCTGGGTATGGAGATTGTGGGCGGCATTGTGAATGGTGGGATGCAATATAACCTCTTAATTTGTCCTTGATTGAGTAAGGAAATGAGAAACAGACACACTGGTAATCCAAGTAACGAAAGCTTCCAAAGTATCGGTACGTTCACCTACAAGTCTTTCCACGCAAATAAAATTTCCATAAAATTCTTCCGTAAGAACCCGAGCTGCGCCACATCTACTGACCATTTACCTTCTTGCTATTGGCTGAAAACGTTTCGGAAAGTGTGGCTTGAATTTACCTCGTCAATTTCGGAATTATTTTAGCTACGTATAATGGTACATATTCAAGATTATTTTTCCTTTTCTTTTTGTCTTCATACCATTTTAAAAAAATTCTTACCACTTCTTCACGACCTTACGTTCACGAATTACCTTACAGTCAACTCATAATTAATAACCCTTCGATCCTTTCAAATACATCCACTTAATTAGACATAATGGGTTTCAAAGCAGGTATGTAGATTTTCCGTTTCCAAACGGCTGCCCATCTTCGAGAGATTCGCGATACCTCATGTCGGAATGGAAATTTGCCATTGGGAGTTGGGGGATGCGAATTTCGTATTTGACTCTTGCAACGACGATGGTAGTGCAGTGGAGGTGCTCCGGGTGTTTTTGGTCGAGGGCATACTTGGGTTGCCGATATGGGGAGAGACTTTGATTCTACATGTCGCCACAAGACAAATCAACACCCTCTCGCCACTTTGCCAGACCCCGACGAGCTTCTCCTAAGCCTTCTTCAAACATGCTTGAAGGCTGCAGCATCTATCTATCTCTGACATGGGCGTCAAACTTCTCTCAACTTCGCTCGCCACTTGGGTCGACGGGCACCTCCAAATTCGCAACATGCATGACGAGCAAATGCTTACAAGTTTCTTCTACAGGTGACTCAAAGAAGGGTGCCAACCTCTTCAAGACCAGATGTGCTCAATGCCACACTCTCGCTGAGGGCGAGCCAAACAAGATCGGACCTAACCTTCACGCTCTTTTCGGACGTCAAACTGGTTCCGTTGAAGGCTACTCATATACCGATGCCAACAAGCAAAAGGCTATTACCTGGGGCGAGGACACACTTGTATGTTTTTTCTCTACACCACCAGGAATATCACAGCAGGAGAAGCAATTTCTGACATATACAACAGGTTGAATATCTTGAGAACCCAAAGAAATATATTCCAGGAACCAAGATGGCTTTCGGTGGATTAAAGAAGGAAAAGGACAGGAATGATTTAGTCCAGTACGTTATATCCCCCTCTATACTCAGACTTCCCACACGTCTACACCTACCTACTACCATGATGATTTTCTTAATCGTTAAACTTCTTATGTCTACCATGACTATGAGGATGAAACATTATATTCCAATTGTTCCTTCTGATACTTCAACTTCAATCTTTCACATGACATCTTGAGTTATTTCTTCCAACAGAAGCTAACGCTCGTCATAGGTACTTGAAGGAGGCTACCGCATAGAGGATTCCACGGCATTGTTACATTGTATTATTAAATTTAGACGGAGCGGCTTGTACTTTAGTTTAGACAGATGTTCCCTGGGTAGAACGACTTTGCGTTGAGCTTTTTTCGACCAAACACTACATAAATGAAAAAACTCCTCTTCATATCTTTTCCCTCTTGAATTATCTTTGCTTTGATCTCATGCTCGACATCATAACTGCCGCTACAAATTACCCACATATATTGTTTCATCTGAACTTTTCAAATGTCAAGCCCTAGCCCTGTGGGTCTAACTGACCTTCATGACATTCATAACATGCATCTGATATTTGATGGCCCGTCAACGATTGATGTCCTATCCACCAACGAAAAAATATGCTCAGAGAGACAGGGTGACATTTCAATGTACTTATTTGATTAAGAAAACCGGAGATTTGAAGTGACAAAAATACATCTTTCAAACAAATAGTATCCTGTAAACATATAATGAAGCTTGAAAATGGTTTGAATGATCAATTTTCTCCAAAATAATGAAATAATAGTAGCGGCATCAGCTCGGGATCGACCGCCTTTTTCACTGGCGCAGAGTCCTCCTCGTCCAACGATCCAACCGCATAGTATAGTACAGACGAGACAAAAACTTGGCATAGCATTGAACTCGGGTCTTAGATTTCTACTTCTACCAGTATACCACATTGCCTCACTTTCCCATACCAGCTCATTTTCCCACACTCCATCGTCCATCCTACCCTATCAAGCAGCAAAATCAATATGAGCCTTCTCTCCAGGTCTCGCTGTTGATGGTTCTTCCCCTAGTATAGGTTTAGGTGTACTTTCACCGGATTTAGATTGGATACCCGAGTACAGTTTCTCGGCGCCCGTTATACATTGCATGTTGGCGCCGAGCTTGTTCATGGTTTCCACCCATTCATCGTAGGGGTCTGAGTCGAAGACTATGCCGCCGCCTGTGGGGTTGTGTTAGTTGTAGTTATAATTGTGAATGAAGAAGCTAATTTGTCGAGTAGGGTTATTTGGAGTGGAAAACTGGGCGCAAGAAAAGAAAAATAAACGTACCAGCTTGTAGATAAGCAACTCCATCTTTGACCACCATGGTTCTCAGCGCAATGCACGTATCCATCTCTCCTTCAAACTCATTCCCATCAGCGTCCACACTTCCGTAACCGAAATATCCGACTGCGCCAGCATATACACCTCTCTTCTCCCTTTCCAGTTCCGCAATCAACTCCATTGCCTTAACTTTTGGTGCACCGGATACGGTACCGGCGGGGAAAATAGATCGGAATGCGTCAAAACGGGTCTTGTCTTTCCTTAACACTCCCGAGACTTGTGAAACTAAATGTTGCACGTGACTGAACTTCTCAACGACCATTAATCGATCTACGCGAGTGGTAATGGGATCGCATACACGGTTGATATCGTTACGTGCGAGATCAACAAGCATGACGTGTTCTGCACGGTCTTTGAGAGAACTGCGTAGTTCTTCGGCAAGGGCTTCGTCAATTTGAGGATCCGGATTGCGTTTGACAGTACCAGCAATGGGATGGGTTATCACGCGGCCGTCTTCGGCTTTGACAAGAAGTTCGGGGGAAGCTCCTACAATTTGGAAATCGCCGCAGTTGACGTAGAAGAGGTAGGGTGAGGGGTTGACGGTTCGGAGGTGACGGTATATATTGAAGGGGTGGAGAGAGGTTGGTCTTGCAAAGCGTTGTGAAGGTACTGCTTGGATAATATCGCCGGATGTGATATGAGTCTTGAGTCTTTTGACGTGCGTCTCATAACCTTCTTGGCCGACGTTTGAAGTGTATTGGTTGTCCAGCTTTATTGGTTGTTGGACGGGTAATGGTGTATCTTGCGATTCAAGAACGGTTATAACTTCGTCAATAATTTCTTGTGCTTTCTCATACTCTGCTGGAATTTGAGAGAAATCCTCCGGGACGTGAAGGTATGTGATAACTTTTATTACACCAAAAAATCGATCGAATGCGACGATTGTATCAAATAGCATAAAGAGTGACTCGGGAACTTCGAGAACATCTTCCATAGGTCGTGCCGTTTTGGGCTCGAAATACCGCACGCAATCATATCCCACATATCCAATTGCTCCTCCTGTCAGAGGTGGTAGCTTTTGTCCAGGAATATGTGCTACCCTACACTTAGACAACTCTGCCTCGAGAGCTGGCAATGGATCTACTTGTTCGCCATGCCCTTCACCCGTTTTTAATATCTTTCGAGGTCCAGCTCCTATAAAACTATATCTGCCAACCTTTTCCGTGGCAGCACTCTCGAATAAGAAGGAATGGTCGGACTTTGAATGCGCGGAGATTTTGAGGTATGCGGCGGAGGGGGTAATGAGGTCGGAGGAGATCTCTTTATAGATAGGAACCAAATTGGGAGCATATGCCTTTCCTTTAGACTTGGAAAGCACCTTCGATATTTCCGCCAGAGACGGTGAAATGTCCTAATTTTTTGTGAGCTCGCTTTGTCAATCTGAAAGGAGTCATAATTCTAACATACCCCCACCACCATTTTGTATGAGACGAGTAAATTGGAAAAGGGAAAGGGGAAATAGAAATAAGTTGTCTAAAGACTGATATTATCAATTGTATGAAAGAGTGTAAAAGAATCAAATAAACGTCAAATAAGTAGTTAATCACTAAACAATCCTTTGTGAGTTATACGAGTAGTAAGTAGAAGTAGTATGTCCAAAGGAATATGATATAAGGTACTTTTTTTGGCAGTGAATAAAGGCGGTGATGCATGGCAAAACTTTCTTTCCCACCAAAAATGGTTTCCAACTTCAACCTCAGAAGCCAGGACTTTTCCACCCCCACTACGACGTGCAATATAACGCTACTTACCGCTACTTGGTTGAGAGAGATCTACCATTGGTTTGTATGAGAATTTGTGCATTTTGAGCTGCATTTGCATTTTCACAATGCATATGTACACGTGAAACCAAACCTATACAACAAAATGAATTTCTTGGTTGCTTGTTGGGTCATAGCGCCTATGTGACTTCCTGCATGTAATACCCCAAACATGAATATCCTGGGTCTTCGTCGCCATTTCACTTCCCCTCTGTCATTTGCAAACGCCAATCCATTGGTAACTGTGCCGTCAAATCCTTCGAATCAAGACTCTCAGGACAATAAGGATGTGCTACTGCAACGACTCAATGACCTCGTAGTCAGGTTGTCACATGATGATGCGGAAGATGATGCTATCACTGCATTGCATAAGAAGACGGATGAGATGGAGACGCTGTTGAGAGTGGAATATTCTATGGATCTGGATCGGAAAGTATCTCACGATATAGTCAAACCACCGCCGCGAAGAGACTCCGATGATGTGTTCTGGGCTCGACCACTCGCTACCAGAAGGGAGAGCTTCCTACTACGACGGCCCAGTTCTCCACCACCAATATCTCACAGCGCTTCATATTCATTGCTTGAGTCCGGAACCAGACAATCGACTGCAGCAGCAGTTTTGAAAACTGCTGAGATAGCAACATCAGCTGAAGAGCTGAACGTACGACTTGCCAAAGCAGTCGGTGAACTTCAAGCTTCTAGAATAGAAGGCGATGTAAGTTTACATGCAATAATGAACTCTAAATCGCAAGATAAGATTACTCATGTATTCCATGTAGAAGATTCTCGCCTGGCACGTCTCCAAGCTGGACGCATACACGCAAAAAATCACTTCTCTGGAGGAACACATTTCAAATCTGTAGGTGTTGATTCTAGATACGTCTTATCCCATTTTTCCTTGCACTTTTGACCTTCGATTTCCTTGAAACTAAGCAATCTTCCCATCGGAACAGCCAGGAAGAGCTGGAAAACAGCCAATCACTACTCAGCCGTACCCATGTCGAAATGCAAACTATGGCAGCAAAACACGCAAAGGCTCTGGAGGATATTAGTTGGAGGGAGGACTGGGATGAACTCAATCAGGATATGGATATGAGAGGTAATAGTAGTATAGGAGTGTGGGACGATGCTTCCGAGTACCCTGGCGAATAAAATGTTAACAGCATGAATGTTTTTATATCCGATGATTATTGAAGATGGGTGGCAGCTTTGGCGCTAGGTCTGTACAGAAATGTGTAAATGGTTCCGGAGTTGGGGAAATGCGTAATTGCATGGAAATTTCTCATATCAGGAGGATACAACGAATGTTGCAACATCTTTTGCTTGACTGTTCGGATTGAAGCCTTTCATATCAACGCTAATAAGGTCATACGCATACTAAGACAACACGAACCCAAGGTGTTTATCATACAGGTATGTCAATTTAGATTGATCGACTCCCATCCCACCACACCAAAAACGCAGCATCAGCTTCACCTCAACCCTCACCACTTGCAGTTCCCATACCAACTCACCATATTCTACTTCTCTGGCACCACCTCACTATTCTCATACAGTAGTCATATTTAGCCAATCAGAAATTCATAAGCTTTCACCTATACCATAACACCATAGTAATATGGCAAAATTCTAGCATTTCAAATCCAAACTAGTGTGGACGGAACAATCATGCCAACAAATGATAATATTTAAAAGAATCATACGGGGTCTGTGGCCAGACAAGCGTTGCTCCAAGACCAAGAACAGGGCACTAGCTAACGCTCAACTTGTTATTCTGAAATGCAGCAAGGATACAATGAGACCATACACATCAGCGAATTTTAGACTCCACTTTTGTGATTAGATGCGTCGGTTCTTCAATCTATGTGGGTAGCGTTGCATTTCATTTTCAATGGAAACTCAGGTGTATGCACCTCTCATAGTAAGACTCGAGATTCGAGTCTACGGCGAAGCTTTCGAAGCCATGGGTAATCTTCCTAATCTTGGCTCCCTTACCTGTGGAATCTTCATGTAGCGGTGGGGCACAAAGCAAGGCCCTAGAAATCTCAATTTATTAAGACCGTTATTTTCCATCTAGACGACTTTTATAATTTTACTTTCTTTACACTTTCCTCTTGTGTTCCATTTCTGACCCTTCACCTTCCTTTACACTGTGTTAATAGCCACTACCTCTGGATATGCTTTCCCATATTTCTATTACTATTAGTGAAGAATGGCTTCCGAAAGTTTCTATCGCATTCAATAACGCCTCGGGCTTCAACATGCTAAATCTCATCCTCATGCTTGGTGGACTTATTTTGATATGGAGATTATGGACGTTTACTATATTGCCATTGCTTTATCCTGATCGACCTGCGGTTCTCCCTTATTGGATTCCGTGTAAGTAACTGACCCATCATGTCATAAGAGTACGTTTGCTAACTCTTATGTGGATAATAGTCTTGGGTGAAGACTTTCTGATGATAATGTATTATATCTTTTGAGCTAATACAATGGAACCCTGACAGGACATGCGATTTCATTTTTCAGTGATTCTGATGCACTGTTTTCTTTTGGCCGGTAATACTTTATCCTGTCTTTTCTTCGAAGAGCTCTCAACCTAGAATTTTGAATGGCATTAACATCACAATAGAAAGCTTTTTGGCAACACTCGTGCACCCTTCGCAATAACGGTAGCGGGCGAAACCCTTTACATAATCACATCGACATCCGATGTGTCTGTGGTATACAAGAATATGGAACACCTCACGTTCGATGACTACATCCATGACATGATGATATCTTTTGGTGCTACATCCCGAGCTATCAAGAAGATGTGGTGACCTCCGTCCTCAGACCTCAAGAGGGTAGGATACGATGTTTCGGGAGGAGGGATACTCGCAAATATGTCACAATCTCTTGCAAGACAGCAGCTCCAGCCAGGAGAACGTCTCGACAAACTCCAAGATGTCCTCCTCTCCAGTGTTCACCAATCTATGAGCTGGGAAAAGATGACTTCAAAAGTCATTATTTCTTCTTCCCCAGAGAACGATGTTAGGACCATATCGCTTCTGGAATGGACAAGACAAGTGTTGTTGGAGGGTGCAACTACCTCATTCTTTGGACCTTCCTTACTTGAGCTTGAACCCCAACTTTTCCAGAGTTTTTTCTCCTTCGACGATAAGAGCTGGAAACTTACTTACAATATTCCCGCTCCTTGGTCCAATGATATGAGATCAGCTAAAGCTACAGCCCAGACTGCTCTAACTAATTACTTCGAAATGCCAAAAGATCGGCGCCCGGGAGCATGTTGGCTAGTTGAAACGCTCGAAAAGGAAATGAAGGCAGTGGGGATTCAACCACCTGATATAGCGGCTTATCTCATGATGTACTATTGGGTGTATGCTTGTGTTTTATCAATATGTTCTGTCTCCCAAACTCTTACCCTACTAATACAATACACAACTCGTTAGAATCAATGCGAATAGCTGGAAGGTGTCTTTCTGGATGCTTGCCTACCTTATTCACGATCCATCCCTCCTCATGACCATCAGTGAAGAGATCTCTCCCATGACAAACTCAAATCCGACAATGTCACCGAACGAGCTAGTGGCTTCTTTCAATTCAACCGCCACTCCACAGCTGCTCGCTTTATACCATGAAGTCATCCGCATTGTCACTTCCTCTGTCTCGGTTCGTAATGTCGCCAAATCTGTTTTTGTAGGTGGAAAACAGCTACAACCAGGTGGACGTATTATTGTTCCTTATCGCCAACTCCTACTAAATGACGATGTTTTCGGAAGAGACGCCTCTGAATTTAATCACGAGCGATTCCTCCATCGTGATGGGATTCTCAGCAATAATCCCAGTTACAGGCCATTTGGCGGCGGATCGACCTATTGTCCAGGTAGATTTTTAGCTAAGGCAGAAATTTTAACATGTGTCGCGCTCGCGATTGGTAGATTCGATATGCAACTTGTCAGTGGGAACTATGAATGCAAGAAGGGGGCTGAAGAGAGTAATTTTCCGCGATTAGAACTTCAAAAGCCGTGTTTGGGGATAATGAACCCTAAAGAGGGTGATGATGTTGTGGTCAATATTGTCAGAAGGATTTGACTAATCGTTTGACGATGCAGCAAGGGATATCTGAAGCTAGAATACCAAGATATTGTGTGTTTTTTCTTTTAGATATTACCACCATCGGAAGGGGGGGGGTTTATTCCTAGTAGCGATAAGCCTCAAAAGCTCAAGTGGGGGCGCGGCTAATTTCGTCCCTCCTATTTAGTAAGACAAAATCCATCTTCAACATTCATTTTAAATTGGCTCTCATTTTGGAATGCTTGTTCAATACTTGTAGTTCAAATCGTTATTTCAACCTTGTAACGTAGGAAAACATCATCAGCACTAACGATTGGTGGGATGCATCATATAAAGTCTTCTAGAAATGCAGAAAAAATTCCCTAAATTGAGCAGGCACATTGAAGTATTCCAGGATTCATCATCAACTCACGTATCGCAAGAATGTTCAACGCCATTATGTTATACAGTTTATGGTTCAATTCCATTTCTTTAGTATTCCTGACTAACAGAGGGGATGCTTTATCAGCTTGCGTAAGTATCATTCACTAGATCACTTCAACATAACCTGGCTGACAGTTCTCATCTTCAGTGTATAGCGTTGGCATCATCCTTGGGGTCTGATAAAGTTTGGTATTCTAATAGCACCATTTATGAAGATTCTGCGATGACCTACTTTGCCCAACAAGAAGGGGAATTGTCACCTTATTGCTATGTTAAGCCAGAATGCAGTCAGGATGTAGCAAATTCTGTTCATACATTAGCTCGGCTGAATGGCAAAGAAATAGTACCAGTGTGTCCATTTGCTGTTCGAAGTGGGGGTCATCATACGGTGATAGGAATCGCAAATATCCACAATGGGATAACCATTGACTTGCGGAACCTGAACAAAACTACTGTCAGTAGAGATAAGAAAACCGCCTTTGTCGAACCTGGTGCTCGTTCGGGATCTGTTTACGAAACTTTGGTTCCGTTAGGTTTGGCCTTGCCAGGCGGAAGGATAGGAGATATTGGTGTGGGAGGCTTCACTAGTGGAGGTACGAATAATCTAAATCGATATGTTCCTTTGTTATTGCTTTTACCTCCTAGTCTACAACACTTTCTCATAAGCTCTAGGAGGAATATCATACTTCGGTGCAGCTTACGGCTTTAGATGCGACATGGTCGAGAACTTCGAAATCGTCGTTGCTAGTGGCAACATAATCAACGCAAATCTGAAGTCAAATGCAGATCTGTTCAAAGCACTCAAAGGCGGGCTTAACAATTTTGGTATAATAACACGCTTGGATATGAGAACTTTCAAATTGGGCCAATATTGGGGTGGGCAGATCTACTATGTTGGAACCAAAAGTCCGCAGCTCATCGACGCCTTTGTAGATTATACGACAAATCCAAATTTCGATGGCAACTCCGCACTCATTTTAACCACTATATATACGCCCGAGAAAGGATATATAGCGCTGGGCGACTTTTCTTACACCAAAAGCATTCAACGTCCTGCGATTTTTGATTGTTTCATAGCCGGCATTCCAGCGCTCATTGAAGATGTCCGTGTTTCGAATCTCTCCGATTTTGCCTCAACGTTCGGGGCCAACATCCCAGAGAACCTCCGGTAAGTCTGAATTTCAATCTGTTTATTCCCGAACAAGAAACCAGTTTTACTCAGTCAATTACGAGTTTCTAGTCAGACATCTATAACTGCTACGGTGAAACCATCTTCACTTCTTCTTAGAGACATTTATAATCTATGGAATGAGACTGTGCCTGTAGTTGCTTTGGCCACCAACCTTGTGTACTCTCTTACATTTCAGCCACTACCAGTCTCTATGCTTGCCAAAATCTCATCTACGGGTGGCAACTCTCTTGGTCTGGGTGCCGATGATGGACCTCTCGTTGTTCTCACACTTACTACCCAATATACTTCAAGCGAATTCGACGCAGTGATTACGTCTACAACGCGGGGTCTGTTCGAAAAGATTCGCTTGCTTGCTTCGGAAAGACACGAGAGCAGCGAATGGATCTATGGTAACTATGCAGATGCAACCCAGCATGTGATAGCATCCTATGGACCTGTAAATGTCGAGGCTTTCAAGCAAGTCAGTCGCAGGGTGGACCCGAAAGGATTTTTTCAAACTGTACAGCCTGGGGGATATAAAATTGGCCTTTGTGATTCCATTCTCCGTGCTGTCTTTCACTTGTTCATCCTGTCCATCCTGTTCATCCGTCGCTTTCATGCTCACATTTTGCCAACCCAATCCCCAAAGAACGAACCCACACATTACGCCCATAGCAGCCACTAAGTAGAAAGCGCGATCTATACTATTAGAGTATGCCAATAAAACACCGGGAAGATCAGCTTCACCAACGAAGGCTCGGAATCCTGTAGCTCCAGCGTCGATAATGGCAGTAGCGTTGATGTGTGGTGCATGCTGGGGAAGTTGTGATTCAAGAGCGCTATCAAAGATTACGTTGCATATAACCAGGACGATAGCAGGACCTAATGTTTGTCCAAAGATAAGGAATGTCATCGCAGATGAAAGCTCTTCTCCTGTTGTTGCTGCTTGTATCGCAATGATAGTCTATATAGTATATCAGTAACTTCAAAGTTTGCTTAGAGACATGACGACGAACCACTTGAAGACCAGCGCCTGAGCCGATTCCAGAAAGGACCTGAAATCCAGCCCATTTTCCACTTGAACTATTAGGACCTAGTGTCGAATACAAGCCAGCGCCAATGGACATGAGAACCGTCGAGAAAATCGCGAAGGGGATCAAATATCCCACTTTCATTACTAGTAAAAATGTCAGTCATAATGAAGATATCGGATTAGCGATGATTCTTTCGCCAACTTACTCATTGGACCCGAAAGTCCGGCCATAAATAGCTGCGAAAGAATTGTTGGCAGCAAGTACACACCGCTGAGCATGGCATTTGTATTTAGGATAGCCTGGAAATTTATGGGAAGAAAATAGATCGCTCCGTAAAGACAGGCCATAATGAAGGCCTGGTAGAAAACAGCCATCGCGACAACCCGTTTGCTAACCAAGGAAAGCGGGAGCATGGCTTTGTCACCAAGCCGACTATTCCACCAATACCAAACAACAATATTTGCTGCAAAGCCGCAGAATAGCCCGATAACTTGTGAAGAGTTCCATGCAAACTGATTCCCTCCATATTGAAGTGCGAGAAGAAGCATCACTATGGCTGGTGCAAAAAGACAAAATCCGAGCAAGTCGAGATAGTGATGTAGCTTAGGAAGAATAGTTCGAATCGGCGCTTTGCGCGTTTGTTCGGGAATGCGAAGTAAGATAATGGCAATCTCTGAGACAGCTCCGAGGGGCAGATTGATGTAAAAGCCTAGGCTGCTTGTTAGAATCGATAGAGGGATTATGGAACACGTCACTTACACCAGCGCCACGTAGTGAACGTCGTGAATACGCCACCGAGTAACGGTCCTACGACGAGTCCGAGCTGGTTAACTGGTAAATCAACGTTAGCTTGCGTCTTATATCGGCGAAAGGGCACTCACGGCCTAGAGTTATCCCAATTAGATCTCTGGAGTAAAGTCAGCAACCTTGAGTTCCAAGCAACCATATGAGTGTTTCCGCAGGAGATGTTCATCACATACTTGCACGTTTCTCTGGCGCTGCGCAGCTAGAAATTATAGTAAGAGCACCACTTAGAATGCCGGCAGCGCCCAAACCAGCGACGGCTCTGCCGCATATCAGCATAGCAGAAGAATCGGCCACACCACATAAAAGCGATCCTAGCTCGAAGATTGCGAAGAAGGTCAGGAAGGCCCACTAGTTATCTTGTCAGCAAAAGAAGGGTGCGTTTTTTCTAGACAACAATACCTTCGTCTTGAAATGGGTGTAAATTTTGCCTGTCAAAGGCTGTGGAGCTGCACTGGAAGAGTTTCAGCTCTTGATTTTTCTGCTTCATCTTGGATAGTGAAAAAAGATAGCATACCTTCCAAACTGATATGCACTGGCGTACCACCCAACATCTCTGAGAGATTTGAACTGATTAGTTATTCGCGGAATAGCCTAAGTGTCAAGAGATTAGACAAAATCTGGAGAATGGAAAATAGAGAACAGCATACCGTACTAACGATCATATTATCTACTAGAACGAGAAAACAGGAAAATGCGACACTTGCAATAATAATTGCTAACTTCACTCCGGATACATATTCCACCTGGTACCCAACCTCATCAACTGGTTTAGTCTCTAACCTCAGTCTAGAGCCGTCGATTTTGGAATCGCTGGAGCCAGGGTTTCGTTCAACTGTCTTCTCGTCATTTTCTGGAGATGAGAATTTTGTCGCAGTGTTCTCCATGGTATATTTCTTCGTGGCTTTTGTTGCTAGAGCACAGAATAGATATACCGTGAAAAAAAGTTGTTAAGGGAGTGTTGACTTTTACTCCCAATTTTCTTTTCGATTGGTAAGGCTACCTTAGAAGCAAAATTTCAGATTGAAATCAATATGACAATATAATTAGGTCAAATCCGTGAGAATGACCTCGGGAGTTTAAGCTAGCTACAATAGCCCCCTTTTATGAGTAAGTCTACTACCCTACTTTTCGGCCACCCC